TACCTACACTACTAGGTGCTACCGAGTACGAGGGTCATATTCCACTTATCACATACCGAGCACGAGGGTCATATTCTATTTATCACATACCGAGTACGAGGGTCATATTCTATTTATCACATACCGAGTACGAGGGTCGTATTCTATTTATCACATACTAAGTTACACACCCTATACTATGCACTACATGTGGTGGATCTGACCCTGTGAACTATCGAGACCCTCTCCGATGCTACACCCATAAACTACCCCTGACACCACATTCGCCAGACACAAATCTTCAAAGCTTTGGGTTGTTTGAACTGGCGTCAACGCAGGAAGGAAAAGACATCTCTGTAAAAGATTGGAAATAGAGACAGAAGAGTGGATGGTGAAAATGAAGCAATATACTGCACTGCATCACAGAATTAGCGCTGCTCACAGGCTTTGACATCATGGACGTGGATGTGAACAGCGCCTGCAAAGTTTCCGGAGAAGATGAACTTTGCGCTGTTCTCCGAAGTGACACTTGATGAGGCTGGTGGTGCTTGTTCCCGTTCCTCAGGAGTTGACTCCTGCAAAGCTTCATCAACCTCCGCATCGAGCAGGTTAGCTGTCGCAATCTTATCTTGCTCGCTAGGCTGCAAGTATAATGTTAGGCTCTGTGTGTTGCGATGGCCAGGCGTTCGCATGATGGTAGGGATACTCGCGTTGTGCTTGGCCAATGTGGTGAGGACTGTTGCACGTACACTGTGATCAGTGTACGTCTGACTCAGGTTGGCTGATTCACTCATCCTCTTCATCATCCCATCAATTTTGTTTTTCCCAAACACCTGGTCAGTGTACCACACTGAGTCATTGGGCCGGCAGTGCTTCCTAGGGATCTCCAACAAACATGTCGACTTCGGTGATCAGCTTCGAAATCAGAAGCAGAACATCTTCGGCCTGCCGATCAGTTACAATCATACCATCAGATACGCTATCCTTGCCTGTTAGGCCACCTTGCTGATCTTTCTGTATGAACACTATCGCGAACGTGAGACTTCTTCCCCTGCTTGTCTGTTCTCACAGCCAGATCGTCAGCTGTTAGGTGTGCCTGGATATCGGAATCACACAGACAGAAGTGATAAGTAATACTCAACCATGCTAGGATGGCAAGGTCTTCCAATCGCTCAGGTGCTTGTAGATCCTGTCTTTATCAATGTCTGATATTGGTGGCTTGTGATGTGTTTGAGTGGCTAGGCCGTCTTTCTTCATTTGCTTCAAGTGTATCCGTCTAGCACTTGATTGTCCTTTGTGAATTCCTTGTCACAGTAGAGATTGATATTGCGCTTGAGTTCTTGCAGTTCCTGGTGGATAGCGCTTCACAATTGCAACAGGCTGTTCTTTGAATAAGCAGCAGCTTGTTCAACTGCCTGAGTGTAGGCGTGCTTGAGGATAGAGGCTAAATTGGTTGGGGGGCTCTTGGCAGCGGTGAAATCCTGAATATGCAACTTCACCTACAGTTTGCGTTCGAGTATGTGAGTACCGATGGGTACTGTACTCGGTACGCAGCCGGGTGTGATATGGGGCAGGCGGGGTGATAGCGACCTATCACCAGCCAAGGAAGGTCAGTGATTGGCCTATTCCTGGGAAACGGTCACCTGATATGTGATAGTGTACTTTAAAAAAATACTAGTATGGCTTGCTAGATCAGAATTGATCTTATGTAGGTTTCACTAGCACCATTGGTTACTAGAATATACTGCACTGCATCACAGAATTAGCGCTGCTCACAGGCTTTGACATCATGGACGTGGATGTGAACAGCGCCTGCAAAGTTTCCGGAGAATTGATCTGATATAGGTTTCACTAGCACCATTGGTTACTAGAAGAGTTAGGCTGTGTTTACCCGGCAATGCTGGGGATGAAAACACAACCAAATTCTTTCGGATGCACGGTTCGTTTACGCGGTACGGAGAGCAGAACGGAAATGTTGTACACCAAAACGGAAGAAAACCGAAACGCTGGCCAAGGTGGAAGAAATTGAAAATGGACATGTTCTGCCGGATAAATTTGGGTGTGTAAACAGTTGAAATGGTGTGCTGGGCCTCGGACCGTCTCGTTTGTATCGCGAAGGATCCGACAAAGTTCGTGTTGTGAGGAGTGTTTTCGTATGGATTGTTTTCAAATATTGCTTGACTGTGATTGGTGCTTCCACGACAACACTTGACACATGACGAATTTTGGCAGACCCTTCGCTTCCGTGTAGATGCACGAAAACGATACAAACAGAGGCCAGCTTTGAATCAGCTCAGCTCGTGTAAACACACAAAAACGGAAAAAGAAATACGCGATCGAAAAGCAGAAAACTGGCCGTGCGTTGTTGTGTCAACGCAGCCTTAATTAATCTAGCCAGAAGTAATCCATTGGTCAACAGTTATGTATAGCCCATCCTGTCCTGCATCTTGATAGTTGAGGGTGACGGTGGTGTTCCTGAGGGTGTGGGCAAGTCAATCTGACTGACTCGGACTTGAGCTGTGGAATTTTTCATTGATTTAGCTCGTGCTTGTACTTGAGCAATGCATGCTGATTTCTTCTATGAAGTAGTTTTGAGTGTCCTGCCAATGATCACTTCCTTAACATGTGACAATTCCCTGGCTTAGGTATGTGCCTAGCTCGTCTTGTTCTCAACTGTCCACCTGAGTACTTCTCAACGTTTCTCCACCCTGTCCTAGCGTTGTTCTTCAATGTCATTGTGGAGGTGAGTGCTAGTTCACTGCATTACCTGTGTGTGTGTGCGTGTGTGTGTGTTCAGTCTTGTTATATACACCTCTGAAGTGGATCAGCAGCTCAACACCCAAGTATTCACCCATCCATCCACCTGCCCATCGACCCATCGACCCACCCATCCATCCATCTACCCATCCATCCATCCACCCACCCACCAATCCATCCATCCATCCATCCATCCACCCACCCATCCATTCATCCACCCACCAATCCATCCATCCATCCATCCATCCATCCACCCATCCATCCATCCACCCATCCACCCATCCATCCACCCACCCACCCATCCATCCATCCACCCATCCATCCACCCACCCATCCATCCATCCATCCACCTATTCCCCCCCCCCCCCCTCCCTGGCATGAATTCGCCTTAGACCAGCCATATCCTACCTGCTCACCCACACACGTATCATGTCAGGGGCGTCGGAAGCAGTTCAACATTGGTGCGTCGAAAGTGTGAGAGGGGGGTCCGGGGGTCCTCCCCCGGGATTTTTTAAAAAAATTGGGCCTAAAAGGCCATTATTTTAATGCTACAGAATAATATGAGAAATAAGAATATGCATGCTGATGACACACCGCATTGTCGATGTAAAACATGGTACCTGTACAAAGTGTCGACATGCCATCAACAAGGTTGAAAATGAAAAAAAAAAAAAAAAAAAAAAAAAAAAATTCCAAAATTATTGGTGCGGCTTTGGCCGCACCTGCCGCACCGGTTCCGACGCCCCTGCATGTATGTGCTGTATCTGTGTGCTGTAGAGAATCAAGCTGGAGTGGACCAAGACAGTAAGCCGCCAAGGCGATCTGTAAGGACACGGCAATTCACCATGTGAACATGATACTCCATTCATTAAATAATGCTGTGACAGGGAGAGGGAGGGGGATTGTGCTATAGTACACTGTGCAGTTTTACTTCAAATATCCGGCCATGCCTTTTCTTTCCTTCCTTTTTAAAATGAGTTGAAATCTGGCTGGGTTTGTACAGCGGGGTAGAGAGAGAGAACTTATTTCTTGTTACTCAAATCTGCATGCTGTTTTGCCCATCACTTTTCTCACCCTCTACGTGCTTCATGCGCAAATTACCTGAGCATGAAGCAAGTAGAGGGTTGAAAGTTGAAATGCTTGTGAAATTAACTCTTGACTGCAGCAAGACGGCAAGGTACAGGTAGATCACCACAAGATATCTGTTATTTGTTCTAAAGTGTTTGACTGCACACTGCAAATTGTTGATACAGGGCCGCCCATTCCGAAGACGATGGCTTCGATGAGCAGATGGATCGCCTGTGCCAGGCGGAGGTCATTGATGACTTTCTGGCGCGCAGCTTGCTCAAAGACATTGCATGGTTCTGGGGTAGGTGATGACTTTTAAAAGTGTTCACAACTGTACACGTAGTACAGCCATTCGTTGTTAATCCAGCACTTTATGCCATCGACCTCAGTAAGCAAATATGATTTGTATGAACCAACAATTTCCCACTCATGTACACTACTACAACAGTAAACCAGATTTTTTACAAGTAGTAGTTCTGCTCTCAATACCTATTGGTGAGCCTCGACTGTTGCGAATCTTATGTTGATGTAACAGGCTATATGCAGTACGCTGCACCTTCTTGGCTCTTCTTGTGACTGTCTACTTTTACTGCTATGCATGCATGTGATCTGTCCATTGCTAGAATGTTTTTTTGCAATTGTTTTTGGCTTCTCGTGTTTCTCGTACACATCCTGCTGCTCAGTGCGGCTATTCCCTGACAGTGGGAACACTCAGTCTATAGCTCAGACTAGTGGCACCGCCGGGAACATTCAGACGAGTAGTGGCACTGCTGAGCCAGCGGCATCGCACTCAACGGCGATGGACGAAGACGATGAAGAGGCACCGGCTGGTAGTGACAATTCGCTGCAGGAGTACATTCTATCGACGCCGGTGAGCAGTGCCGGTGGCGCACAATCAGATGCAGTATCGTGCTTTGTTTGTACCGTGTTTCAGCTGCTGGCCTCAGTCTACACAGTACTAGCAACACCACTATTAGTAATGATACATTGTACATTGTATTGTGAGGCCAGTAGCAATGCCGGTAATCCGGTTTTCACCCAACTGACAGTCGAGTAGATAGCAGGCACTGCCTTGATCTGCCTCATAGGCACAATCTTGACTGTAACTCTGAGTCAGTTCACACAGAAGCAGTGATCAGAGAGCATGTGTATACTTCATTACTTGACTTTGCATCCAGCCGCTGGTAATCCAATGCCACGGACCGGTTATCGGTTGGGTTGGTGGGCTGACTTCTTCCCAGATTGTTATGATCAGATGATGGCTGCTTCCCTTCATGATGGAGTGGGATAAACACGTCAGCAGCCTTGAAGCAGCCTTTGAAACCAAAGCCTGGTGTGCGTGCGTGTGTGTGTGTGTGTGTGTGTGTGTGTGTGTGTGTGTGTGTGTGTGTGTGTCTGTCTGTCTATCTGTGTGTGTCTGTGTATGTGTGTGTGTGTATGTGTATGTGTGTGTGTGTGTGTGCGGGTGTGTGTGTGTGTGTCTGTCTGTCTGTGTCAGTGTGTCTGTGTGTGTGCGTATGTGCGTATGTGCGTATGTTCATTCACCCTGGGTGTGGGTGTTTTGCAGGCTCTGTGTCAACCCGTGCTGGCCTCATGCCTGACCGGACTCGTTTTCCCTGATGCTAACTTCTCCAACCGAGCTGGCAATATCCTTATACACATACTGGCAAAGGTACAGATGGGAATGTGTGGCTGTACATGTGCATGTAATGTAGTGTAGTGTACAGGGCTCTAAGCATCATCTTGTACGTTCACGCTGGCCTCTTAACTCCTAAAATATTTTATTGCTGCCTAGTGGATGCCATTTTTTCTTTGGTATCTGTTTCACGCATCACATGTGTGGGCATTTCTAGGGTGACGTAATCAAACTAAGTCGCTGTTCGGCATGTGGGAAAAAGACAAAAAGTACAACAAGAAGGCCTATTTAAACTCGGATACTGAGCCAGTAATAAAATGTAAAAAAGAGAAGAAACACATGAGAACGAGTTATGCAGCAACTATCCACGACTGTAACAAGATGATAAACGGTCAGATAGTGCGATATCTTCTCTTTTTTACAAGAAGGCCTATGCTATTGTTACTATTTGTAGCCTTTACCTGCTTGCAGGGAGAAAATTGATGTCGGGGTCACATGGCAGGACCGGCGGAAGAAAGTTTTTGATTGGTCCGGTCATACACTGACCAAGCGGACGGGTTGCGCCAGGCCTCCATGGTGTAATGTTTCAGTGTGTCAGACGTGTATGGTTGATCAAGACTGGATCGAGTACGGTTTCTTGTACATACTGGAGCGTGCCATGAGTTGACGCCATGACGACGTTCTCCAGTCCGTAGTATTCACACGTGCCATGCGAGTACGCGTACATGTGCACACGTGGCAACAGCTGTACAATGCGTACAGTTAGTATAGTGCTAATAGTCTTGTTGGGATATTACTGGCTCTGCCGATTCCGGCACAGCGGGAGAACAACGAACTACAACCACCTGCTAGTGCTGTGTCCAGAATGGAGACCTTCTGGTGTGCTCCTGAATTCTTCTCTCTGTGCCAGGTTTGCATTTGGGTCCACGTTACTAAGAGTTTGTGCAGTGTCCACGACTGAAATATCCCGGATTGCTGCATGTATTATGAGAGGTAGAGTGTTAGTTATTGCTGCTATCATACTGCACGTAGAATGCAGTCTATGATTAGAAAGGGTGCAGGTAGCAATGATTGGGGACTTCCCCATTTCTGTGAAAGTGCACAGTTGTGCGGGCATGCCAGTACTTGAAGTACACATCTGTGATCTGTTTAGCGTTTGCTTTTCTATCTTCTCTCGTTGCCTGTGTTGCCTAGACGGCAGACCAGTGGGCACCTCATCCCAATAGCTATCAACAGCTACTGGACCCAGTATTGCAGGTAAGGTAATTGTCAGATAATAGAGAGGTTCCGCAGAAGTTAATAACGTTAGTAAAAACGTAGTCGATCTACAGAAAGTCTTACGTGAACTGCGGGCGGGCGGGGGGGGGGGGGGGAGGGCTGTGGGTGTGTGGGGGGGGGGGCGTGTCCTCACCCACTTACTGAGGTGTGGTGAGCCCATAAGTGGGATCATTTGCAAGTCCACCCATAGTTTCGGGATTTCAGAGGGTGTTGGCTGTTGGGCGGTTCAATAGCCAGTTGAGTCATCTTTGCCGGATTCCTTTTGAGTCTCTCTCCCCTCTCCGGGGAGACGCGCATGACCAATTTTGGCAATGAGCAAGTACAAGTACAAGTGCGCGTGCATGTGTGTGTGTGTGTGTGTGTGTGTGTGTGTGTGTGTGTGTGTGTGTGTGTTATGAGCATGCTGGCAGGCCAACAAAAGATGCCGTTCGTTTTTTTGTCATAGCGACGTGTACTTGTGTGTGCTGGTGCTGCTGCCTGTGCTGTGTCCCTTGCAGGCCATCAATGTACACGGAGAACACGTTGGGAACTTTTCTACGTATATCCACCTACTCATGGTCCTTTATCCTAGGATGGTGAGTCGTTGCTGCTGTTTTTAATTACCCCTCCCATGCACACACACACACACACATGCATGCACGCACGCACGCACGCACACACACACACACACACACACAACACACAACACACACACACACACACACACACACACACACACACACACACACACACACACACACACACATACAAACATACAGGCAAATTTCCTAGACCACTAAAGAAGAGTAACGTTAGGTTCAGTATCCAATGATAGAATCAGCTAACTTTACAATGCATGGTAACATTGGTTAGTTTGCACCCACAGCACAATGCTCTATATGTACATGGACATTGTATTGCGAAAACAGCAGGTCACCCGACCGACCTGACCCACCTGTGTTTTCCATACGACCGCAGAAATGTTTTTAGTCTCCTAAGTACGAAAGATTAGAGCCATGACTGTACAGGTGGAATCCTGATAATTCGAACCCCAAAATGCCAGGAAAAAACTTCTAATTATCCGGATCTTCAAATTATCCAAACATGTTCCCACAACGCAGTACGTATGTCAAAATGCTCACATTGTCACGCAGAGTTGCGCTGTGCACCGTAGACACGGGTTTCATGGACACTGAACTGGCCAGCACAGCCTGCTCATGCACACTGAACTGGCCAGCACAGCCTGCTCATGCATGTGACACTGAACTGGCCAGCACAGCCTGCTCATGCATACTGAACTGGCCAGCACAGCCTGCTCATGCATGTGACACTGAACTGACTTGGATGATTAACAGTGAACTTCAAACTATGCTTTGCCAACTTCGAATTATCAGCACGAATCCCGCACACTTCCTATGTAAGTGGATTCCGTGGGAGTTCTAATTAACCGGACATGCCCAGTTCGAGGTTCGAATTATCAGACTTTGTTATGTGGGAGTCGTATTCATGGAAATCGGTCCTGAAAGAAACTTCTAATTTTAAAGCGGTATGTTCGAATAAAAGCCATATTCGAATTATCAGGATTCCACCTGTATTATCCTCTCTGCTCGATGACAGGAGCATTGGTGGGCCATATATGGCAAAGCAGTGTCCATGCCCCTGTTTGAACCCATAGAAAACTGACCCTTTCTAGCGAACCTTTTTTTTTGTTTATAACGAACCGTATCTTGAAGGACCGCATGTAAACCAAGTGCACTCGTACAGTCATGGGCCACGTGCCATTCATGACTTTATGTGTGAGTGTGTTTGCGGACAATCAGAAAAGTGCATTTCTGATATAACAAACTTTGGCTATAAAGAACTAATTCTCCTGCACTATGGTGTTTGTTATATTATCAGGAGTCGACTGTGTCACGCTGTGTGAAGCTTGGCATGAATGCCTGCATGCCAAACTCAGAAGAAAAGAACTAAAACTGAACAACTATATTGCTGCTGAGTAGAATGACTGGAAACAACGAATTGATTCTAGTCAGCCGTATGTCCTTTTTTGTCATGTTTACCATCTATGTCCTGACAGTTGGAGGTCAGTGAAGACACAATCACGTCTCTGCTAGCGCGATTGCCCGGTGTCAGCCAGGAGATGTTGACGGTCAGTGCACTCTCTATCTTTCTCTCTCTCTCTCACACACACGTACACACACACACACACACACACACACACACACACACGTACACACACACGTTCACCCACACGTGCTGATGGGACTGTAGTCCCACGTGTCGACTTTTCCCACCGGAAGCGGTGCAAACTCAGATTGCATGGTCGATAGAAAGTTGTTGAGGCCATCAAGGCCGTAAGGTGAAATCTCTCGGTGGCTCTTCTTGGTGGAACATCAAAGCGGAAGGGAATTGAGCCCCCTAAGAACGAAATGATCACCAGAATCTTCCATCAATTACGTTGTACTTCAAGTACTGTAAGACATGTTATTATAACGAGTCGCAAATTTAACGATTGTCCAAAATTCATAGGTTAACGAGAAGATATGTTAACGATCTTGCAGTATTCTGCCATATCCACACACAGCATATATGAAGCAGTACGGCCTCCACGGATCTTATTCTAACGGAGAAATGTCATCCGTTAAAACGTTAGATTTGCTTCCTCGTTATATATACATGTCTTACAGTAGATGACAAGAGCAAGTGTGAAGTAAAACAAACATGCAGCGAAAATACCCACCACTAAAAGCAAAATTACCAACGAACTTTGAGGAGTGCTTGACCCAACTGAGTGTTTGCTCATGTGACTGGTTTCAGCAATAGAGGAAAAATTGCTCAATACATGTAGGTGGTTTAGAGGTGACCAGCAGATTCGTTATTCTTGTTGGAATGTACTAGGCTGTGCTCAGCACAGTGATCCTGCTTGTGTGCGGGGATGAATTCACACAACCAGGTTACTTGCCATCACTGCCGGGGCGTATGTCATGTAATGTAGGTGCCGTTACAGACCCATACCAGAAGTGCATCAATTCAACCTGTGACGGCATTGCTTTTTAGCATTACATGTACTTGACGTCGAAACGACATGCACAACGAGTGACGCTTTCCCCGGCAATATCTCAGTTGCTCAGTCTGGTTTATGAACTCTTGCTCATGCTGATAGGCCACAGGTCATGCTGATAGGCCACAGGTCATGCCGATAGGCCACAGGCCATGCTTATAGGCTACAGGCCATACTGATAGGCTATAGGCCATGCGTATAGGCCACAGTTGTGCTACAGTACACTCTTGGGTACCTTGACGCAGGGAGCACTCCAAAGCAGGGAGTACTCACTGCTTCAAGGTACCCTGCTCTTCATTGCACCAGTGCATGGCAAGCCTACAAAGGCCATTTTCTTACAGCCCATCAGCCAATTACCCAGTGTAGCTAGCTTTTTAGTTCACAAAGCACAGAAGCCACTGGAAACTTTGAAGAGGCCTTCCGCACCATTACTCTTCAAAGTGGGTGCATTGGTGATACAAACAGCTGCCAACAAGTCCTTACATGAAGAGCTGTTTTTTTTTGTTCTTGCAGGACTTGCGCAAGAGCTTCTCCACAGCGTGTAAGGTCAAGAAGCGGCGGGACTTCTTGCGTCGTGTGCTGGACGGTGTTGTTGGGGTAAGTTTCCACTGCCTGCTTTGCCAATCTTACCAGTGGTCTAGTCGTGCTGTGCTTGCTGCTGTAGCTACTGCTACTGTTACTGCTGCTGATATTGACTTTTTCGTCAGCATGGATGCAGGGAATGGGATTTTAGGTCTTTGACCACTTTGGTGGCAGGATCTGATGTACTCACCTCCCACCGCTTTAAGAGCTGCATCTGTGCCTTAATTTTTGATGGTGATGGCGCTCCTAACTTCCTATGGGTGCGGAAAACTCAGTCTGACTCAGTCTGACTGGGTCTGACGCGAACTGTGAATTTGTTGTCACTGCTTATTGTTGTGGTATTAGCGTAGTATTATAGATCTTGATACAGATCCTGATTGGAATATCCCATGATCAGCGTCCACCTTCTAGTTTTCATCTCGTCTCTATGCCTGTCCTTGTGTCTATGCCTGTTCTTGTGTCTATGCCTGTTCTGCAGAAATCCACCAGTGAGCAACACAAACTGGCCGTGCCCGAATCGTTTTTGCCACGCCTGCAGCTGCCTGGCTCCAAGTCCATGGCGGAGGCAGAGGTGGAGAACCATGTCGACAATGTCTTGCTCCTGCCAGACCTTGGCTTGCCGAACCTCTTTGGACCACAGGACTAGGAACCTCTTTGCACCACAGGACTAGGAACCTCTTTGGACCACAGGACTAGGAACCTCTTTGCACCACAGGACTAGGAATGTCTTTGCTATCAGCTGTGTGATGAAGGCTGCAAATGCTGCTCTGTTGTGTTTTGTACCACCTTGGAGTACGGTTTCTAACGTTAGTCCCCACGATCTGGCCAGGATCACCATCGACTGCAGCGAGAACGCTGTCGATCGAGTGGACTTGCCTGGACGGCTGCTTTCGAAAGCTAAGCTTATACTTGGGGCCGTGATTACACCGCTGGCCAACCAGAAAACCAGCACCGTTTTGCGTGGTACCTGTTTAGTGCTGCTGGCAGCACTTCAATCAGAACCGAGGTGTGTTTACTGCTAGGCACCTGGGATTGTATTCCACTGTCTGACTCCTCTATTCTGTGCAGCGGGACCCGTGGCACCCCTTCACAGTGCGGTGTCCGCGTGCCAGCTGAATTTGGACTCTTTCTCTTAGGGCTGGCTGGCTGGCTGCAGCCAGGTTTTGTTGAACTCACTGGCCCAGGGCTGTACACAGTGCTTAGGTTCCAACATATAACTTGCACTATCCCAGTGAGTGGGAAATGTCAGTGTGCAGTTCTTCTTATCTAGCTGATGTCTCCTCCCTATACAAATACAAACGCAGCGATTTTTGATTTCACGACTGCGTTTTGCATTTAAAAAACAAAGCATGGATCTATACAAAACAAACTATCTAGGTTCACTTCTTTCCTTTTCCCACTCAGCTTTGCTGGCTAGGTTTTCTGGTTCTACCTCCCAAGTACGTATGTACGTACGTGTGTACATGTGGACTTTTTTTAAAATATTTTTTTGTATGTATGACATCTCAGAATTCACCTTTAGTTTTACAAAACGCATTTTAGCGTTTCAGCGTACTAGTATATGTACAGACTGCTCTGCAGGTGTTTGGTCTTATCACTTGTACCGAGAGCGCATCAACGGAAATGCGCCACACGGCATCAGTTTGGGAAAGTGAAACTAACTTGCACAGGCTGCACACGTCCGAGCACGAGATTCAGTCGTGTATGCAGGAAGGCACCATAAATAATATTGCATTGACAGGTTTGAGGGAAAGATGCAAACGGGAAAATTAATAATATTGCATTTATTAATTTTTTATTTTTTTAAACGGGAAAATTAATATTGCATTTATTTTTATTTTTTTAAACGGGAAAATTAATAATTTTGCATTTATTTTTTAGGAGAAAATCTCATGAAATGCTGAAGATACAGCACAGCTGTGATGCAAAGAACTACAATAGTCTGAATAGAGTATGTGTTGCGTGAATAATAGATCAAATGTACCATAAAGGATGTAAGGGTACGCGGAAGTAAATAAAACAGTTACGGCTCTTAGACAATAAAAATACAGTGAAATCGCTCCCTTTGATTCGAACCCTAATATTTGTTGTCGGAACGAGACAGAATTATCTCAATGTATTATTATGATATCTAGAGAAGAAAACAATGCATACTGCAAAAGTTCCATCCTAAGATAACAAACCCTTGCTACATAAATAGTACACTCCAAGCACACCGGGTACCGCAACACCATGATCCTTCAATAATATTTTATGTACAGATATTTAAAAACGGAAAAGATTGGGAGAAATTACAACAAATGGATCTCACGTTTCTACAAGAATAACAAAACGAGGACGGCCCAGGGACGAAATGAATAGTGCTCAGATCATCTCAAGATGCAATCAGGGCCTTTGCGAGGGCAAACGTGCAACACCCACCCACGGGGCCACGCAGTACAGAGTAGAGCATGTTGCACACTTGTACTGTAGCGTACAGTGCAGCGCGTGACTACTGCCCGTGCGCTTCCCGAGAAGCGGCCAGCATCTTGGTGAACACAGAGTCGGCGTTGGCGAGCAGGTTGATCGGGGTGTCAAACTCGGCCACACGGCCATTGTCCAGAACGAGCAGACGGTCGCTGTCGAGAACGGTGTTGAGGCGATGCGCTATCGTCAGCAGAGTACAGTTGGCAAAGCACTCTCGTATCGTCTTCTGAATCAATGCGTCCGTCTCGGAATCAATAGACGCAGTGGCCTCGTCCAAGATCAGGATCTTGCTGTGTCGAAGCAAGGCCCGTGCCATGCACATCAGCTGACGTTCACCGACGGAGAAGTTCTCCCCATTCTCTAAGACTTCTGTGTCCAGTCCATTGGGAAGCTGATCAATCGTATCCTTCAAGTGTGTCTGCTGGAGCGCTCTTTCTAGGGCTTCATCACTGTGCTTGTCAAACGGATCCAAGTTGTAACGGATGGTGCCAACGAAAAGCACCGGATCCTGTGGTATAATGGAGAGGCGGGATCGCAAGTCACGCAGTCCTAGTGTGCTGACATCAATATCATCGATGAGAATCCTCCCCGAGTCCAGCTCCACCAGGCGTAGCAAGCAAACAGCCAGCGAAGACTTTCCAGCGCCAGTACGACCTATGACACCGATCTTCTCTTGTGCCTTGACATCAAAGCTGAGCTCGTGTAGAACTTGCGGTGTGCCCTCACGGTAACGCATGCACACATTGTCAAACGTGACTCGTCCCTGCGACGGCCATTCCGGCGGTGGCTCCGTCTCCGGGATGTGTTCGGCGGCTTCGATGGCAATGTGGGTGGCGTAGTGATTGATTCTCTCCACGCTAGTGAAGCGTGCCTGCACCTCGGATATAGTTCTGACCGTGAACTGAAGTAAGCCTCCAATCTGCACAATGTAGGTTATCGCCAGACCCGCCAACGCCACAGGTACGGCATCTTTGTTCAGGACAAGAAAGAGACCAGTAAAGAAGATCAGGATGGTGGCCAGAAGGTCAAGTCGAAGCGCCAGCCATCGAGCAACTGACTGAAAGCCCTGTAAAGCAATAGTGTTCTGGTCGAGATGCTGCTTGAACTTGGCGTGAAACTCCGAGTTCTTGCGGAACGCATGGATTGTGCCGAGGCCTTGAATGCTGGAGCCCAGGTGGGAGATGAGCGGGGAGCGTGAGATGTTCTCCAGACGCTTCAGCTCGCGGATGCCGCGCGTGTAGAGAACGTGAACGATGGCGAACAGCACCAGCACTGCAGCAATGGGCGCTAGCAGAATAGGGTAGATGACGGCCGAGAGGGTGATTGCGCCGGTCATTGTGATGGTGTTGAGCGTGGCGTTGCTCAACAGCCACGGCAGCTGCGTGTCAATCTCGTCCAAATCCTTGCTGAAGCGGTTCAGAATGCGGCCGGTCGGCGTGGTGTCAAAGAAGACCATGGGTGCACGGAAGACGCGCTTGAACACATAGTTGTGCAGATTGCTGGAGGCTTTGAGGAGGATCTTGACAAAGACGATGCCTCGCACCAGTGAGAACACAGTGACAACAACCAACAGTGCATAGTAGATGCCCACGTAGAACACCAGTCTTGGATTCTCAGAGATGTCTTCTCCCACCGTGGCCTGAGTTCCATTAGCGTTGTTAGTAGAATTGCCATCACCCTCTCGTAGCCAGTAGCTTACCCAGTAATTATTGGCCACACCTGATAACACCGTTAGAACGCTCCAGACAAAGATGAAGATGGACACTGCAACACCACCAGCAGCCCGGGCAAAGGCAAGATACGTTGACCAGGCTACGGAGCCAGTAGCGCGGTCCTCCGCCTCCACAAGCTTCTGCGGCGACTTTGCTGCCGCCAACTCTTCCGTGGCTTTCTTTGCCCTGGCCTTGCGTTTCCGTGGCGATCGAGTTGTCGAAGCGTCCGTAGGTGAGCCGGCAGTTTCCTCGCCGCTGCGTGTGCTTATAGCGCTGAGCTGTCGCTGGACAGTTTCAATGTCGCTGTTGCTCTTCAGCACCTCCAGCACACGCTCAATCTGATCCACAGAGTCGTTGGCATCGTCGTCATCTTCGTCCTCCTGCGCCGCTTCTTCCAGGTACTGGTCCATCAGTGCACGGAACGCACCCCCGGCTTCCATCAGCTGGGCATAGGTACCATTCTCGGCTATACGACCTGCAGTCATCATCAGCACACTGTCGCAAGACTGTAGGTACTGCAGCTGATGGGTCACCAGCATCACCGTTTTGCCCTTCAGCTCACGCTTGATGAGCTCATTGAAGATGTGAGCTCCCACGTGTGCGTCCACGGCGCTCAGTGGATCATCGAGCAGATACACGTCGCGGTCGGCATACAGGGCACGCGCCAGCGAAACACGCTGCTTCTGTCCTCCGCTTAGGTTTATGCCACGTTCGCCGATCTCTGTCATGTCACCGTCGGGAAGAATCTTCAGATCGGCTTGCAGAGCAGCTGCCGAGAGCACCCGCTGGTACCGCTCTTCGTCACAAGCGGCACCAAAGAGGATATTATCACGAAGTGAAGCATTGATGATCCATGCTTGCTGTGATACATATGCCACACTGCCCTTCAAAGACGCTGAGCCGCTCCGCAGGTTCATTCCACCAAGGAGAGCGGTCAGCACTGATGTTTTACCACTGCCAAACGGACCGCATACACCGATGAGCTGTCCACATTTGATGGCTAGATTCAAGCCGATCAGCGTGTCGGGTATCTCCGCCTCATCATCTTCCTGGGCGGAAGACAGTGTCAGCCGTGCGGTGGACTCCTTGCGTCCTTGCCGCGTTGACACAGAGGACTGTGTTGCTGTCACCTTACTGGTGGATTCCCGCCGACTATTCCGACGGCTTTCTCCTCCTCGCTTGCTGGCATCGGCATTTTCTGGCGCCTGGCGGGCATCCCAGGCAAAGCAGGCATCGTGTAGTTCAATGCAACCGTCCGGTGCACCGACCGAGGAGTTGATTCTGACGATATCCGGCAAGGCTAGGAGAGCTTTGACCCTGGGCATGGCCACGTTGGCCTCGGAGAGAGCACGCACACCGAGCGGCAGCACGGCCAGCGAGAAGCGCATGGCCGTGAAGCTGGCCAGAACGGCAAACGCCTCGCTGGCTGTCAGGCTACCGCCGGTGAGCGTCTTCACCGAGAAGGTCAGAACAGCAGCCACGACCGGTGCTATCGGTGTAAGGGAGAACGTCAGAGCCGTGAACAGGGCAGACTTCTCCAGGTAGCGACGCTCCTCGCGACGCACACTGGCGATCTGCTTGGCAAACGCGTCCTCCCACGCGTACATCTTGATCAGCTTGACGAAGTTGAGGATCTCGTTCATCTTGCGCACTCGCTTGTCCGTGATGCCGATGGCGATGCGGCGGTTCATGCCGATCTTCTTGCCGAACACTCCCTGGATGGGGTAGAAGATGAGAAAGGTGACGCATCCCAGCACGGCCGGCCATCCGACCAGCAGCACGGTGTAGATGATCACAGCCACGCTCATGGTGGGAGCGCCCACCATGAATCCGGTGAACATGGCGCACTCAAACATGCGTTGGCCGTCGTTGACGCACAGGTTGACCACCTGGCCTATGGTCATCTTACCTAAGTTACGCAGGCGCATCACCTTGTCAAAGACGATCATGTTGAGAGCTGCACGGAAGCGCAGCGCAGATTGCAGTGCAAAGTACCAGTGTATGCTGAAGAAGAACGAGCGCAGGAGTTCATTAATCAGGAACGCAAACGCCACTATCAGCCCATCCGCCAGTGTGGACGACTCGGGAGGTCGCTCCGTAAACTGAACAAGCTGGAAGACGAATATGGACGAGGAGAGGAACGACATAACTTGATAGAGGAACATGAAGAAGATGGCCAGCAGGATGCCGCGGCCGTGTGCTTTGTAGAACGCCCGTCCCAGGCGCGCCTTGTCCACATCTCCGTTGGCTCTTTGCAGCTCCTGGCGCCACGCATCCTTGAGGCGGTCACCGGCTATGTCGGCCGAGTCCGCCGGGTGTATGTTCCACAAGTCTTTCATCTCCACCGGACGCCGGAAGCCAATCAACAGCAGGTAGTTGACCCAGTGGAATGAGATCAGCGACAGCCAGCCTGTCGTCAACATCGGGTAGCCTTTCTGCCGCTCGGATGCCTTGAATGGATTGAACGGCAGCAGGCGTTGCCAGAGGGGACTGGCCGATGCACAGTTGGCCCTCTTGCTCTCGGCTTCGTTCTTGAGGTACTGCGGCAGGGTGACGCCATCGGAAATCGCTTGGTCATACGAGTTCGATCGGATCAGGACGGAGACCGAGTCGCGGCGTAGCTCGGCGACGCCGCCGAGCTCTGCGTGGTGCTGACCGTTCACCGGCCCTCGTCCATTCACACTGCTTGCCGCCGCATCCGCATTATCCACTGGCACAGCAGTGCGCTGGTCATTGGGCTGCGGCACGGATGCCATGATCCGCTTCAGCCACTGGCAAAATGCTGATAGCAAATTACACCAGCTATGCCAATATTACTGTTGCTGTTGTTGTTGCTGCTGCTGCTTCCTGATTACTACTAATGCTACACTAACACTGTAACAGTCTATGCACCGGGCTGGCAGCCACTGACTCCATTTACGCACTCATCTCATCCTCACAGAGAAGAAGAGTCCGATTGAACTTTTCTAGGGACCAAACTCACCAAAGGTACTTCAGTTGACTTAGCAAAGTACGCTACTGAGAAGTGCAAGTCTCAATGAACTGGGCCCTCCACGATCCACACCCACGGTCTCCGACACGAGCCAGCAGCCCGTATCACTCGACACCGCTTTGCAGCTTCTCACAAATCAGCACTCGGTTACCAGAATCAATAGATATTTCCTATTCCAGAAATGCGATGAGAAACACACAGCGCGCGACGACTATTGCAGTGGCTATTATAATTATTATCCAAGGGATATTTTCCTGATTTACAATTATTTACATGCCCACGCGCGTGCACGCTTGGAGCAAAAAAAGGTACAGAAGCTAGTACTATACTAGAACACAGCCTACAGAAAGTAAAGTGGCGATCGCAATAATTATTTCAACGGAACAGTCGGACAAATTGCAAAACCACCGGCTACACTGACATACTTATGTAGGGCTACTACTAGCGACGCTTAGCCGTACCGCGAAACTAATTATTACTTGGTAAGGGGCCGTCCGTAAATATCGATGTTTTTTTAGAGACGATATAGAGGACTTTCCAATGAGTCATACCATGCGGCCTAAGAGGATTCGGGCCAAAGATCATCGAGTTCACCACCGATCACCGGACTTGAAACGGAGCTTGGGTGGCAAAAAAAGAAGACTGCATGCACTGGAAGGAAACAGTGTTTTTCGAAAGCTGCTCGCGATCGGATGTTCCCACACCTGGATCGTCTTTGAGTTGTTATCGTTTTCCCTACGATGGAGAACGACGGAACCAGTGGATGACGGACACACGACTCGAGAACTTCGCTCCTTATGCAAATACTTCGAAGTACACGAATATTGTTCCATCACTTCGTTGGCGAAGAGAAAACCAATGATCATCCCCTGTCACCCCAGTACGTATCGAACTAACTAACTAACTTGTTCAGCTCATTTGTGGCAGCACCAGTAAAGGCGGAAACACGAAGATGATTCCGAACACTATCAACTTACTTAGTTTGTTGGGGTGCAAGGTATAGCTGGAGTTTGACGATTGATAGTGCTGATGCTGATGGTAATGACTAATGTACCCAGCTCTATTATAATGCACGTACCTCTACATGACTGGTGGTGCTAGCTATTCTAGTACTGGCCCTGGGTGCAACTCATCATCTCTTCCATGCGAGTGTGTATGCCTCATGTTCTGCACAATGTGTATTTCCTTTGTCATGGATAAATACTCTGATCGACCTACTTGCGCAATCTTCTTCTGCTTCCCACTTGGTTGCTGCGCTGTGCAGTTCTTCATCTGCTGCAGCACATACTAGTATACCTCATCTTCTGTCTGTCTGGTAAATTAGGTACATGTATTCAGCTTCTTGATCTTCTTGTGGTGAGGATCATCTTGATCTTACTTCTTGTGTAACTCTTGCAAAGGCAGTAATGGAGGACACTCTACCGGTAATCAGCAACTGCTTATGGAGAATGCCAGGTCGAGGGACGACCAGGAAAAAACAATTGCTGTATTGGATGTGCATTCATCAGCGTGTTCTAAGATCAGGACAACTAAGTTCGCCACTACACCAGCTTTTTTTGGCTACATAGGAGCAATGATGATGATGGCCGTGTTTGACTTTGTCAGCTTTCGTGCTACCAGCCACCACATGTCAACATTGTCATACTCGTACTGATAAGGAAGAAAAACCCACACACGCACGCGCGCACACACACACACACACACACACACACACACACACACACACACACACACACACACACACATGGATACACTGACAGGCATGCAAGCAAGAGAGTCAGGCAGCGAAAGAGAAGTGAGACTACTTGTAGGTTATGGGCACGGTGCTCCAATTTCTGCCCAGCTGAAGTAAAATCCATGTACACTATTTTCGTGTAGTGTTCATTGACGGTGCCAGCCATTGGTGACCCAGTGGTGTAGGTGTTGACATTCAGCACACATCACATTTCAGTCTCCAACGTGAATTCAGTCAAAACAACACTGCACTGCAGCAACATGGGAGCATGCTTCTCCCAGGCCCACTATGCAAGTGCAGTGTGCGTCAAGAACAATTCCAGGTATTTCAGCAGCTACCTATTAAAGGATGGACAGGTTCGGCAAAAACACTCCGCGAGTGCCTGACGTTTGCAAACGAATTTTGTTGACAGTTGTTGTTTCTTCCTTCGATGGGGCAAGACACGATAATGTGCCAACCCAGCCAGCAATGAGACACATGCATTTGTATCCATCAGGGCTATTGTAAGACTTTAGAGAGTCCTTTGCATATGTGCTGGGGACATTCACTAAATATTTAGAGAGGCCTGGATACCCAACGCAGGGGGATTGGCTGAAAGGTCTTCGTCCATAGGTAAATATGGGTCAATGTACTGGGCCCACGGATTCTGTCAATCTTCTCGCGGCAACGCCTCTTCAAGGCTGGAATAAACAGTAGAGTAACTGCGGCTGGTAAGCCTCGCGATTTACCGAAACTATTCACCACATAAAAGAAAAACAAAAGTGCTTCACCACTGCGACGGACTGCAATATCATTTGAACCGTACACCGAACAACACATAAATTTTGATTCTCTTTTTGCCACCCAAGCACATTTTACCGTAGGTCACGGACTTGTCTTATGGGTGATCTTTGGGTGGACACCGGGAAGGCGCCAAAAAGGTGATGTAATGGAAAGTCCTCTAATGGTGCTTCTCTCCCTTGACCCCCCTCCCTCCCCCCAGAAGACGCACATGTACATCTAGATCATGGAATCAATATTTTTGGATGCTCATGAAGTGCCCAGGATGTTGAGGGTCCGGTGTAGGCGTGAAAATCCCGCCGCACTCACGCAATAGCTGCATCGCCTGGGGGGAGCGAACCGGGTTGGCGCTGCAGTGCTCACAGCCATCGTGTACTGGTGTAGCCAAAGCGGCTACGCTCGGGCTTAAATTTTTCAAATCCTTGTTCAGACAGTGAAGACTGGAAACTCTTCTGGAGTTCGTCCGTGTTTGTTCGCACTGCCTCTACGTCTTGAAAAAGGTCTCCTGCAGGCATCGTTCGGCCGATTTCCACAATCAATAGCTCATTCTTTTGCTCTTGAAATTCGCCATGGGCGTACAGCTTCCAATTTTTGATTTTGTTCTTGTGTCGCGAGTTTTAGCTCCGCGAACGGAAGCTGGTTTCACATTTCTTGTATAGCCATTTAGACGTCCGCGTGCAGGGATCGGCGAAACTTCAGATATTTACATCGATATTTTTCTGATGCTCGAAAAGACGCACATGGCTCAAATCCCCTCCCCCCCCAGACGCACCAATATCGTCTCTAAAAAAACATCGATATTTACGGACGGCCCCTAAAACAACGGAAATAGGCCTGTGTCGCGTGTGCATGTGGCCGACTTGATGGAGATATCGAGGCCCAGAGCTAGCTAGAGGCAGAGGTCAAAGTCCCAGAAATACCGTACATTATATCGACCACCGTATCGTGTACGCACTGAGTCTGTACGCACTCACGTAGATCTACCGGTACGCCCTTTCTTCCTGTGCATGCTCTGCAAAAATCCATACAAGAATACATTCCCCCTCCCCCCCCCCCCCCCCCAGATTGGGCAATCAGAAGTTATGATAACGAGTCTGGACGATGGAGACCAAGGACAAACGTCACTATGACTTGCATTATTACCAATACCATGAGCATGACACAGTATTTTTTCAAGGAAACTCATACATGTCATGCATCATGGAGGTCGTTAAAATGACTGCTGTAGTTCATTTGCATTGTGTTCTTGATGTAACTAACTTGACATCGGCTGTCAAGTATTGGACAGGTCAAGTGTCAGCAGACCAGGTAGGTACTACTAGTACTACAGTAGTCTGGGTATATTCTGCAGTGAAGGACAATATACATGTACATGTAACTGGTTCATGCATGTTTCTCATGAGGCATGTGCTACCATGCCATGAGTGCAGTACAAACAGGACACGCCCATAGAACACGGTTGCATTACTAGTATTTAGTTCTCCACATCGGGCCAATACAAAGCAAATGTTGCTGTTTCCTGTCACTTGAAAACGCACAAAAATGGAATGTGGCTCGGGCAGAAAAAGACAACGGAAAATAAGCGTCACTGAGCCGACCAGTCAGAACGGGATCAGACAAGCTGAAATCAACTAGCACAGCTACGCGGCCCAACAGTAGCGTGCACATCTCCGTCAACGAATTATATGCCACACCCATCAGCAACGCATGGTCACCTTGCTTCGGGATTCTGTTCAACTTGAGTCTGGATGGTAGGACTGTAGCTCACCTGGAGGTCCGGTGCATGTACAGTGGCATAGAAGCTGGGCTGGACTGGGGCTAGCAAGCGTGACAATACACTCCCTGGGCAACAGGACACGATACCGTCCTCTTTCTTTGCCGCTGCCCGGTCAACCTCCGTCCCATCACAAACAACTTGAGAAACCCCTATAAAGTTGAGGGAAACGCCTTTCCAAAGGCGTACCCTGTGAATACGGCAGACTCGATAAAGTAGCGCGGCGCTCCGAGTGCGCACAGTCTCATCATCTCTTCTGACGATGCGCCCGTGACGTACGCTTTGCAGCGGGGGCCTTGGTGGATGTCGTTTCTCTTCTTCTTCTCTTCCTTGATGGGAACAGTTCTGCATAGTGTGAAAACAGAAAACATGAAAAATAGGACCCGAGGCTTTTGACCGACAGGAAACACACAAAATACATCTCTGTCTGTTCTTGAGATGCAGCCGGCCGTCAGTTTGTTGCTTTAGCAATGGCACATATTCATCTAAAATGGCGGACGCCCACGCTGCATACATGATATGGGCGCACGTGAGCCACGCTGTGGGGACACTTGTTCGATTCCGCATACAAATGTATACAAATGCGTGGAAAAGAAGTTTCTCTAATCGCTGGAACTTGTGAGTTTCTTTCCATATAGACTACTGGTCCTCAAGGTATACAATAGTAGTGACCCAACGAAGTGGAATTTGCGGAATACAACGTTCGAGACGGCTCAACAAGTCAAGAGTGAAGTGTGAATTTACTATGTACGCAAATGAGAAAACCTACTTGTTTCCCCGCAGCGCTAGTCACGTGCGCCTTCAGTGAATACGTGCCATACTGCCATTACGAGATTTTTCCAAAGTCACATCATCATATTAAATCATGAGATTTTTGCCTTTAAAAATTGAACAATAAGAAAATAATTGAAGAATAAGAAAATTGAACAATAAGAAAATTGAACAATAAGAAAATTGAACAATAAGAAAATTGAACAATAAGAAAATTGAACAATAATCAACTTCAAGTACAATAACTGTTATGTTTCTTTTCTATCTCCTGTTGATTTTTCCTTCACACCCCCCCCCCCCCCCTCGAGTGATTAGCACTGATTATTATAAATACCTACCATACTCAATGGAATTAGAAACCGGGGGCTTCTATTTTGTCTATGCCAATTTGAGGGTGCTTCTATTCAAGAGGGTTTCTATTTTGGAGGGGCTTTTAACGTTATTATTTCAATCCATACCAGTATGTGGCGGTATTCCAATCTTGCCCCTATCATCTTGATATCCAAAGCAACTGGGCCTCGAGTTAGTTCACACACACACACACACACACACACACACTACGTCGACCTGGACATGTACCGGTATTTGCATGCAAGTACATGCACGAGAATCGAGATGTTTTGTATGCACTTCACTTGTGTGTGTGTGTGTGTGTGTGTGTGTGTGTGTGTGTGTGTGTGTGCGTGCGTGTGTGTGTGTGTGTGATGTGTGTGTGTGTGATGTGTGTGTGTGTGCAGGGATGAATTTACTGTCATGTTTTTGCATAGCAGTTTTCGCTATGCAAAATGTCAGTCGTGGCGTAAGCTACAAAAAACATGGATAGCCTGCACATGTATGTATTGCAGTTTTCTGCGTGCCACTGGATTTTTGAGTAGCAGTAGATCGATTTTGCGTAGCAAACTGCGATGCGATACTGGATAAATTCATCCCTGGTGTGTGTGTGTGTGTGTGTGTGTGTGTGTGTGTGTGTGTGTGTGTGTGTGTGTGTGTGTGTGTGTGTGTGTGTGTGTGCCAGTTGTGTGGATTAGACAGTTATCTGGCGCTTGTCTTGATCTGTTTCAATCAGAATCAGATCCGCTATCGTTGCTATAAAGAGAAAATCTGTGGGTGCACATCCAGTGTAGTTGCAGATTTGCGTGCTTCTCTTGCGACGGGCATATACATGGTACATGTGTGTGTGTGTGTGTGTGTGTGTGTGTGTGTGTCTGTGTGTGTGTGTGTGTGTGTGTGTGTGTGTGCGCGCACGTGCATGTGTGTGCGTGAGAGAGAGAGAGAGAGAGAGAGAGAGAGCATGCGCTTGTGGCTATCAGTTAACTTGCTACCTACCGGCATCAGGGTCTTCACCGACTTCTTTGCGGTAATAATCCGCATCATCCTCGCTGTCCTCTGACGCGTGGCTACGCTCATTCACTGTACAGCGCAGATACATATCACGTAAAAAATACCATGGGTTTTCGACTTTGTTTACACAGCAGAAGCAGCAACAGCAACAATGGTGACGATGGCACAAGACCCATGCAGTACAGTGCAGCGCTAGCGTAAAAGTGGATTGTTATCACGGGAACCAAACCAGCAACGCCTTTTCACAAGGGCCAACAAGGTGAAAAAATCCTGCCAGCACATCGGTCCAAGTGAAAAGAAATCTGCAGTCCTAACCTGCATCGGCGGGCATCATCTTCTTCTTCAGTCCGTCACGACACTTTTTCCTGTCAACAGCAAAAACAGCAGTAGTGAGAGAAGAACCAGGAAATAATTGCATTAGTATGAGCAGAGGTCTGACTCGAACATAGTCATTGTCACCGACACTATAAAGGAGTCCTCCTTTGCCAAAAAAATAATCGTAACAAATCTTGAAATTTGAGAGAGAGAGAGAGAGAGAGAGAGAGAGAGAGAGAGAGAGAGAGAGAGAGAGAGCGAGAGCGAGAGCGAGCGAGAGAGAGAGAGAGAGAGAGTTAGCATGTATAGTCTTGCTGGTTGTGAAATCCAGAATTCGTGGAAATTTCATGTCGGTAGCCAACAAATATCTGGTGATCGTCAAGTTTAAGTGGTGTTAAAACAGGACATGTAGTGAAATATCACATTTTGATCCTACAGTACAATCATGTACCCATACAGCACAGCATCCCTGTGTGGCACTGATCGCAACTACTTACTTGTGCTCCTCGCGCTTCTTGGCTTTTAACTTGACGTTCTTCTCCTGCTCACGTCTCCGATGCACACGTAACTCTCTGTACGAGAAACAACAGCAGAAGGAAACATCACTACTGTTCAGTAGAATACAATGAAAAGTCACGAGAGAGAGAGGGGGGGGGGGGAGAGAGAGAGAGAGAGAGAGAGAGAGAGAGGGGAGAGAGAGAGAGAGAGAGAGAGAGAGAGAGAGAGAGAGAGAGAGAGAGAGAGAGAGAGAGAGAGAGAGAGAGAGGAACAGAGCAAGCATTAGGTGGAGGCGAGAAGTCACTAAGTTGGTACTGGGAGCTGCGCAGCAGGAATTCTGGCACAGTAAAAAGTCTATCACCCGCCCCCGCCCCCAGAGTGTTCAAAGTCTCTATTGGGCTGCGTGGCGGCAAAATGAAAGCCTTGCGTCAGCCAAGGGCTGCCAGATAAAGCTGTAGATTGTATGACTGTGTTGCCAGATTTGTGACTGACTTGTACACAAATCACGCATGTTGCCCCACCACCGGTGCGTATGACCATAGTACTACAGTCCATTCAGAAAAAAATGAACTTCTAGCTTTTGGCCATAAATGGGTCAAACGTTGAGTTTTTTTAGAATTTTTTTCTGCAATCCCATATGGAATCCTCTTCCAATTATGTTTCTGAAGTTTTTTTGTCCAAAAAGCAAGCCATAGCAAGAATAGGATTTCGGCCAGGTTTTGCCCCAAAAGCACTGAATTGGGAAAAACCATCAAAATCCAGGTCGTTTGACCCCGCCTGCAACAGTGCATTCTGCGGTTCGAACCCCAGTTCAGGCACCCTTTTTGGACCCTTTTTCAAATTTCAAAGTTCGCAGCACTGCACTGTGTACGATGAAATCACGAAAAATCACCAAATACGGGAGCTCGCCAGAACCTATCTTTTTATGAATGGACTGTAATTACTGATTTATGAAGTTTGGATTTTTTGCCCAGGCCAAATCCCAATGCAGAAAGTGATGAGCACCGCACAGCTGGTGTATAGGCTCTTGATGGAAGACATGCACATAATGGCCTTCACAACAGCCGTGGAAGGTGTGGTAAGGCATAGTGCCGGGTAACACGCTACATGTACATGGTTATGCAGTACGGAGCACTGCAAAACGTGCAACTATAACAGACCGGACTAAAAAGTCACAGTAGGTCGATGCGCTAAAGGCATAAAAAAAAAAACTTACTCTCGTGCCTTCTTCTCGGCTTGCATGGTTTTGACCTCTTTCTTAGTTTTCTTGACTGTATGGGCATCATACAGACAGACAGACAGACAGACAGATAGACACACACACACACACACACACACACACACGTGCATGCGAGCGGACACATGCACATAGATGTTCAGTTAGTAACAGAGAACTTCCACAAGGCCACCGGTGATCGTTATCAGTTGGCTGTGCAAGCAACGAAATCAACCAAAATAAAATCTTAGCGAACATTACGAGCTATACATCGTAAAAGTTGCCTTTGGGTCATCATAATAATAATAAAACTTATAAATGCACACCGAAAGCTCAAGTATTCATCAGTTTGAGGGAGTGTCAAGTAGTGAATATTATAATTATGGGGATGAGAGGTAGAAGCCAGTGTTTGTCGAAACTGGACTGGGCCAGAGAGTTCTCAACAAGAGCAGAATCTTCACAGACATCTTGTACATGTATTATACAGAGTATAAAGTTGCACAAACAGCACAAGTTTGAACAAGTTCAAGGGAAATGCAAGAAGAACAAGTCCAGTAAGGACTTGCTGCAGTGTCTAGTTAGCAACTTTAATTGAAGCAGCAGTAGCACCAGCACAGAGGTCATTAGTAGACTCATTACTTACTGTAGGAATGATAGATAACCTCCCCATCACAGAAGCCATCCTCAATACGCATCAGTTGCATTGACACTCGCGGACCCAGCTACACATCAGAACACAGAACACAGAACACAGTACTACACGTTTTACAAACTGTGTACATGTAGTGTGTAAGACAATAGAAACAAGACTACAAAACTGAAAGGATAACATGCAGGGAGAGGGGGGGGGGGGAGAGGAGAGAGAGAGAGAGAGAGAGAGAGAGAGAGAGAGAGAGAGAGAGAGAGAGAGAGAGAGAGAGAGAGAGAGAGAGAGAGAGAGGGAGAGGGGGGGGGGGAGAGAGAGAGAGAGAGAGAGAGAGAGAGAGAGAGAGAGAGAGAGAGAGAGAGAGAGAGAGAGAGAGAGAGAGAGAGAGAGAGAGAGAGAGAGAGCTACTGGCAGACTGAACACAATCATACCTGCAAACTATCAGACTTCTAAACAGTGAACAGCACACTGGCATGAGAGAGAGTGTAGCAAGGAGCAGCACAGCAGAGGACAAGTGAAAAGTAGCTTGCCCAGCCGCACCAACACCAGCACCCAGTGACGTACCTCGGTCAAGCGTACTGCACTGCGCTGCTGCTTCAGGTTGCCTCTGCCCGGCACATTCTGAGGCAGCGTGACCTGTGTGTCAGCAGGATCCTCTGCTTCGCTTTCTGATCCAAGGCCACCACTGGAAAGAGAGAAAAATATTAAATAGAGGAGCAAAGCAGAAGAGAATAACAATGAGTCAGAACAGCACAGCATCAAGAGAAGGTATGGAATGCTTGTACTGCTTCAAGCAGTCACGTTGACTTAGTGCTTGGACAGTTACGCACAGCACAGTTACCATCCATGAGACCGGCCTATGGCGGTCCTTGAGCACAGGTGGTCTCTGAAACCAGGGCGACCTATGTACACTCACTCCACGCATGTTGGTGCTAACAAAAAGTGGTTTTACAGGCCACGCCACTGCTAAACCAGGTATCACAATGTGACATGTACACATACACATCTTCTACCATAACGCAGTCAAACAGAGGTGTTCTATCACAAACCGCACCAACAATCATAAATGATAAAAACCAGCCAGAAAGCCGAGAAGTTGAGGAACGATGACATGAGTAGACAGGCCTATAATACTCCTACGATCATGGATTGTCGCCAGTCTGCATAGTGTTGGCCTCAATAGCGTGAATGGAAGTACACTGTACAGCGCCTGAGAATCTCCATAAGAACCAGTCCTCACGATATGCACACATCATAGCAGCAGCAACAACAGCAGTAGCAGCAGCAGCAACAGCATTGACTTACTTTAGCAGATAGTCACTGATATCACTACACGTGCTGAGGTTAGGAAGCTGTAGCTTGAGCAATCTCTTCACCTGCCGACTCATACCTACGGGCACAGCCTGCACATGACTGGGACGGTTCACAACATTCCAACGCAAACACAGACAGACAGATACACACGGACACACAAATATGCATGCACAAACACAGACAGTAACAGGCACACACACACACACACACACACACACACACATCTTGCACCCTTCAAGAAGACAGCAAACTCTACAAGTCAACTCAAACCTTTTTTTAAAGAGCACACACCAGACCCAAACACATACCCTACATACATACAATGCCTTCTTTCTACAGCACTAACCAACAAAAAAGAGTCCACTTACAAATGACGGATGTATACAAGCTGCTTTTCAGAGTCGTAGGTGATGAGAACACAACGGCGGATGTCAGCCAACTTCAACTACAGACAACAATCAAACATAGAAGTAACACGCTAGATACAAGCTCCCTGGTCAACTAACTGAAATAGGGCAGACAACAGTAGCCAGGGCACAAGGTTATGCACACATGCAAGTGGTACGGAACAATCTACATCAGAGCAATACCAGTTTATCAACATTAGCAACAGGCCATTGTGAGAATAAAAGATTTCAAACAGCAGCGTACGCATCAGCATAGCAATCTGCACAGTTTCAGTCCAGAAAAGTGCTTGCAGGCTGGCTGTGCATGTGTGTGACTGACAGCGGCTGCATAGCACAATGTCAAACCGGCGGACATGCAGACCAACAACACCGCCGCCGGGCCCCACACCGGACTCACCTTCTGTATATTAATAGCCGGGAACATGTTCTGAAACATGCTGGCCATGACCTTCATATGCGGTGCATCGCCACTAAAGTTATTCAGAATTAGCTGAGGAGAAGACGCAAAGAGAGGCACGAACAAATGCAAGCCTGCTACAAAACAAAACAAAAACCCTACTGAAGAGGAACCAGCTGCAAGTCATAAAAAGAACCATTCATGTCACAAGCTGATTATCAGGGGAGAAACAGTATTGTTTATAAAACACCCGAAAACACACTGTTAGCCAATTCTTACCAATGCTGGTGTCTGAAACTGTGCTGCACCGGATTTAGGCCGGCGCAAAACTGTAGCAATATCCTTCATGAACGAATACTGCACAAACCAACAAATACGAAGGATATAAACTACTTTAAAATAAGCAGAGACGAGGAAGTTGAAGGAAAGTCTGCACGGCTTGCTCAGCCAGTGCGAGGTGGGGGATACACTAGTAACAACAGGGCCAAGATGTGACCATGACCGGGTACCAACAACAGGGCCAAGATGTGACCGGGACTGGGTACTAACAACAGGGCCAAGATGTGACCGGGACTGGGTAGACCCGGGTGCTCGAAGGCTGACCATGGTATCCTAATTGCCACCACCCACAAGTTCATGTCTGTGATCGTATTCTACTCAAAATCATTGCTGAGGGGACACTATAATCCTTCTATAAGGCCAATTTCAGGGGCCTGCGATAAGCAGAAATCCCATACCACGCGAGTGGGTTTTCGAAGTGCTGTTACAACGTACAAGTACAAATTGGAGTACATTTCATACGAAAAAGAACTTTGGCTCAAACGATTTTGAGCGGACATGGCATCAAACAGACAATAACTCGTACGTAACTTAGTTGTATCAAAAGCCAGGTAAGCGCTGAGCGTGCCCAGATAAGGAGCAACTACAAAGACCCACCAATCGTTGCAGAAGGATCTGTCGGTTGGTAGTCGTGGACTGGTCATTTTAACATCTTTCTCGCAATTTGGATTCTTATCTCCGACTAAAATATAAATCACAGCGAACACATCTAAACATGCAACAAAGCAGCCTTTTCTCATGCATTAACATACCCACCCCACTCCCACATCAAAGTGCCGTGTACGTTGTACAAACAGACCCTGTGATTTGAAAATAGGTGGCGAGTGATCTATCGCTCTCCTCGCCTGTGTCAGGCGAGCTGTAGGAGAGTGATCCAAAAATTCTCACTCCAACAACACAGCACATTATTGATATCATTTTTTTAGAGAAAAAATTCTGGATGCTTTCTGAATTTCCACCATTGTCTTGAAAGATGACAGCGGTTGGCCGTGAACTGCCATCAAATATGCAGTGTGGAAGAGCTTTCCGTATGCGTCCTCCGCTTGGACTAGAATAGCTGTGTGGATGCGTGGCTGCTGAGGCGCTTGTGTTGCCTTGCTCCCTGATGCAGACGTCGACGATGATTTGTCGGTGTCACCCAATAGCTTCGCATGGCTCACTCCGATGCTATGCGCCTACATGACAACAAGCGAAGAAAACAAGGAGAATGGTCGCGAGTCCGATCGACTTTACTTTCGACATTGAATTGACCACTTACCTGTCCAGACAAATGTCGAGTGACAGCGTGCTTCGTCACGTAGTCCGATCCCTCCACAAACCTCAACGCATCGACCTTCGCTTGACCTCTCAGCCATAGAGTCGCTCCGGATAACGTCAGAATACTTCGCACACGACTTGCACCACACTTTCACGACCAGCTCTTTACCTTCCTTCTTCACCGAGTTGAAGCCTATGTCCTCATCTACTTTCCAGCTGAGGAAAGTGGACAACTGCACACTGTTCCCTTTCGACATTTCTACTGCTAGCAGCAGCAGGAGATCACCAGCAAGGGATCATGTCGCAAGGAAAGAAAACAACTGGTATGATCAACTCCAGTTGACCAATTGGCCTTTTATTCTAAGAGTAAGAGGACAAAAGAGCCATTTGGGTGCATTTACTTGCAACGCATGCACTAGCAGAACTACCAGAACTACTAGTCTATGTCAGACTGCGGTCTATCTTGCTACTCGGACCCGCCAGGCGCTAGTTCAGACTAGGGTTGTACGGACCCCTGCGCTGCATGCAGGGGTCCGTAAAACCCGTTGAACTGGAGTGTTTCATGAGTGGTGGTAGATCTACGCGGCACAGCTCTGACTAGTTCAAGCCGCAATCATTCATCCAGACGTGTGAAATGCCCCGAGGTCATGCCAGGCTAGCTGGGCGCCATGCCAGTGCAGTGCCTATGTCACACTCACAGTGTACGTGCAGTGAACTTGCCTACTCAGTACTGTGCATGTCACTACACATGACTAACTCACTGTCTAGTCTGTTTCATAACAGCGCGAGCGGGCACAGTTCCGGCCTGCGCACGGATCGATGAGTGCACTTGACACCATACACTCGTACTAGTCATAGTACAGTAGTAGTTGCGCTGCACTCCGAAAAGCGTACATGCAGCCAAAAATAGTTTCAGGCGCGCGACAAAAAGTGCACCTTCCAAGAAAATAAGGCGCGCGATGGCGCGCGAGAGCGATCGCTCGCCTCAAATCACAGGGTCTGTACAAAGAAGCAGATGTGACGCTAAAACTTGCCACATCTATTCAGGCATCTAGCATACCGTTTAACTTACCTCATTCACTTGGAAGAAGAGAGTTGGACCCCTTGGAAACCTTGCCATACGCTGCGCACATACACAGAATACGCCAAAAGGAAAGGATCAACGACATGTGCGCATTGCCCGCTTCCTGCCCAACATGAAACTAGCGAAATATGAGTAGTCAACTGGTCATGCTGAGTTAACACACATAGCGCATGCAGCCATACGTGAATGTACATGACCGTACTCCTAGCAACCTGCACATGCCCCCTGCAGGCATGCTGGGAGAGAGAGAGAGAGAGAGAGAGAGAGAGAGAGAGAGAGAGAGAGAGAGAGAGAGGGGGGGGGGAGAGAGAGAGAGAGAGAGAGAGAGAGAGAGAGAGAGAGAGAGAGAGAGAGAGAGAGAGAGAGAGAGAGAGGCAATGGCTGCACGACACTCACAAGGTTGGTGTGCTCCTCGGTCTTGGTTAGCATCAGCATGTGTGTAATTCCCAGTGGACCAGCAACAGCAACGTAATCCTTGATCACATTGTTCTTTCTCACCTGGTTACAAAGCAAAGCAGAGCAAAGCACAGCACAAGTAAGATCATCTCAGTAAAGTAGGTACTGTCAACTGCAATCAAGGGCTACTCGCACATAATGACACTTGTCTCATGCACGGTCGAGGGTCACTATTCGCAAAGGTTGACTATATACCAATATCGTGACTGACGCAGCACTCGCTACATCGCACTCGCAGTAGCGTTTGCAGTTTGCACTGCAGTGTATGTGACGTCTATGGTCCCAATGTGGATCGGGAACCGGGGGAGAGGATGGTAAGGACCGCATTACAGGGTATATCGGGAACCAGGGGAGAGGATGGTAAGGACCGCATTACAGGGTATATCGGGAACCGGGGGAGAGGATGGTAAGGACCGCATTACAGGGTATATCGGGAACCGGGGGAGAGGATGGTAAGGACCGCATTACAGGGTATATCGGGAACCGGGGGAGAGGATGGTAAGGACCGCATTACAGGGTATATCGGGAACCGGGGGAGAGGATGGTCAGGTAAGGGCCGCATTACAGTCTATACAGTACAGAAGACCTACTTTGAGCTTGGGCGCCGTGAAGGGCTCCATGATTCGCCGCAAATCCATCACGAGACGAAGTACGTTGTGGCCCACTTCGCCACGCGACACGACAATCGCCTGTGGAGGTCGAGCACCTTCATCTAAGCTTGCGCCACTTCTAGGCTTAGCAGAGGTCAGCACCTTCTTCTTCTTCTGCAGTGAAGAACAAACAATACGGAACATCAAGGATAATATAGTAGGAATGAGATATCAGCAACGGACACAAAAAGGAGATGTCCGTGTGTCTGTGTGTGTGCAGGTATGTGTGTATGTGTGTGTGTGTGTGTGTGTGTGTGTGTGGCGTGTGTGTGTGTGTGGCCTGAAACCTGGCAATCACTACGGCAGTATTTTGATCATGCTGATGGCTTGATTGCTAGAATCATTCCCGAAACACACATATCTGCTTGTCGCTGGCGCCATGTTGTCTGATTCCAAGTATGCGAGAACCTATTCAGTCAACAGTGTGCCTGAGCAAAGTTCATTCCAGGCCTGGATAAGGTATGTAACAGTCTCTGCTTGCAAACTAAAAACGTGTCTAAGCCGATCGCGCTCGAGGGACCTTCAAAAATGTGGCCGCTGTGTACAGGTGGTCTCCTTCTCCAGGTTCGTATTAGTAGAAATGAACCCTCGGTCCAGACCATGGTTGTTCTATGGGGCAGGTGGTCAACATGACAGGTTTTACTGAATCCTGCTTTGTGACTAAGTAAAGTTAGCCGGATTCGCGGCCGCATCACCTGACGTGTTGAGGAACACATCAAGCAGAGACATTTGCATCGGCGGGCCACCACTTCACCCATAATTCTATCCTTAGTGTCGAATGCAAACCTCACAAGTTAGTCAGGGGAGCGGGGGATACGTTTCTCAAACAAGCGGGCGTGTAACCGCCCTATAGCACCATAAACCGCATCCTTGTCACGCTCACTCCGAGCAAGTGTCACCGTGGGTGTCGGCACAGTTCATTGCATGTAAAGCGGTACTCGCTCGCATCACCGCAATTGAGAGAGCACTAAACACACTCCTTGTTAACAGCGCAGCTTTAGAACTCGGGACTTCATGATTCACAGGCAAGCCTGCAAACCAATTGGCTATGCGTTGGTGTGACTGCAGTCTAATATTCCTGAACATTCCCTACCTTTGAGAGAAATGATGTGTACATACTCACACCACAACAACACCAGAGGAACAATACGTACCGATGTAAACGTCGGTTTCATGTGAATATCACCAGAAATCTTCATCACACTGAGGGTTGGACTACAAAAGGAACTATTATAAGTTCGACGTTAAAACGACGTTAAAATCCATACTTATTGTTCCTCTGGCCTGCTGGTGTCATGGTATGACACGGCTGTCAAGAAGCGGCAACTTAAAAAGATGGCGTCGGTTCGAGATGGCATGGTAACGGCGCACGTGCCGTGGTCCGTGACTTGCTCATGTATGCACGCAAATGCAAGTCACAAACTCACAAAGATCGTCTTTGCATTTGGAGAAAATATCTTCGACTCTCTTTGGAGGTTGGCGAGGTTTGCCTAATCTTTACTTGATTGCGATGCCAGTATGTCCTCTCAACAATTAGAACAAAGAGAGCTGATGATAGCTTCATTGCTGAGCAGAAGTAACAATCAACTCTCCTCATGTCCTCAGTGCCAAAGGCAGACGACTGCAATTCCACAACGCTCATTTCACGATGATGGAAACAATAATCGTGTACTAGTACACACTTGGACCATTTGGTCATCCCTATTCTAGCCGCTAGTCCGTCCAGCAAGCAGATATTGACTATTACGATAAGGACAACTGCGTGAACGAGGGCTCGCCCAGCAAATACAATTCAAGTCGTGACTCCAGTCAAGAATTAGGGTCTTTACTCGAGAACTTCACAAATACAGGCCAAGGCACCCCACAAAACTGATAGATGGCACGAACGAAAGACAAATAGGCTAGACAAAGTGTCCCAAGTGATTGAAAACAGCAGATCTACCAAATAAGACAGCTACATGTGCCTAAACAACGATTCCTATACAGTAGAGAGTAGTATCAGGCAGAATGAAAGCCTTGGAAGTGCACAAATACAGCCACGACCGCCACAAAAAAATTCTCATTGCTCTACCTCCTTGAAGGGTGAAAGTTACCAGTTATCCTATAGCGATGTCAGTTTATGCCTGTTGGAACCCCCCACAGCCCGCACGAAATACCTTTCAAATAATTCCAGGATGCAATTGCAGCTCCAGACAGGAGGAAGAAGAACACCGTGAAAAATAATGGCAACGATGCCCAAACTCTCGGGAACGGCTGAAGTCTTCCTGAAGATGTTAACATTGAATAGCCATCGATTACCAGCGTGGTTTTGGTGACTTTAGAAATGTTTTGAGACTTAAAACGAAGCGATATCTCAAATTTGATGGAATTGTTACCTGTCAAATGCGTGGGCGAGCAGGCCAGCTGACTGGTTATGCATGAGCATGCATTGATTTTTCATGGTTCACGTGCAGAAAACTAAGTTGCAGCGATCCAAGTGCAGCTAACAGCCGTGATGAGAGCGGACACATCATTTTTTTCGGTATTAAAGGGGAAGTATACCCTAAAATCAAATTTTCACCAGTTGTAGTCTTCGGGGTGCTGAGTCGAATGGTCTTGGTCCGAGGAAGCTGAGACGCTCCCTTCCTACTTGAATCCCAATCGAACTCGCGCACTTCCACCGAAACTGGGTGACTGCGCCCTACTAGATGGGGATTTGTATGCAAAATGTCACTAAAAGCGCCATTTCGTTCTTATAAAAGCACGGATGACCGCGATTGGCCTATATGTTGCAGTCTTTTGGACGCTGAGTCGACTGGTTTTGGTCCGAAAAGGCTGCGATGCAGCGTTCCTCCTTTATTCCCAATCGAACATGGTTGAAGAAGCGGTCACGTGGTCCTGGTTGCCCAAATCACCTGGTCACCGCGCCAGCAGGCGACAACTTTCACACCAAGGTTCAACTCGAGTGACAGGACTGCACCCAAAAAAGGTCAAACAGGCTAGTAAGTTGTACCCTGCAGGCACGGTGACCAGCTGACTGGTGTACGCAGGAGCACGTGACCGCTTGTTCAACCATGTTCGATTGGGAATAAAGGAGGAACGCTGCATCGCAGCCTTTTCGGACCAAAACCAGTCGACTCAGCGTCCAAAAGACTACAACATATGGGCCAATCGCGGTCATCCGTGCTTTTATAAGAACGAAATGGCGCTTTTAGTGACATTTTGCATACAAATCCCCATCTAGTAGGGCGCAGTCACCCAGTTTCGGTGGAAGTGCGCGAGTTCGATTGGGATTCAAGTAGGAAGGGAGCGTCTCAGCTTCCTCGGACCAAGACCATTCGACTCAGCACCCCGAAGACTACAACTGGTGAAAATTTGATTTTAGGGTATACTTCCCCTTTAACCCTTTACTGTCCGTACATACAAGCATCGATCCAATGGGATCGATGGGGTAGGCATTTTGAAATTATCGTAACTTGCTCAAATCTAGGTCTTTTGGAGAGATCGAAATATGTAGGTCGAAGAGAAAAGTCTCAGCTGTCGCCTCGAACAATTCCCAAAGCGATACGAAGAGCGGTTGCTGAGTTATCGCTCTCGTAATTCTGGTCCCGGGAAATGTGCGTTCAGAGCGCGACGCGCATGTCGACGGCTGGGATTTTCCCTGTTTACGTCACCTGTTGGCAAGGCTACACCGATTCAAATTCAAAAGTAGGTTCCCGGGAGTCTCTACGAAAATATTTGAGCTCGATACGAGCGACAGGGGTGACATGGTGGATTGAGATCGATCTCGAGCGTGAGCTCAGCGCTTTTGCGCGTTCCCTGGCTTGCAGCGCTGGACCAGTGCATCCTGTGGTGCCGAGTGTGGGCTCATTGCGTGCCTCTCGTCAAGACCTTTCCAGGATGCCCAAGATCGTGGAAATCGTCAGATTCAAACCAAAGCTACGTCTAATTTTAGTTTCAGATTTTGTGGTTGCGTGGGCTTGTATACATTTTAATCGGACAGTAAAGGGTTAAATAGGATTTTTGTCTTCTCGCCGACTTTTTTCCCTACCTTGTTGAACAGTTTGAGTTGGGTCAACTAAAATTACTAAATACTGCCAAAGGCTACTGGTAAGCACTTCACGACCTCCTTTATGCTGCGTGTACACCAGTCATGGAAACCGGTATGAACATCAAACAAATTCGCAGTGCCTCTCACATAGTCATTAAATTTTAATAAACTGTGAAACAGAACATTTTCATGAGCAGCTTTTTTCTACCACTATTACAATAATACATGTACTTGGATATTGTGGGGAGCAAACCCTTTCTTACTTGGATATTCTAGCACAAATAATGCTAGTGCATCAAAGTTATACAATGCCAGAACCATCATTGCCAGTCTACGAAGACAGAAAATAAAAATATTATGAAAAGGTTGAGATTGTGTGCACGTACCCTTCGACCCTTCGCCATACTGCCAAGAAATAAACGCGATCCAGTAAATACCGTAGTATATCAGCTCTTCTTATCACCAAAACGGTGTGCTATGAACAAGGGCACCAGGCACGACAAAGATATAATTACTCTGATCACAAAGAAACAGACTCGAACTGGGCCATCACGACTCGTGTTGAAAAATGAAGGCAAAACGAAAACGGAGACCGAACAGCAAAACAAATGTTTCACGTCATCGATGCATCGTGCCGGCATGCCCCGCGTGGAACATGAAATCCATGATAGTATGACGTAACGGAACATGAGATATCCCGAGCATGCACACGGCGAGCGCCGAGCAGGAGGACCGAGACAGTTGTGCGGGTACGAGTAGAGTCGCTACATGCAGTCGTCACAACTGAACTCCCTGATATATGATCCCGACATGCCGATACTGCGATAGGAGCTACCAATGTCAGGGCCGTAGCAGGCGGTCCGGCAGGTCCGGCAGCTGCCGGACCAATATTCGGCCAAAAAAAAAAAAAAAAAAAAAAAAAAAAAAAAAAAAAAAAAGCAGCTCACAATGCAGCTCAGGATGTCCACCCATGATCATGGTGTACGGTGTTCGTTAGTGCAAACGAGCTGGCCGTACAAACGAGCCGAGTTTCTGGCGAGCGAGCTAACGAGTATCCGGTGAGATTGTTTCAACACTAAAAAATACTCATGCAGCAACAGCAAGAAATGCAGCTACCGGCAGTACAGCACCGTATACCGGGCACCCACTGTAGCCGGTGTAGGCATCAACAAGCAAAGCAATCAAGGTAACCTCCCTGGCCTGGGGTGTACATGTACATACGCATCTAGCGGTTATGTGAAAGAAGTGATGACGAGCCAGCGGAATTCCGGAATTGTGTATAGGCGCTAAGTATGCTACAGTATTCAGCTTATAAGCGCTATGTATACGGAGTGAATCGCAAGTGCATCGCATCGTGATGCTGTGTCGCGACTTTGCCAAAGCATCTCAGCTGATGATGCAATCGCATAATATACATGTATAACCTCAATCTGCGGACAGAACTGTTTTGTCCTTTGTGGACTCACAAATATACAACCTCTGTACTCTGACCTGTACACCGAATGGACCGGGATGTGGTTCTTTCTCCCGGCTACAAAACCTCCGACACCACCTAGCTTTATCTGATTCAATAATACCGGTATCACCGGTAAATCAATAATTATTTTTTTGTAATGAAGGTCAAAGTAAGAACTAACCCAACGTCACCTAGTATAAATAAATATCTTTAGAAAAATAAACTTGATCACTATAGGCGATATACATGTAATTATTACTAATATTAGTAATTTATTACTCATAGACTACTGTTACTATACGCGATAACTATACATGTATATACATACATGTAGGTAAGGCAAATATACATGAATTTGAAAAAATGATCACTATTACTGTGAACTCAAATTCATATCAAGCTGGTCATCCACACGACACAAGGCATATTTTAATACTATTTTAAAATTTTGGACTTATCTAATAAAATTAATATAAACTGGTCACGACAGCAGAGAGTAACCATAGTGACCAAGAGAGTTTCATGGCCGGGGACACATCAGCATGGGCTAGTACAAGCCAGCACGACTAAGGATGCACGTCCAATTTGGAAATATAAATGTGAGTTGAAGTCCCCCACTTACCCCTAACTTGATATAAAACAGTTAGCTGCAACTCCAGCCCAGTTGCAAAGAAAACTGGATCATTTTGGGGCGTAGCGGCCGCCGTGAGTTCCTTCAGGGATGGAGCTGATATGAGTAACATTTCCTTTCCTCATACACAATATTATTGTGTTTCACATTGCCGGTGCCTTGTTGGAGTGTGCCCGAGCCTTGCTTGCAAAGCGTGCAAGAGGTTTTCTTGCAGAGTGCTGGTCTACAGGAGAGGATAGCATTTGCGTGACTATGGAGTTTCGGTCCGACATGAGGTTTGCTGGCGTGTCGAACTCAGCAACATGCCCACCATCAAGTACCAGTAGGCGATCGCTGTCGAGAACTGTGTTGAGGCGATGGGCAATCGTCAGCAAAGTACACTCACCAAAGCACTCTCGGATTGTCTTCTGGATCAGCGTGTCCGTCTCGGTATCTATGGATGCAGTGGCCTCATCCAAGATCAGGATCTTGCTGTGTCGAAGCAAGGCCCGTGCCATGCACATCAGCTGACGTTCACCGACGGAGAAGTTCTCCCCATTCTCTAAGACTTCTGTGTCTAGTCCACTGGGAAGCTGATCAATTGTATCCTTCAAGTGTGTCTGCTGGAGCGCTCTTTCTAGGGCTTCATCACTGTGCTTGTCAAACGGATCCAAGTTGTAACGGATTGTGCCAACGAAAAGCACCGGATCCTGTGGTATAATGGAGAGGCGGGATCGCAAGTCACGCAGTCCTAGCGTGCTGACATCAATATCATCAATGAGAATCCTCCCCGAGTCCAGCTCCACCAGGCGCAGCAGGCAAACAGCCAGCGAAGACTTTCCAGCGCCAGTGCGACCTATGACACCGATCTTCTCTCGTGCCTTGACATCAAAGCTGAGCTCATGTAGAACTTGAGGTGTGCCCTCACGATAACGCATACACACATTGTCAAACGTCACTCGTCCCTGAAATGGCCATTCCGGTGGTGGATCAGTATCTTCAAGATGTTCTGGTGCTTCTTCATCTAATTGCGTGGCATAGTAGTTAAGGCGCTCAACGGATGTGAATCTTGCCTCAACTTCGGACATCATACGCGTTGTGAGCTGTAACTGACCTCCGAGCTGAACAACGTATGCCAAGGCCACTGCTCCAAGGGACACATCAACACTGTCTCTGAACACGACTAGCGTAAGTGCAGTGGCTGATGTGATGATGGCCGCCAAGATGTCTAGACGGAATGCCAGCCAGCGCGACCCCAGGTAGAAGGCCTGGTGGCACACAGTGTTTCCGTCGAGCAGCCGCGAGAACCGCCGCTGGTAGTCACTATTCAGTCCATACGCGTGGACAGTGCTCAAGCCCTGGATTGTGGCGGTTAGGTGAGAGATGTACGGCGTACGGGTAATGCCATCCAGCCGTTTGATGTCTCGAGAGAACAAGATGTACACTCGGTAGATAAGCCCAAACAGTATGGCAGTGACAAAGAGGACGATGAAGAGATATGGGTACACGGAAGATGCGAACAGTACCAACAATAGTATTGTGAACCAATTGCGAACAACTATACCGACACCGAACGGCATAGCTGCATCTAGCTCATCCATGTCCTTGCTGAAGCGGTTCACAATCTGTCCAATTGGCGTACTCTCGAAGAATGACATAGGCGCACGGAATACCTTGCGGAATGCCAGGTCATGAAGACGACTGCAGCCATTTAGTAATACATACATGGCCAGGAGGCTTCTGATTATTGACAGAATGCTGAGCAGAAATGTGAGGCCAAAATAAATGCCAATGTACTGGCCAAGCTTGGGGTTGTCCGAAATGCTTCCCGAATCCACTACTGCAGAAGCTGTTGCTGCATCAGTCATGACACCTGTTAAGGGCACTGTATTGGCAAGGTGGGCAGTAGTCGTGGTGGCTAATGTGTCGTTAGGTATAGTGCTTGATGTGTTCCCAGTGCTACCACTTCCTTGCTTCAGCCAGTAACTTAGCCAGTAGTCCGTTCCAGCCTGAGCTCCAGCAGCAATCAGAGACATGAATAGCAGAGCGAGGACAGGAAGTGCTCCGCCACACGCGCGAATAAACGCCAGGTAAGTTGCCCAACTGATGGAACCGCTCGCTCTATCTTCCGCCTTCACAAGAGTGGCGGGAGGTGCCTTTTTCACATCGCCTTCCTGATCAGCCGGCTCACCGTCATTGCCCGCAGCCAAGCTCATGTCACTCTCATAGAGATCTTCCAAGCTTGCTGTAGTATCTAGGTAAGAGGCACCCAGATCACTGCGCTGCTCTGATTTAGCAGCAGCCTCAGCGGCCTTTTCACACTGGAAGCTATCGATGAGGGAAGCAAAGACTGCATTCTTCGTCACCAGTGTTGCATACTTTTCCACACCAGCCAGCCGTCCGCCAACCATCAATGCAACACGGTCGCAATAAGGCAAGTATTGCAGCTGATGAGTTACCAACAGCACAGTTTTGCCCTTCAGCTCACGCTTGATGAGCTCGCTGAAGATGTGAGCTCCAACATGCGCATCCACGGCACTCAGTGGATCATCGAGTAGATACACATCCCGGTTGGAATAGAGCGCACGCGCCAATGAAACGCGCTGCTTTTGTCCTCCGCTCAAGTTTATGCCGCGTTCGCCAATCTCTGTCATGTCACCATCGGGCAGAATGTCCAAGTCTTGTAGCAGGGCGGCAGCTGACAAAGCTCGTGTGTAGCGCTCTTCATCCAGCTCCAAGCCACATAGAACGTTTTCCTGCACGGATGCATTGAATATCCAGGCTTGCTGGGATACGTAAGCGATGCTACCCTGGAATGCCATTGATCCACTTCGAAGGTTCATGCCGCCAAGCAACGCTGACAGCATTGAGCTCTTGCCACTTCCAAATGTGCCGCATATGCCAATCAACTCACCCCTACCGACAGTGAAAGAGATGTCCACAAGGCAATCTGGCACATCAGCCGAATCGTCAGGAGGCATGCTTGCCAGTGATGCCATCAGCCCTCTGGAAGATGTCTGGCTGAGATGAGGCTGGTTAAAGGCAAGAGCAGATGATTTGCCAGCAGCTGTTCCATTTGCACGCTGCTTTACACTATCGCTGTAGAGGAGTGGGGTGGCTGCCGACGACTTTCTCCGTAGACCCATTCTCAGCCTGTCCATGTTTGACAGCTTTACGTCTTTGGTTGCCTTTTTGTATTCACTTTCTCGCACATCCCATGCCAAAGTTGCATCTTTCATTTCAATAACTAGGCCACTATCGCTGACTTTTTCCGATACAGGGGCTTTCTCAGGCATGAGGAGCAGCTTCTTGAGGCGTGGCAGAGCAACATGAGTCTCGCTTAATATTCTCACAAAGTACGGTAGCGTGCCAAGTGGATGCCGCATAGCACCAAACGTGGCCAACAGTGCGAATGCCTGCGCAATGCTTAGGTCTCCGCCAGTGAGAGCATGGGTAGCCAGGGTAACGACTGTTGCCACCGCCGGTACGACAAAAACCAGTGACGATGCTGTGCCCTGCAAGTATGCGGATTTTCGCAGCTGATCCTTCTCTTTGGCGCGCACACTGGCCACGTAGGAGCTGAATGGCTGCTCCCAAGCGTACATCTTGATCAGCTTGACGGAGGTCAGGATCTCATTCATGGTCCGTACACGCACATCAGTGACCTTGATTCCGTTCTGCCTGTACTTAGCCTGCTGTTTGCTAATGAGGAGCGTCAGGTAAAAGAAGAGTATGAACGTGCTGAAGCCGAGCAGTGCAGGCCAGCCGACCAGATAGATTGAATAGGCTAGAGTGCCAGCGACCATGAGAGGTGTCTGAATGGCAAATCCACAGGTCATACCAGTATTGAAGAGGCGCTCGCTATCGTTAACACACAGGTTGACCAGCTGTCCCACCGTCATGCTGCCAAGATTGCGCAGGCGCAATATCTTGTTATAAACGAGTATGTTGATGGCAGACCGCAGCCGTACCCCAATTTCCACTCCATAGTACCAGTGTATTCCGAACACCATCGAACGTACAGTTTCGGTCAGAAACAGACCAAGAGCGAGAAGCACGCCATCATACACATCCGTCTCCTCGACTGGCTTCTGTGCAAACGTCAACAGCTCAAAGAGCAATAAGGCCTGGCCGATGAACGACAGTATGCTGAAAAGGAACATCAAGAAGAACACGCGCAGTACACTCCAGCGCATGGCTCGAAAGAAACACCAGCTCATGCTGACTTTGCTTGCATCGCCGCCGTGTCGTTTGATGGCACGATCCCATTCGTGCATCACATCCTCGCCTGTTCGGTCAGCATGGAGACGTGGATGAAGACGCCAGAGATCTCTTAGCTGCAGACTGCTGCGATACGAATGCCAGATGATCTTGTTGCACCAGTGATAGGTCATTAGTGACAGCCAGCCGGCCTCCATGCCTGGAAATCTCTTGTCGACGTTGCATCCACGCAACGGGAACGGGTTGAACGGCAGTAGCCGGTACCAGGGTGTTCTAGCTGCTGCTTTCTTGTCATCCTCCAGTGCTTTGTCTTCACCCGCTAGGCATGACTCGGAGATCTCAACAGGTTCCTGCATGGTAGGGGGGGGGGGGGGGTTGGTTGACTTCACTGCACACACGGCTACTAGTACTAGATGGCACTGGCAGTACAATACCGCGTAATACTAATACGTAATGTTGAGACTACTACTGACCCAGTAGCACGGTACTTTGGCAGGCTACCCAGGATTGGTACTACCGAGTACCGTGACTCCAACTAACTAACGTTACTTCAGCAGTGCAGTTCTGGTACAGGTAGTTACAGTAACACTAACACTTAGCAGTGAAGATCATCGGATGACGACAGGTACATAACACACCGACATTGTTTACAGTGCGTGTACATGCAAGCACGCGCACAATGCTAATCGGAGCAGCGGGAATATGTTACTATTGTCTGATTATTAGCGACGAACTGGAATCCGAAAACCTGCGTTGTGCAGGCATGCAGCGTGCGTGCTATCCCCACCGCGCTGACACCGTACCGATGCCGAATTAATCCTTCGATTGCAATGTCGCTGCATGGCATGCCACCGTGCCTGCGCGCCGATGAGACGCTCTGGCTTTCACCGTTCACTGCTCTTGATGATTTTTGTCTGTGCTCTGCGTAGCAAACCGTTGGAAGTGAAAATACCAATCCCTTCAATACGACGGACCATAGCAGCCGCTCCACTGCCTCCAGTAGATCTGCCACCAGAAGAGTCGCAGTTCTAGTTAGCGTTGCTCTTCAAACTCTCCTAGATCTCAAACTAAATGCGCTGATCTGAAACATAATAATAATAATTATTATTGAAAACAGTTACCTAGAAGTACAATCATGACCTGGTTACAGCAGTGAAGTTCGTCACGTGAGTCCTAGCAACAAACATGGATGCCCACTTTAGTCTACAACCTGTCTAAAGTACTATTAGTATTACTAATCATAAATCTAATAGTAATACAGTCGTCCCTCTCTAATCCGGCACCTTTTGCAACGGCATTTTCTGCTGGATAAACAAGGGTGCTGGATTATCAAATCCTGCCCTCCAACCCGGCCCACATGTTATCATACATGTTTGTGTCGTACGTCAAAATGTAGGGATTTTCTGTGTCAAACCAAGTACTTTGTGGAATGCATGTCTATACTATAGCATACACTTAGGAATATCCTATGTACTGTCATAGGATATTCCCAAGTGTATGTTGCATGCGTTGTGTATGTTACAATGGTCCCTGACAGTCTGCGATGTACAACTGCTGGATTAGAAAATCGAATTGTGTACAGTTTGAGTGATTTGTTGTAGAAAATCGCTGCTGGAGGCGGAATTCAAGTGCCGGATTAAAACGTAGAAAATGAACTGAAAAAATCCGTTTTGCCAGAAAGTGTGCTGGTTTGCAAGGGTGCTGTATAAACAAGTGCCGGATTAGAGAGGGACGACTGTATTGACTGAGTACGAGGTCAATAGGAAATAAAAGCCGAGTAAAAGACCGAGGCGAAGCCGAGGTCTTTTACGAGGTTTTATTTCCTATACTGACCAAGTACGAAGTCAATATTAGATTTATCACGACAAACAGTCCGTATTTCAAATACCAAAACGATAACCTCATGAATCCCGATTTTATGATTGCACAACCACCTACTCATGCAGCCACAATGCTGCACTGGGCACCGTTCAACTGCGCAACCCCTAAGCAGTCAAATATAAGCAGTCAATATAGCCCTAAGGAGTGAAATATGCAGGAATATTTGACTGCTTAGGTATGGCAAAAATCTATGTGAGTCAATACTAAGGGAGTGATAAAGCTACCTATTATGCAGACTGGTTGTGTTACTAAACATGATAAATCCCTTCCACGTGCATTATCGCATCCTTTCCCGTCTCCCAATGCCGTGCATATCGCATGTAGACCTACCATGTATACCGCACGTACACACTTTCACACACACACACACATACACACACACACTCTCTCTCTCTCTTTAGTGTTCACATCGTGCCTTGTACACATTCTATTTGGGAAAGAGTAAAAGCTACTTTAATTAAGTACTTGCCAACAGCGAGGGGTTCCCTCAGAAGTTGGTTAGTCCAGAAAGTCACGATGAATGATGCCCTTTGATTGCAAATTCTTACATACTGAAGTAGGCCAGAGACTACAGAATACATGTAGACTTGTAGATGTAATCATTACCAGCATGATTCTTGCCACAAACCACATACATGACTGTATACTCAGGTAGAGAAAATACTAAGCAGCAAGGCAACAGCAATGTGACCAACAGGTCCAGCTGAATCATGCGACACTTCATAACGTGAAAGAACGTGATGCGATGGACAATTTTAAATGAGGAAACATGTGTCAGTTAGAATTTGGCGGAAAGTGATGGACGATGAAAATACTTCTAACTACCTTTGTACAACTCTCATCAGGAAGGCAACGTTGTATATCAATGAAGCCGAATTTGTGTGTTCAGAAGGACAGTATTGTATATTAAATATTTTGAAGTTGTTCAAGTAGCATTGCAGTTTGCTTGACCAGCGATGACCACATGTTTTTCGCTGTAGCGTGCTGTCAACGTTTTGCTTGCCCTTATTTCCTAGTGCTGCTTGTTCATACATTAGGTAGAGTTTATCACAAGTTGCCCTTGTCGCCGCTTTTTTTTTGTTACAGGTGATCATTTCTCATGTTTGACTGATTTCATTGCACTGATTGTCCCCTCGTCACATTTGAGTTCTCAAGTGCAACACTACATTTCTTATGAAACCTGTAAGTTAACTACATGTAGTTACTTGTACACGTAATTTTCATCGTCCATCCCTATCCGCCATATTGTAATTACTTCAAGTACACTTTCCCTGTTTGTCTGTCATATAACGACCTTCAATTATGTACTATAAAGCCGCTGTAAAAGTGCCGATTCAGCTGGTTCCATTGATTGCTATTCAAATAAATTTAAAAGCATTATTTCATTTTTTTAAGCATTATACGCTGCATCAACAAGTAGATCAACATCATCAGACAACTGTGACATAGTATTTTTGCACAAGTAGGTTACTCCCCGATACTGTGTGGGGAAACTGAGGCAACACAGTCGCAGCAACCATAAGTGCGGACGTCTGAACGATTGGGTTGCTGGTCGGCACACGCATCTAGTCAGTTGCAGGAAATGTTTGCGTAAAGTCAAGTCAGTTCGTACACCCAGCTCACGCTGGTGTCATCGTGGTGTCCACTCGCCGCAGCTGACGATTCGGCAAGTTGTGATAGGGCGGTCATTGAACACTTCCACTGCTTCGAGTTTTGCCAGCAAGTCCCAACCGGTCACGAGGCGCCTGAGTTGCATCCATTGGTGTCAAGTACAGAGAACAACACACATGAACAATATTTCGACAGAAGCAAATGCAGGAGCTGATACACAGCCAGTGTGTGTGGTGGACCAATTCCAGGCTCTGAGAACGTACATAGTATACATAGTACGTTCGGGCCTGGTTTAAATCTGGCTTTGGAAATTTTCATTTTTCATTGCTATCGGGTTGCTATTGCTAAACGCTGATCTCTGAACTTTACCTCACAAGTTCGTGCTGGGTTCTAAAAATAAATCGCTTTAAAAGTTCTCACCGGCTTAAATCAGCCGTTCTTTTTTTAAGCATGCACCCCCATATACACACACTTAGCTGGTCTTCACTTTTATCCACATTGATACGGGGGGAGGGGGGGGATGATGATAAGTGTACCGGTATATCTCCTATGCACGTATCGCTAATAAACAAAACTATGTGTGCAAGAGGGAAACTAGGCAAGTGCTATACTGTTGGATTGGCAAGCTCACCCGAAGGCAACATGCTTCTTGTCCATCCAGTGGCACGGCTGGAAGGTGACGTAGAACTGAGATCCGTTCGTGTTCCGCCCTGTATTGGCCATGCCCAGCACACCCCTGCCAGAGTGCTTCACTTCAAAGCATTCATCTGCGGCAAATGACAAACAAGACCAAACGCAGAGCAAGCAGTGAGCCCCACCGGCATCCATACGACGGCTGCACTGAAACCATGTTGCAATGCTTGGGTCGAGGCACTTGACAAGAGGCTGCCAAATGCTATATAAATCATCACCCATATCTATCTTATAGTTATAGGGCTTAAAAAGCAATGACGTTAGAAGTCTTTAGAAGTCAAAATCTAACGAGAAATACCGACTTTTGGATCCACTCTGCCCAAGGCGAAGTATAGAGTGTGGTGGGTGGACCCTTCGTGTTGCATGTACATGTAGGTGTTATTTTTCTGTATCAGGAGTGGGTCCCTGACTGGGATAGCCCAGTCCGGTCACTATAGTAATGGTGGGTGTGTCACTGTGCAGGGTGAAGGAAAACTGCCCAAACATGTATGGATCCATACAAAAACTGGACCCAAGTGAATCCAAAAGTCCGCGTTGTCACGGCTGTGATGTAGCACTGTCAAGCTTTATTGTAGCAAGAAGGACCCATGAGTGTGTGTGATCCCCGGTAGCCTAATTGGTAGGGCACTGTCCCGGAAAGACAGGGGTGCTGGGTTCGAATCCCGCTCCTGGATCCTTCCTTCTTTTGCAACATTGGCGCCTGGCAATGGCTCGAACCCACGACCCATTGTACCCCCCCCCCCCCCCCGCGAGTAGGTACGGCGTGAGGACACAGCCTGTTGGGGCGGGGGAGCAGTGTAGCAAGAAGGACCCATGAGTGTGTGTGATCCTCGGTAGCCTAATTGGAAGGGCACTGTCCCGGAAAGACAGGGGTGCTGGGTTTGAATCCTGCTCAAGGATCCTTCTTTTGCAACACTATCACTGTTGTCTGATGATCGTGTCGTGCAACATAATCTTCATCCTCTTCTTCCTGTTGATTTCCCCGTATTCAGTCACAACCATGTTGGATAATCCGCCCCTCAAACTGGGCATGCTATAAGTGTACACATTTTCAGCGCGTTTAAATTACAAGTAACTGGATGACAAAATAGGCGGAATTGCCTGGACCCCGGGTATGGCTTAAACCAGCCATGTCTATGCCTCCTGCTCTGGCAACGTAATGCTGCTTGCACTTACCGTCAAATTCTGTCCCGAACGATGACACACTGTTGCCGCCGCTCCCATCGACAATGTCTGCAGCACGGGACACGTGAACAGTGGAGCATGACTGTGTAAACTTGAGCCCACTGGCTTTAGGTTTGCACAATGGGTGACAGTACCAGGGGTGTCTGTCGATCTAGGACCCAGTGGTGCAGTGGCATGTTGGGTGTTTCCCAAGAAAATGGTCGGAGCATGTTGTTTGAACCACATACGAGTAAGCTCAGGATTTTCATCCTGTGGGACTTTTTTTAAAGCAGCGTCCGCCTGTTGTTTTGTGACCGACACCAAACAATTTGCCTTGCTGCCTTTGTGCACAATAAATCATGTACTAAAGACCACCTATCCCTAACCCATTCAGTGATTGTGAATAGTGTGAAGAAACAATCGTGATGAGGAGTGGTGCATATACAGTGGAACGGTGTTTTATCAACTTTTCTGTGCTGTTCTCCTGTAGCTTGTAGGTGAGAAATGGTCACTGACTTGGGACAGCCAGCTACTACTAGTTAGAACTCAGCCACAGCCCACTGCAGGCCAGGGCCACACATCACACTCACTGCAGGCCAGGACCACACATCACACTGCAGGCCAGGACCACACATCACACTGCAGGCCAGGACCACACATCACACTCACTGCAGGCCAGGACCTCACATCACACTGCAGGCCAGGACCACACATCAGACTCCCTGCAGGCCAGGACCTCACATCACACTGCAGGCCAGGGCCACACATCACACTCACTGCAGGCCAGGACCACACATCACACTGCATGCCAGGACCTCACATCACACTGCATGCCAGGACCTCACATCACACTGCAGGCCAGGGCCGCCACACATCACACTCACTGCCACCATTGCAAGTTCTGGCAGAGGTCAAGGCAGGATTGGGAGCTGCTGCACGCTGCTAGCTACACTTGGCCTAGAGATTGTGCCGCAGTTCACAAAGACAGAGCCAGCCCGGGTGCCTACCTCCTCCCTGCATCCAGCCACTCTTCACCACCCGGTGGAAGACAGTCTCTGTGTAGGACTCTCCGATCACAGTGCTGGTGCACAGGTTGCGAAAGTTCAGCACCGTTCTCGGGCAGATATCGTCAAAGAGCTGGAAAGAAAGAACATGAGGATACATGCAGCAGGGCAGAGAGATCTGATCAGAAGCACTACAGCGGAGCTACTTACACTGCATGCCATTCACACCGGCATATGCAAGAACCATGCAAACAGGCAGAATGACATTAGCTAGGATACCGCGTTTTTCAGCAACAGTGGCCGAAATGCATGGTAGATTGCGAGCCCTAAATGTGCACCCAATTTGAAAACAAACATCCACGCAAAAGTCCTGAAATCATGTGGTAGTTGTTTTAGACAGGCGGCAATAAAAGACCGGCGCAAATTTCGAAAAAAAACACGGTATATGGGTGGGATTTTTAGCCTGCTCACCTGGAAGATCAGCCGTCCACTGAGCGCTTCATCGCCGACAGAAATGGCCATGAAGACGTGCGTGCGCTTTAAAAGGAGCCACGTCGCCAGGACGATAGTTACATTTGGAGATTTGTCAGGTCAGCACAGGTAAATAAAGCAGACAGAGACGCACAACCAATTCATCAGATTTCTATTTCGGATCCACTAAGGTGTGACCTTGCTATTGCCTCAGTATGTGGGTGCATAGCAACCCACTCATGTCGTATGAAGGGTGACTTTTACTTCGCCACCAGTTGTAACCCCGCCCCCACTAGCCAAATCAGTCAGTTTCACTGGTTACATCACCTTGCTGTGAGTAAGACAGCTTGAAATGTGCTTGGATCCATACAAAACTGAACTGGATCCAATTTTTGAAATTGTTGCTATGCTGTGACGTAGCACTTTCAAGCCCTATTGTAAGACCACGTGTCCCATTGAATACCTATACACACGGTTTTCAACGGCCACAAGACATTGCGAGGCATAAATGTAACGCTGTTTGCGCGGTCCACACCCGTTGAGTCGGAAATTACCCACCCGGCGGACAACACGCCTCCTGGTCTTCCCCTTATGGGTGCATATAGCCAGTCATGACAGTAGAAGAAGGAAGGAAGGAGGTGTGTGTCTGCCTGTGTGTGTGTGTTTGTTTGTTTGTGTATATGTATGTTTATGTGTGTACATTTGTGCGGCATGCGTGTGTGTGTGTGTGTGTGTGTGTGTGCAATAAGTGCATGTGTGTCTGTGTGTGCATGTGCGCGCATGTATTTGGGTAGCGATGTCTGGTAAGTGCGCACTGTATACGCTAGTGGACATGCTCAACTAGTGTCTACCTCCTTTTCTGTGAAGAACTTCCGTGTTTCCAGAGTGGTTATTGCGTCGTACAGTGGCATGGGTCTGTTGAGAAAAGAGAAAACCAAACCAAGGAAGAGAGAGAGAGAGAGAGAGAGAGAGAGAGAGAGAGAGACAGAGAGAGAGAGAGGAGAGAGGAGAGGAGAGAGAATGAGTGAGAGAATGAGTGAGAGAATAAGAGAGAGAATGAGAGAGAGGGAGGGAGGGGGAGGGAGATACAGTGGAGATAGAGCATCATTAGAGAAAGAGAGAAGAAGAAAACCACGGAGGGAACCGGAGAGCAGAGCAGAAGTGACCGGGAAAGATTTTATCGAACACTGCAGCCTTCTTCACGTTGTCATCACCATAATGTTATTCTCCTTGAGTGCATCAGCCACTGTGTGCACTGAGCTTTGGCATTGCTCGTTTATACAGGCAGCTGAAGGCCTCGTTTACACAGAGATACTTTTGGTGAACTCGTTTTGAAATGTCTTCAAAACGGATGCGGACACTCCGTATGTCCTTATCATTTACACAGAAAACTTTGAAAGAAACTGACGATAAAACACTTCACATCTTTCTTTTATCTCTGATAGCATTGTCCTTGTGTAAACAGATGAAGCGTTCCAAACCGTTTGGCAGGATTGCCAACCACCAATTTTCAGCTGTCGCCACCCCCCCCCCCCCTCCCTCCTCCCTGTGCCGCTTACCATGGCAACACTCACACAGCAACACTGAAAAGCATTTCACATTGCCCCGCATGAACGAAACGCGGAACACAGGCTAAACACACAATATACTTCCACAAAACTACCAACGGGAAATCTTTTAAGAAAAAACTACACACCTGTACTCCTCATAGCCGAACACCTTCTTCAGCCAGTCAAGTAGCTCAAACGCATCGCCCAGGAACTCTCCATTGCAGAAGACCACTGTCTCTGACTTGATGGACCACATTGTGCCACCTACCATCTGGAGGTAATCAGTGAACATGGTCATTCAACACCAATGTTGACTTCATCAGGATCGGAGATGTAGATACAAGTTAGATCTATCGTGGTTGTGCTAGGTAAAGTCCAACACAAAGTATGTATTTGGTACCCGGACTTCTATGGCCCATGAAGCGCTGGAACATGGTATGGATGTTGCCGGACATACACATGTACAAATCCAGTAAAATGAAATATGAACTGGTCCAGGGCAAAGGCTTCAAGTTGTTTGCACTTCGGGTCTGATTTCACCCAGCACACTGAACTGTACTTGTCATGTATTCTGTTTCTCCCTGGTGTGTTTTATCTGTAGTTTTCCCTAAGCAGTGTTTCTGCTAAGTATTTTCCCTAACCCCTTTTCACTTCCCTTTCATCCCATCCACCCTTCCAGGAAACTCCCCCGATAAGTACTGATCCATTTACTTTTTGGAGAATCGGCTTCAAATAAAGTCTAAATGAAAATGAAAATGTGCAGGTAATGGGCTTGCAGAACAGTGGCAGCGAGCAATAGTAGATTTGGCAGCAAGCAGCAACGCCACCACCACCAGCACCAGCAGTGATAGAAGCAGCAGCAGCACCAGTGATAGAAGCAGCAATGGATTTTTTTAACTGAGGTCAGAGCCGCTGACCATGCAAGCCTTTACACAGGCTAAATTCCCAATAACGAACACTTGTACTAGTAAGCGACTATACTCCCAGTACATATACTAACTTAGCCATACGTTGGTCGCTATTGAGGTTAGTTGCATGTGCTGTGTATTGAGGGCAAACCGGTGCAGGTTAGCAATATATAAACACACTCCTCAGGGGCGTACGCCGCTCGCCTCCAGGAGTGGTTCCCATGCCAACTGATGAACCACCATTACACACAATTGAAGTGCTGTTTTTCGTACCCCACAGAGTTTCGGCATATTCTCCTCAGACTGGGTGAAATTGCCATCCACAAGCTGCTGGACGATGTCATTGCTACGCATTTATGATTTTAAAAGACTGAACTTTTCCCCGTTTTATGGATGTTTTGTTCAGCATGACGATTGCATGCAGTCTTGAAAGCTGCCTAAGTTTCGAATCATCTGGAGCAAACATCACACAGGGCAAGCAGAAGCCACCATTGCATGCCTGTCAAAAGACTATCCAGGGTAACTCCTCCAACAAGGATAGTTGAAAGTGGCGCTGTTTGCCATCCATCTGGACACGCACAGGAAATGAAATCCTTCGCCTGCGGTGGCGCACAATGATTGTCGATGACGGAAATCTTGTCCGTGTCCAGCAAATTTCGGGGGACTGGATTCCACTGTGGACGTCGACTTTCAGAATATCCCTTCCAACACACTCCCATGTCATTGAAGTAAGTTTTGGATGATCCAGCAGCTTCCAACAACGGTCGCTCTACAGCTTCGCCGACGATTTCTTCCTCAGCGCTGCTCGTTGCATGCATACTTCACTTGCACGTCAGGTGCGTCTGCATTCTCATCTATCGCTTGACCTTCGCCACTAGCACTGGCTACACGCTTTGCCTGCAGCTCAAAATAGCTCTGAATAGAGCGCTGGCCCTCTGGATGTCGACGCTTCATTTTTCTTTTCCACAAAGCGAAAGCATCGTCAAAACACGACCAACTTTGTCAAAACAAACTCCAAAAGAAAATTTGACTCTGAGATCGAAGAATCCGGCGATGTAACTAGACTAGAGACTTTGTTGAACCCATCATCATGATCAGATGATGGGTTCAGGCATGGCCCAGTTCAGTAGATCTACGCTGTGTCCCACTCCCAGCACCACTTTCACACCTGGGCTAGTCATCGTCCTCGGACCGGTGTCGACCGGCAGGCGGACTCCAGACATGCACTTGCACTGTGAGTCTGTGAGCGCATTATAGCGCTGGGACTGGATCAAAAAATTCTCTGTACCCATATCAAATTTGTTTTACTGGTTCCCGGGCATCCCGGGAACCGCCCTATGTACGCCCCTGCTCCTTATAGATGTATCACAGTACGGCATCCCAATTCCTACTCTCCTTCAGAAGAATTCTCCGTAGAGAAGCATCACAGTGTGGTATCACGATTCCTACCTTCTTGCAATGTGCCAGAAACACACACCAGTCAGCCTCGCAGAGTGGTACAGCATTTACAGCGATGTCCTGTGGCTTGTATGTCTCCAACAGCTGGACACAGCCGGCGCATACAACACAGAACAAGAACCATAGGCACAGTCACCGTTGCTAGTATTGACAGTTCCAAACTGCAAGTGGCTCCTGCTTACAAAACAGTAGCTATGTTTTTGCTGGCAATTGTCCACTTTGGATGTTCAGTGTTTATTAAATTCCCAGCTACTGCATACGACGGTGTGCAGAGGCAACCGGAAGTAGACTGGGGTCTACAGTCTTACAGCAGTGAGCCTGCGGAGTAGACTGGGGTCTACATTAGCGAGCCTGCGGAGTAGACCGGGGTCTACATTAGTGAGCCTGCGGAGTAGAACGGGGGTCTACATCATACTGCAGTGAGCCTAAGAGACGGACTTGTGCAGGCATGAGTGAAGTTACCAAATTATATAGTTATGTGCACTAAGGATGTGAAAGCAATCATGTACCTGGTGCAACTACGTAGTCTTTAGTAGACCACTGCTGTGGCAGAGAAGGGTTTCACGTGATTTCCTCAGTGTCCCATAAGTTGTGTATGTGCATGTGTGTGCGTGTGTGCACACGCACATGTGGTATGTGTGTACGCTTGTATACGTGCATGTGTGCCCACTGTACATGGGGTGCATGCAGGTGTGATCGGGGGATTGTTCGCGCACAGTAGCAATCCGTTACCTTGGCCGAGAGCTCCGCAATGTGAAACTCCTTGTCTTCGACGCGGCCAACAATAGCCACATGGTACTGGACATTGCGCTCTGCCGTCGACCTCCGTATATACTTTTCTAGAATGTCAGCCATCCTTCGCGTAGTCACGCTGTGGGTGTCGTTGTGCTAGACTGTCTTGGCTTCTACTGCAAATGAGTCTGAGTCACTCTGTGAGTGCTTCGCCGCTGAAGAAAGGTTGCCTGATGCTTGACTCAGACTCTTAGTCTTACTAGCACTAGTAGTTGATAAGCAGAGTAGCAGGTAGTTCTGGGTCTCCAACCTCACACCTATGCACTGGCTTATCTATCGCTGCAAGCCCTACAATTCTATGGGACCGAGAGCTACCAGGTGGACCCGCTAGGTTCAACCCGCCGGTTTCACGGGGTCAGAGAGTCTCACTTCGCTGCTAGCAGGATTGAGACGGTCAGTGCCATAAAGCAATTGACGGCCCACAGAAACTCGATGCATAGACAGTCAGATAGGAGCTACAGCAGGACAGGCAGGTCGGAGGGCATCAAACACTGAATCAGTCCAGTACAACGCATTTACGTGCACATCCGATTTCCACTGCGGCTCCAGTCCAGGCGGGCAAGAAATAATAATGAATGCGGCCAGTGGACGACTGCCCCAACGATAGGCAGAGTCTATTCCACAATGGCACAGGCCTGTGCGAGTGGAATACTACAAGAGGTAGTGGCAGTGCCAAGTAGTGAGCGATTCTTCCGGCGGAGTAGCACTACGCCGCAGCAAAGGGCGTCAGAGCAGAGGCGTCGAATGGTAATCCTCGCAACGGGTTCAACTAGCGCTTCACAGACAAACAATGAAACCCTGTGCAAAGCAAATCTAAGAGATAAATCGTACTCGAAGATATCCGCCCATATCACACCGTCAAAGGTTCGTCCTGTCCGCCCAGAATTTCAGAAATCACACTTCACTGCCTCTCTAGTCTAGCTCTCTGCCCCAACTACATAATTATTTACTTGCTCAAGCCAAAGACTTAGTCTTAGGTGACCATGGTGACCCTATGAAGTGAAGTGTTCCTTGTTGCACGCTGATATCATGCTCACTGACTGGTAGATCTAGGTGCAGTGATCAGTGGTGATCATCCCGATAAAATAGCGTTGCAAAGATGCGAAATGTGTTACCAAGCTACCTGGTTACTACCGTAGTTGTAGTCAACCATGGTCTACCCCAGGGCCCAGGCCCGGGGCTAGGGATCCCTACACTACACATACGTATGTGTAGGGATCCCTGGTCTACCGGCCCTCCGGACAGAGACGAGCTGTCACCATGGTCACCGATAGTCACCTGTCGTACCTCGAATCAGGGAGTCGACTCCCTGTATTTGACGACTCCCTGTATTTGACGACTCCCTGTCACGAATCGATCCTCAGTTGGCCAGCCTCTCCACACACAAATGGCAGCTACATGTACTATATCTATTATGAATTCAAGATTCCAGCAAGCAGTGAAGCCTATGGTATGGCTGTGACGTAGCATTTCCGAGCCCAATACAGGTAGAAAATATGGACGTCTTGAAACCGGCAAAGGCGGCAGGTACATGTACCACTGTGGACCTTCATGCAGCTGATCTGAGTCCAATGGCAACACAGCCAAGCAATAATACATATCACGCAAACTGAGTCCGTCCACCAACCGGCGCACACAAAACACACACACACACACACACACACACACACACACGCACACATGCATGCAGAGTCACACACAGACATGCATGCAGACATACACACCAGGTGCAATGCTATTCCATTAGAGGGAATTAATCGGGAGCTGCTTGGCAAAGGTAAACTGTGCAGCGTGTAGATGATATCAACAATCGCTTCTGGTAAGTTAGTCTACAGCAGGGAATCAGTGCTTGCCGACTTCCCGATCTACAGCCAGCAAAGATGATGGCTTCACAGATTTGCATTTAGTTGTGTCACAATGTACAGGTGTGTGCGGTGGAAGTTAACGTTACATATACTTTTAAAAAAAGATGTAGTTATAAAAAATGTCCTCTTGTGAATACCATGAGAACTCAGCTACAGAGCAGCACTTCTAAACAGACAAAGCTATAAAACGCTGCCTACGAGCTTGAGCTATTACATTCACGCCTGTGCGTAATTCAACGGCTATGTGCATCTCAAAAGTTCAAGTGTATCTTGACGTGCTATAAACGAATAACCAGCAGGAATTTCCGCATGTAGCCTGGTGTACCTTGTGACCATGTAGCCTGGTGTACCTTGTGACCATGTAGCCTGGTGTACCTTGTGACCATGTAGCCTGGTGAGTGGTGTACCTTGTGACCATGTAGCCTGGTGTACCTTGTGACCATGTAGCCTGGTGTACCTTGTGACCATGTAGCCTGGTGTACCTTGTGACCTTGTGACCATGTAGCCTGGTGTACCTTGTGACCTCAGCGGAGAAGGAGAAACACCATGCGAATGGCAGTACACAGCGAGAAGATTAGCAGCCATGGCGAGCTACCAGCCAGGATGGAAGGGCTGACAGCACTGCTGACGAGGGACGGGTCCAGGCAGGAGCCACGATGAGAGTATATGCCCAGTGGTGCTGTCAACACATCCCGAGCAAGGCGTTGAGAGACCGTCTCGCTGCTCGACTCGATTGCAAAGTTGACGAACACGCAGTTGGTGCCAGGGTCAACCGTCGAGGTAACGTGGGTGATATTGATTTGCTCGACAGCACTACTAGTCGACAGCCAAGTCTGGACGGCCGTGCTGAAGGCTCCTGCCATGAATCCACCAGCAGGCACTCGAAAAGCAATGTAAGCATCAGCTGCTGCTACGCCGATGATGTTCGCACAGGCTATGCGAGGAGCGCCGCCGTTGGCAGCGTGGATGACGATGGAGCGTCCAAACACTGCATAATGTAAAGTGGCAACAATAGAGAGATGGCATGAGCATACAACAGGTAGGAAGAGCAGGATATTGAATCAAGTGTTCTCTCCGTTCTGGTGGCAATTTAAAGTACATAACATTACCCCCCCCCCCCACACACACACACTCCCCGTCTGTTCATGTACACTTAATAGCAAGAGAATACAACAGGCTGTGAATTAAAAAAGAAAAGAAAAAAGATTCTACCCATGCACTCACGATCACATCAAGATACACGGATGGACCTTAATAGTAAACTGTGTACATTGTATATCTAATCATGCACAGGATCAAAAAGCAAAACTGCAAGCAACAGGCCAATCATGCACTAGTATCCTACCAGAATTAGGCCCCTCCAGCGGCAGTTGAGCGATGGGGTACATGCGAGCAGTGCCGTCAATGGTCAGCTGGCCTATCTTGCCGGACAGATCTCCAACCTCACAGCGCAGTTGAGAGCGCGGTCCGCATGCCGTGCTATAGCCAGTCGCCGATGACAAGTTGACGTTCAGCGGGTTGTAGTGCCCCCCGGTCACGCCGCATAGCGAGTTGTTGTATGGCAGAACACGCTCCACGTGAACATGGAAGTTGTGCCCGGACGTCTGGAGCAATTGGGAAATGAAGGATACATCAAGCCAATGAAGTGTGTTAGACATGGCAATATCAGTGATGATAGCACTCAATCAAGCCAAGATTATTGTAACACGTACAGTCAACTTCGCTAATAACGACTGCGGATATAACGACAATTCGCGAATAACGACAGAATTTCCATGCCCAGAGCAAAGTCCCATTCAACTGCAATACATATAATGAGACTTCGGGTATAACGACACTTCGCGAATAAGGACACTTTTCTGATGCCCCGCCGAGTGTCGTTATAAGCGAAGTTGACTGTAGATGTACCGCAATGCAGAGTCTCGACACTCCATGTATGCAGTCGTGATCATACGTGCACACATCGGTGCTCTCTGACGATCACTTGTGAGCGAAACTCAGCCACGACAAAGCAACCGGGTATATTGAGCACTCTCTCGAGTTACCACTACTCCCTCCGAGTACCGTATATCTGCAAATATATTATTGCAAAACGGCGAATTTTAGCAACGGTGAAGCTTGGGCGATACTAGCGAAAGGAACCGACAACCAGGGAAATTGGCATGCATAATGCAAATCATCACGTACGTTGGTCATCCACTTCCGACAGTCGGGTTTCGCACAAAGGCAAATTGGTGGTAGCAACCTGGGCGATAGTAATAAGAAAGTTGGTTGGAAAAGCGTGAGCTCGAGCTCGAACGCTGAGAGCAATCAGCCATCCTGTTGTGTGACGGTTGCTACCACTAATCCGTACGGCAGTTGTGCTCAGCACGGGCTTGCAACTAGGTGGTTTGGAGGTGACAATCACAGTTGTGAATGACCAAGGCAAGGATCCTCATCAACACCTCAATGTTTGTTCTACACATTCACGAGCGACACTGACCGTCCCACAATGCTGGCTGGTGGTCGCGAGATGTTTGCCGTGCTGGAAACGGAGCAAAGACTCCGCCTACTCAAGCTCAACAGATGAGGGGTGACTCATTGATTCCCCAAAGCAACGTGTATTGAGCAGGGATGGGTGTTTTTTTGTAGGTTTGTTGAGTCGGCAAAAATGCGAGATCGAAGTTGAAAAGTTGAAAACTGCGTCCGTAACTTTTTCAATGGGCGGAATATTGGCAGCCGAGTTTGTGGAATGGAGGTGGTTTTCAGTGCAAGTAATACGCTACAGTGGAGTTTTACAGTTCTGAGGAAAAGCTAATGAATGCAACACTTGAAAAATGCAAAACAAAAGAATACACTGAATGTTGAGGCCGTGCGTGTGAAGTACTTGTACTTACAGTAGCGCTGCTGTTACCAAGTCGGAAGAGAGCATACGTATCGGAGTAGCTGCCGTCGTCATACGCATATTGAGTGAAGTAGATGCTGCCCTGCACCTCACTGTCGCTGGGGAAGGTAAGCCTAGCCTGAAGCGTGCGCGTTGCGTTGGGCAAGTTCAGCGGAAGAATAGTTGCACACTGCTGGATGGGGGATGATCCTGACATGCTTTCTATCGTAGCAGACCTAAGTTATTCCACAGTGACCATGGGACACGGGGCAACAGTAATGATACCAGCAGCGGTGGTAGCAGCAGGAACAAGGGAAAGTAGAAAAACAGCAAAAAAAACAGCAAAAATTGTAGTAAATTTCTCTATTTGACCATGCAACTGATGCTGTGCTAGGGGTACCAACACATGCACTATCACAATATTAGCATAGCAGGCAGGCAATCAGAGGAGTTTGCACTCTGTTCGAGTGTACGGATGTATTATCTCTTTTTAATGATAGCTTGCATAGACCTCGGTCCTACCGGTAGGACCGGCATCTGCCATACACAGACATGTTGCACGGCCTTCAAGTTGTTTTTAATAAACACTGACAGAGCTCACTGACTTGTCAGTTTGAGCACTCTAGCAAGGTATGTTCAGGCCTGGTTTAAAAATCTGGCTTGGAAAATTTATTTTTCATTGCTATCGGGTTCGGCCTCATTTTCTCTGTGCTGCGCTGATGAGTCCACGAGGACTATCAGCAGATTGAGTATTTCGCTCCTGCTCTTGTTGTAGTTGAGCACTCTCGTGTGGGGTAGTGCCTTTGCTGTTTACATTGTGCAGAGCTCGGCCTCATTTTCTCTGTGCGGCACTGATGAGTCCACAAATTGAGCTTTTAAAAACACTGACCTAAAACTTGACCCTAAACTGTTGCTAGGGGGCTCTAATGAAGGAGTCCACAAATTTGGACGTGATCGTACAAGGCATAATTATTACGAAAGTTCAAGCTGACAATGAGTGTATATAGTACGTATTCCGTAAAGTACCGCCAGAGCACCCCGTCTCGCGAGAGCGCCCCACCTTGATTTTACGGCCAGCGAAAGGAAAATCATACGCCAGAGTGCAACAAAGTTTGCACGGCATGAGAACCTTTGTATATTAAGGTCACACTTGGCATTGAGGTTTTTGTGTGGAGCTCGTGTCCGCTCGAAGGTACGGATTGGCTGCACAATGTGTAATATGTGTACACGGTTTGTGCCGTATGACCTACAGGCAGGAGATCACCTCCACAATACGACCACGAAAGGACGAGATGGTGGGGCGCTCTGGCGGTAAGTTACTTTACGGCACTCAGGGTTCTAGCCAAAGGGGGGTAGGGGGGGGGGGGGGGGCGGCGCAGCGCCCCCCTACTCCGTTTGCGCGCCCCCTGTGAAAAAGTGCCGCCCCCTACTCATTTTCCGATTTTTGTGTTTTTTCACGCCATTCAACGAAAATACAGTCGATAGTCATTACTAGAGGGTTCATAAAGGCACATTTGTGAGGGGTGAAGTCGGGGGTTCACCCCGTATGTTACATTTCGCATGGCAAGACCATTTTGGACAATGGAAAAAATGGGTCATGGGGTAACTTTTTCCCATGCCCGCCCCCCTACTATTTTGACCTGGCTAGAACACTGGGCACACTAGTACATGGACTGTTTTGCAAACTGCAAACTTGGCGCAGTTTGAGTCTTATTAATTTTGCAGCTATCATCGCTCGATTCTTCAGAGCTCAACTGGCCAGAACGGAGAGCCTGATCAAAGCCATGACGGTTTTGTTTTTGGAGCCACTACAACCGTACACTTGTGCTGAATGGCTTGTTTCTCCGTGGCCGTTGTAAAAGAGTGTAAAAGAGGAGTGGATGGTTTGAATGACAGGCAAAACGTCATTTGCTTGTCGTGTACCCTTCCAGAAGGATGCGGCATGAGCTTTTGTGTGATCAAGAACGTGCTAGCTGGTTTGTAGGTAAAATTCATAAGTTAAAAGACACTGCATGTGAACAGGCGATTCTTGTTCACACAACTCTATTGGTCACGCGGCCTCACCGGTGCACAACGCTGGAATAACCAAAGAGTGTGTGCGACTCCACACAGCCGACGCTGCTTGTTGCCGTACCATCAGTCACTGACACCGGTGCCTGCAGAGTAGAAGTGACGGCGGGGGGGGGGGGGGGGGGGCAGGAGAAGACAAACATTAGGACAAGTGTTAGACACGCTGTATAGGTGCAAGTTACGGAATTCGTTGAGGCTAAACCGGGCCATGGGGTAGGTGATCGGCAATTATTAATAATTAGCTCCTCCGTGGAGGTAGTTTTTTATTTTTTTATTTTTATACTATGTGCACATCCCTACAAAGTAATAGGGGTAATAAAAGAGGTGATGAATGATCAGCGATACTACGGGTAGGATGCTTTTACAAGGCAAAACTGGAGCCGCGAATTGTGCACTTTCAGAACTGTCACCAACATTTTTCTTTGTCTTCTGTTTAGCTTGACTTCCAAATCCCTTGCTAGTAGTTGCTACCATACTGTTTTCGGATCCGAGCTGGAATGCCGTCGGTTTGCGCATTGGAGATGCCAGGGTCGGAGCTAGGTGCCAGGTCGTTGAATGTCTCAGTAATCTGTCAGTTTGGTCACGGCCTACCACTTCAAGTAGAAGTTGTCGCATTTTTCTGACAGCACATCATCTACAGTTACAGTGGTGGACAGTTACTCACCGGAACTCATATCCAAGTGTCCCTTGCCTCTCTACATGCATTACTTGTCCAGTGGCACCCAGTACATGTATCCCACCAGTACCCAGAACATATATCCAGCGAGTTTAGCTTTGCTTGCCTTAGCAGTTTAGTGCGGTGCTAGCCATACCAGGCACTGTCACGTGATCTCGTTTCCTTCTGAACGGTCATGGCTGGTTACCATGGACACTGGACCTCTGGATCATTGTCAGAATTCGCTTTGGACATGTGAATGGTGTTGATTGAATAAAAAAAACGTAAGTTGCGCTAAAGTTATTTTCGTAAGTCTACATTCTTTTGTTCGGTCTGAACTTAGTCAACTGGAAGACAATGATAGATCCTCCATTTCATCACTTCAGATGTTTCTTCCCTTTGCCCTCTGGGTATTCACTATTTTATCGTGTGCAACTTCAAGCAGTGCGACAGGCATTTCCTTGCTTTCATCCATTCTGAGCCGGAACTCTTTACATTCACTCCTCAGGGGCGTAGCACCCGCTACGACTGGTACGACCATGGCCGTACCACTTTTTCGAAAAGTGCGGTCCGTCCTAAACGTGCAAAACCGTAATAAAAAAAATCAGGATCCATCGATGCATGCACGTACATGTATATGCGCATCAGACTTTGACCTTTTTCTAGACTCGTACTCGTAGATCTGCCATGCATCTGCAGTCGTACTGAGTACTGACTACTGTACTCGACTCGATCGACTGCACACTGCGCCTGAAGTGTGCCAGAACGCAGGATTTTGTGTCTTTTTTACAAAATTTTCACGGGGGAGATCCCCCGGACCCCCCTCCAACACGGCCTTCGGTCGTACCACTTCCAAAACCTCTCCTATGCCCCTGCTCCTACACAGAATTTATTTACAAGTAACTACAGGGGAAGGCTCACCGTCCTGGCCGTGAGACTGAACAGAAGACCTGTAGAGGAACACATACCGTTGTCAGAGCCATGCTGAGTTGATCTTGCGAGTGGCTATAGAGCAAATCAACCAATCAACACGCACATATACACACATGGACACGCACACACACACACACACACACACACACACACACACACACACACACACGTGTGCACGCACATGGACAGACACACGCACACAGACAGACACACACACGCACATGTGCACGCACACAGACACACAAACACCCACCCACACACACACACACATATAATATTAAAAAGGAAGTTTTAAAAGATACAAAACCTACCGATGTGCCATACATGCAGCTGCTCACAGCAGATATTGTACGAAGCTGCAGCACTCATTGGCACTCAATCTCAGCCACTGGCCGCCTGACGTCAACAAAATATTCCGCCATGGCCAAGACCAAAAACAGTGGCACACTCATGTTTCGCGTTAAATTATTCTGGCAGCACATCACACAGTACTTATCTCCCCAGCCGAACTCCAGCACCAAATCCCACTAGACGCATGGGTCTCCTGGGGTGGAATCATCTTTGCTCAAATAATGAGATCCCCTTATGTTTCAGTGAAAGACCAATGCTACAAACCCTGAGCCAATGAGCCAATGTAATCATGGATAAAAAGAGGGCAAAAGTTGTTGTCGCACTCGCTGACTGTATATGATCTGGTTACGTTGGTGGACAGTTAGTCATAACTCGTAACATTTTGTCCTTCTCAGTCTTTTTTATCCATAACCACATGATGTTGATTAGCAATCACTGTACAGTGTACATGTACTCACATTAACTGGTGAATTCCTGATACGCAGAGTACCGCCTGTGCTGCCGAGAGTAGTGGCAGTGCTGACCTGACGCAACACTGTATCCAGTGGACTTTGCTGTGTGTATGTCACCGTGTTTCCTGTAACCGGAAATGATGCCCTAACAGACATCAGCTTACTGCTATAGACATTGGCGCATGCCAGCGCTTCACTCCCTTGCCAGAGAATGATGGATTTGATACTAGAGCCATTGACCGGTGCGTGACTGCCGTTGCCAGAAAAGGACAGGATTTGATGACCACGCTCTGGAGTGGCACCCACGCTCACTTCCGCCTGGTATGCTGCGGTGTAGTTGACCAGTGGCATGCCAGCCCCCGTGCAGCGCGCTCCCTTGCTCCTCGTCATTTCGGCATGCGATATTTCCGCTGGATGCGCTGTCCAGGACAGGCCGGTCAGGTTTCCCGAGCCAGTCACATCGTAGAGCTGTGCTGCTATGTTGACTCCGATGACTGACGACGCCCTGGAGTAGTAGCGAAACAACATGTCACCAGCTACCGGCCAGACGAACTGTGCTTGGAAAGCGGATGGAGCCGGCATGTTTTGACACGATGTGGTAGGAGAGGGTCGAGACGTTCCCGCAGCATTGCCATCTGGATAAACGTAGACAATATTTGCACAGGCAAGCGCGGTACCATTGGAGTAGCGGAGGACCAGCGATCTTCCCAGAAAGTCAATCAGACGAAGTGCGGACGAGTCGGCGAAGGTTCCAGACGATGACGGCGGACCGAACTTGCCAGAGAGGTCTCCCGCAGCACAATCGGTGAAGCGACTGGACGCAGTTGGCAGGCAGTTGGTGGCATAGTCTTGGGCTGTAGCTTTCATCTCAGGATCCCACAGACCGCCGACGGACTCCGTGCCACACGCATTGCTCTGCACTCCTGGCCGGAAAGCTCGCTCGTTGACTCCCCACCGAAGAGCACCACTGCCACCGCTTGGAAAGCCGGTCAATGAATTCAACGTTATAGTGATAGGTTCAGGGGTTGATGCTCTCGTGTGAATAGCAATAGAGCCGCTAATGTCTACGTGGCCAGCAACACCACCATTACTAAAATAGGCCGAGAGGAGAGTGAACGATGATTGAGCTACACTCAATCCTGGCAACAAAAGTACCAAAAATGTGGTAGCCAGCGAGCCACTCGAAGTCGCGGGGGAGAACATTGCGCCTATAACGTTGTTGCCTACGGCCCTACGTAACTCGTTCTACCCTTTCCCTTTCCCTTTTTGTAGTTTCAGATTGATATTCTCCGCTCCCTACTCTAACGCTCACTTACACCTACGAGCACAGCTAACAAACTATAACTACCGGTAGAACAATATTGAGCGTGAAGCGGGTGACAATTTCACAAACCACCCTCGTCTCTGACTTCTGACTAATAACTTGACTAAGATCTTTGCGGGCTGTTTTGTTGATGGCGCGCAGATCCATTCCAAAGCACGTATTCGGATCAAGCAAAAGTGCAACACTCTTGCAAGACGTTTCCGTCTTCGATCCCACACAAGGATGGTGCAAAACGGTAGGGCGACCTAGTACCTCCCTATATTTGTACTACCCTTCCGTTTTCATGCGTTCGGCCAAGGCCAAGGTCGGAGCCCTCCAAAAAAGGCGTACATTTTGTCAGTCATGTGAGTCTGCCACCACTAAATCTTGCCAAATATGGACAATGAGGCCAGCTTGTCTTCACTTTTTTGTAGACTAGTACCGTAATAGTAGTATGGGTACTTACCCTCATACTGCATTCGCCGGAGCCTGCGGAGGTCTTTGGTCCCATCTGGAGACGGAGGGTCTTCCAGTCAAAACAGCTAGGGGGGTCTTCCAGGATTTGTCTAACCGTATCACACATACGTAGACAATCATAGAGGTCTGGCAGGACTTTACGGCTGAATCAAGGCCGAGTGCGTACGGCCAAGGGCGCAGGCCAAGGCGCGTAGCGCCGAGGCCTGCGCCCGCGGCCGTACGCACGAGGCCTTGATGAAGGCGAAAAGTCCTGCCAGACCTCTATGATGGTGTTTCAGGTTTCGTCTTTCGCCTTTCTGGTATAAAAGCAAGACACGTATAGGCGTGGTGGTCGGGGACGTGGTGGATTCAGCTTGTGAGTTTCAGCTCCTTCAGCTTGTGAGTTTCAGCTCCGTCCGCTTCTCATGGATGGGATGACCCAAAATTATCAGAAAAGTTCGTCAACTCCTTTTTTTAGTACATGTAGAACAGAAAGTGGAAAACTGATCGCGATGTTTGCCACTTATTTCAGCTTGCTTCTAAGCAGATAGATAGGTGCATGCTCTTTCGCTTATTCACAACTATCGTAAAATTTCCTCTCCACTCACGACAAGAACTTGAGTTGAAAACTGACCACGATGTGTAGACACTTTTCATGTTGCCGTTTTTGGACAGGCTGTTTCCAGGTACCAGAGCATGTTCACAGTCGAATGTGAGATGCGAACTGAGCTGACAACGAAAAACTGCCACAGACCCCTGCAGAGCTAGACTGACAGAGTACGGGGTGCCATTGACGACGGGCTTTATTGCTACCGTATTTTTCCGTATCCATTGACCACGGGCTTTATCGGCTCATCAAGGCCACCGCGGGAACGTCGCTCATTGGCTACAACCATAGAAACGGTACGGTAAAAACCTGAAATGTATATCATGGTACCTTGGAAGCATTGGTCTCATCTTGAATGCCCAGAAAACGAAGTTCATGGTGCTTCGGAAGAAGGCTCTGCCTCTTCCGCCGGATCTTACCATTGCATGCGGTGGTGTCGATATTCGACCTTCTGCCACAGCGCGTTATCTTGGCCTCATTATTGACCAACACCTCACCTTTGAGGATCAAGTCAACCATGTATGTACATCTGTTTATAAGAAGATAGGAGCATTCCGCCGCTGCCGCCGTACAGTAGATCACACAACTAAGCGAATATTTTATTTATCCCTCATCCAATCCACTATTGAATACGCCAGCAACTCGTATGCTCACTGTCTTACACCATCTTTATACTCTCGCCTTGTTACTTTAAGTCATATCAGCATGAAACAGGTTTTCGGTCTCCCTCGCCGTACCCCGACTGTCTTTGTTTTGCGGCACGCTAAGTTATACTCCCTCGAATCTCGTCTCAACTTGAGGCTTTTTATTTTTGTTTTCCGCTGTATTCATCAGCTTACAAGTCCTCTTCTTTCCTCAATGTTCACCCTCCAGTCGGCTGGTACTTGCACCGAGAGGCGCACTAGAGGGCAATCATTCTCTTCACTTTCTTTGCCCGCTGCTACCACTAGATATGGCATGTTCTCCATTTCTTTCCTTGGCGCTGATAGGTGGAATTCTCTGCCTGTCTCGTGTCGTCAGGTTGAGCATCTATCCGTTTTTGTTTCGCTCTGTAAAGAGCACTTAGGGTTCCCTGTAACAAGACGGCAACGTCTGTAGGGCCTTCCCTATCAAAATAATAAATTCTACTACTACTACTACTACTACTACTACATGATGCATTTGGAGCAGGGAGTGTATGCCTAGTATGGGACATACGCAGGGAGTTGTACTCCTTGTTTGGGGGCCAATTGGGGCACCAGCAGGGAGTTGTAGAAACGTATTTAATAATAACAAGAGTACATAACCCCCCGTACTCTTGATAATAATAATAACTTTATTAGGATGACCCAAAGGCTGACCGCCTAGCGCCTATCGTGGGCCGGGTCCGTCGCATTGAAGGAAGATGGTACAAGAGAGTACAGATTGGGAAAGGGAGGGGAGGGGACTACGATGAACAGGGTACCGGGTAACGGCATGCCAGCGAGTAGACCTGAATACTGACAAGAATGTTTGCGCAGCTCTTTCCGAGAAGTTAATTTTATGATTCCGGCTTGCTAGCTGCAGAGCTAGCCACAGTACTCGTACCTTTCTTCAACTTCTTGCTTTGTTGGATGACGAAAATCGCATGCATGCGTGCAGTACCGGTACCGCGGGGGTCGACTTGCAATTTTGACTCCACACCCCCCCCCCCCCCCCCCCCCCCAGTCAATGAACAATGTTCGTTTCTGGGATGACAAAAACACTTTTGCGCCGAGTAGAACGTGAGTACAGAGTTCATGACAAAATCCAATTGTTCGTACATGTATACTGTACTGTAAAAGCAGAAATTTTCGGTGTTTTATTTTCGGTAACTTTGGTGCCGACAATTTTTACCGATAATAAAACGCACCGAAAATTTCGGTACAACCGATACTGTACACATGTACATGTAGTACTATACTAGTACACTTACCTGGAGAACGGGTTTTACCGAAAATTTCCCTCTACGACGCTCGTACCGAACCGCCGATTTTGGAGAATACCGAAAATATTACACCACCGAAAATTTCTGCTTTTACAGTACATGTACATGTATGTGGTGAGTGATCATTGTTCCGCCCCGGCCCCGTGCAAGCATATTGCCAGCGTGTCAGCTGAAAAGACCAAGACGGTGAGCCAAACGACGGCACCAGGGAGTCGTAAAATACCAATAATTCCACGACTCCATGAACGGCACGTGATTACTTGGATGCGGTGCCATCTCAGTTTTGCTCTGTATAGTATCAAGAGTATATACATGTACTCTTGATAGTATCCAATGAAACAAGGCGAACACCTAGCAGACTCAAAAGTAGGGCTGAAACGAATGCTCAATGAAGCAAACGAATATTCTCTTTCCGAATACATGTGAAACGAAGAATATTCCGAATATTCTAAACCATACAATATCCATGGATACCTAGTTATATCCATGGTAACCATAGACCATCAACTGGTGTGTACCCCAATTACAGGAGAGACATTTGAAAAGGACAATGTTATCATTTGTCTTGCTGTTGGCAACACATGGAAGGTGGCAATCTTACCTACTTTCTGCACCAAATAAGCCTGTTCGATATCAAAAAGGCGAGTTTCGGGACATTTACGAACATTCTTATTCTACTCCAACGAAGAATATTATTTTTCCGATCTGCATATTTCGAATATTCGAATAATTCGAATATTCCTTTCAGCCCTACTCAAAAGCAGCAACAAAGCAAGTCCACATAGACAGCAGTGGCAAGGGGACACAAAGTCAAAGGAAGCACTACCTTGATGAAGGAAACAAGGAAACGACATAAAAAATAACACCGGAATGATTGAAAAAAAGCATAAAAAACAGTAAGCAAATCTTCACATATTTCGTTAATAAAATAGTCATTGCAAAAATATGGCGGCTACACCCAATGCTGTACAGAGCGAGTACACGTACACACTTACGCTCTGAGGCACACACACACACACATGCATCCACCCACACACATACACGTACGCGCACACGCACACACACACACACAAATACCAGCTTGCTATTTATCATAATAAAAAGCCGTCACAAACCGGGGTTGGCGCCCGGTGACACTTAGGACGCTGAAGAACGTTCACAACAAGACCGTGAATCCGAGCACTGAACAAGAAGTCCACCAGGATCATAGATTCATAGGGCGCAGGGTGCAGACACCACGCTACTACACTGTATACTGTACTGGGCTAGTAGCACTGGGCAGTGTGTTATTGCATCATTAACTGCAACAAGCTGCTAGCAGTGAGCAGTAGAAGCAGCAGCAGTGCATCCATACTACTTGCATACTACTTGTATGTAGTTGAAGCCGAATCAAAACCAGGACCTCGACTTGTACTTGAAGTCTACCTTAAGAAGGTACTTCATCTGGATTTGCGACACATCATACACAATAAATCTGAGACGCACAGCGAGTGAAGGAATTTTCCAAGGAACAGCGTTAAAAAAAAGGTGACAGACCATGATGTGTATTGAATCCAGTGCCCACATTACATAGCCACGGATTGAAGAATCTGCTGGGCCATTGCATCATTATTCATGCAATGAGGGTATCCATGGCCCTGCGGCAGTCTTAAGACAAGCACGGGTAATACAGTATCTTCATTACCACAAGCATGACAGCACGCCGACTATCTTCATTACCACAAGCATGACAGCACGTCGACTATCTTCATTACCACAAGCATGACAGCACGCCGACTATCTTCATTACCACAAGCATGACAGCACGCCGACTCACCAGCTTACCACAAGCATGACAGCACGCCGACTCACCAGCTGCTACGACATGACGGAGGTCACCGAAACTTTGAGCGGCCCGCATGGCCACCTGCTAACTGTCCAATCTCATTACAATCCTTCTGGCATGCGTGATCTTCCACACTGACAGGGCGTAGAGAAAGAGGCAAACAAGTTCAATGGCATGCCAGGCAGATCAATTTGCGCCAGTAATCCCACGAGGAACATAAGTGCGCATCGCGCCAACACTACGGCGGCCTTTGCAACACCACTGCCAAAAGCTACGGAGTGCCATGGCATCAACACCACTGCCAAAAGCTACGGAGTGCCATGGCATCAACACCACTGCCAAAAGCTACGGAGTGCCATGGCATCTGCGAACGCCTGTTTCTACAAATCTAAACAGAGTAACATTAGTAATAACGCTAGATCACGCACCCACGCACACATTGTAGCAGCCACCGCAGCAGCAACAGCAGCAGCAGCAACAGTGTATGTGGAGGATACTCGTTGTAAAGCAGGCTAGTCTGTCCCTTGTAGACATTGGCACCCTTGCCCATGGGTACAACACAGCCATTGTCCAACGTCTTGTCACCGCTCGGATCTGGTGCAGTGCGTCCAATACCTGCATGTGCACGTGCGCACACACACACACACACACACACACACACACACACACACACACTACTATCAATCAATCAGCTACCCCGTGGGGTCACGCCGCCCTCCACTCAGAGAACTGAGCGCAAGGTGAGGGGCAGTGGCGCAAAACAAAACAGGAAGTACAGCAAAATGAATTGAAAAAAAAGGAAATCAAAACAAGCTGCCATATTGATGGAAAAGGACTCACAAACAGAGGAAAGAAATATCACAAACCAGATGAACAGTCTGCTGTAGGTCCACTATAAGTATTAAATGCAACGACTGAAAAAGGAACATGATGTTCTGTTCAACGTCTGTACGCATACTGCTTCGGCCTTCATAAACCAGGAAAGCACAATCTTGAACACACACACACACACACACACACACACACACACACACACACACACACACACACACACACACAAACACACGCACGCACACAAACATGCATACACCAGTGTTACCAATAACTCTCCGGTCCTTTGCGCACTGATCAGTGCCATGTTTTTGGAATATTTCCTGCATTTGCGTATTCAGTTTGGTGATCTAAATAATAAATATCCAGGCATACAGCTGCAACTAAAATCGTATTTCCAACCCAACTCTATCCACGGTTTGTCCTGGAATGCTTTCGAACATATGCTATGCTTCCCTGCAGAGTTGAGAAACATTGATATACGCTTTCACTGCACTTTAAAGTGTATTGGGCATAATTTAAACACTAATTTCTCAAATTCCAAGCTACAAGACAACTTTCCCTCTTTGCGGACATATCATGCCAAATCTGTTCTGCGGAGAATGCTTCAAAAGTGCGTAAAATACTGACACCAGGGCTGCCACTTGCTCCGATTTTTGATCGCCTGTCGGATAAACCGACCGATTTTGTTCCCAAAGAGGGACAACCGATAATTTTATTTCGAGCGCTTTTTAGTCCAGTTGGCCATTCGACGCTTCCAGGTCGCGTTTGGCCGGTCATTGTACATGTACATGTACATGTAGCTGTAAAATGCACGTGTGCTTGCATGTGTGTGGTCAGTTAAAAATGTATTCTGGGGCCCCAACAGCAAGCCATTTTCCTAAAAAATTTCACCGGGGGACGCCCCCCGACCGATTTTTCTCCCTCCAAGTGTGGCAGCCCTGTGACACCTACGGGCGATTGGCAACTCTGACATGCATTGCAATACTAGCAGCAGTGGACTTTGATAAGCCAGCATTTACCCATGCACTCGCTCAAAGCAACTCCTACCCACAACAAACGCCACCATTTCCACACAACAAACAACACACACACACACACACAAACGATATACAAACACATACCCACAGAAACACGAGAGAAAGAGATAGGTAGATAGATAGATGAAGAGCATTAGATAGAGAAGTAAGTTCAAGTAACTAATACGTACCCTTAGTGCTGAGCTTTCCAGATGGTAGTTTATTCACATACTCGGAGTGTGTGCGCTCGTACCTAGCGAACACGCATTGCAAACAAGAAGTACAGGTAAGAAGACGCGATGAAAACACCAACCCCAACCAACCCAAACAGCACTCACGGGCAGAGAGAACAACAGCTAACGGGTCATTACTCAAAATCTGGACAGATCAGGGGTGTTATCGATTGGCGAATCTGGAATGAGTGCGAGCAGGCGGTGTAGTCCGAGCAACACTGGCCCAATCGAACAAAACAAGGGTGTAGTGCGCAAAATGTACGCATATCGTACAAAGATTCTGTGAAAGCTGTCAAAAAACGCCAAAGTCCATTTCCACTCCAGCCACTCCCGGTGTGGGGGCCGGTGTGGTCGGATCCCACTCCAAGTACACCTACTCCGGATTCGGCCAATCGATCACGCTCACTCGGAGCGCACTCGCTCGGGATTCGCCCAATCGATCATGCCCCTGGAAAGGCTGAAAAGGTGCAAAATATTTTCCTGGCTCCACAATTTGTTTGGCATCTGAAAGTGTTGTTACTTCGGAAACCGTTCTACACCAGGCACGTGTTATGTTATGCCTATTGCCATACATAACTTGCCTCTCTGTTGCGAGCTAGTAGGCCACTATTCCTATTCCTACCGATTTCCTGCTTGCAGAGACTTGTTTCTTTATTACGATCCGAAAGCAGGTACATGTATTTCTCTCCGCAAAGCTGCAAAGTCATGAGCTTTTCGTTTGCTATGCTTTAACTGCTTTAATTGCTCGTTTCCGTTAAGACAGGGAACACTTGCTCCGGCCACGTTTGGCGACGCTGTTTGCAAATTGCACTTTATTCAGCTTGAGCTTGACTATAGTCACAGTATAGTGTGATATAAAATCAGCCGTATAAGTAACCTGCACGCATGTCTGTCAGGCTTGAGAGCTGAAACACAACTACGCCACTGATGTAGTGCAACATACCGGTACATGACTCTTGGCCTTAGCTTCTCGGCATTTATAACATTTCATTGTGCGTGAAATTGAAACCGTATATTCTTGCATTCCGGCGAATGCATACCGTTTTCGACCGAAACATCCACCAAAAACCTTGAAAAGCACCTAAGCTGCATTTTTCTTCCAGGATGTATTTGCACCCCAACAACGCAAAAACTATGCAAAACATAATGTGGAAAAGCCTACACTGGGCGACCTGGACATGCAACCCAACCAGGTAACCCAGTATCGCAAGTTTGGAACACTACAATTTTCAGCAACATATACATGTACAATGTAGGTGCAAAGAACAACATCTACACCATCTACACAGTTATGACCAGCTGCAACACCATCTACACAGCTATGACCAGCTGCAACACCATCTACACAGCTATGACCAGCTGCAACACCATCTACACAGCTATGACCAGCTGCAACAACTTACATGCCACCCAACGCCACTTCACAGAGCAAGAGCATGCCAATGTTGTCAGTGGGAGAGGTGCGGCAATAATTAGCTGACTGCAAACACAGAGAAGGATACAGAGGAATGAGAGAGAGAGAGAGAGAGACACCCACACACACACACCCACTAGTCCGTGAGCCAAATCTCAGAATCGGCCGTTTTAGCATCGACCGTTGCACCCAGAGAGGGACAAATCGTCCTTCAGCACACCGCTTCACGATGGTATCCTGAAGCGATTTCCACTTGTTGGACAGTTCGAAACTGATCCAGGGAGGTCACAGAAGACGCCAAACATCCAACTTTGCTCACTGACAGCAGCGGCCATTTTCGCCTTCTTCGCTTGATTTTTTTGCGCTTGTTCACGGATTCTCATTTTTTGAAGCCATGAGCAGATACCACGAGTGCACATAACGCGGAAACCAGTGCACAAAACTAGGTTCGAATTTTTTTGCCGCTGAGAATTATGAATCGGGATGCAAACTGCATGCAGCAAAGTCACTACTGTTTGTAGTTACAATGCAATCGTTCAGAACTGACTTCCAAGAATGTCCTAAATATCTCTCGACATATTTGTTCACCACTTCCTAGGCCAATAGGCGTAGTAGACTGTAGTGAGTAACCTTCTGGAGCAAATGACGACTGCCCCGAGCATGAACTTCTTTTCATCCTGTTCAAGGTCAAATATTACTCAGTTTGCGTTGAAGAATAACAATTACATTCGTGAATGGCCGAACTGAGAAAACCCTCATGATTTCTCTTGGATTTCGTATCCCAAGTTCCTCTACTTGGCTGGATAAATCGCCTCTTGACTTCATCATACTGGACTGGAACTTGTAGATAATAGCGAGCAATGAATTGGTGAGTGAAGTATATTTCAAAAGTAATAACCACTCGATTACTGAATAGTAGTGAATACGTAGAATACTCCAGTATTATAATGATATGAACACTGAAGCTAATGTGACATTACAGTAGTACAATAGGAAGTACGTCACCACTGTTGTAAATGCACGCGCTGATCCTATCCAACCTGACGGCCAATGCAAGAGGTTGGAATTGGCTATTGATTTCCTAACACACTCATACAGCACCAAAAGCTATCTGTCATTGCTCATTTTCAACTCAACATAACACAGTTGCAAATCACCAGGTGCACATCTTGGCACATAATGTGTGCTGTCGCAGTCCACCGCAGAACATAGTAATCCACAGATAACTACCGATATAAGATGATGTCACATACATATAATATTATGCATGCGCGCGCACCCACACCCACACGCGTGCGCACACACACACACACACACACACACACACACACACACACACACACACACACACATTAAGCAGCTGAAGAATCCGACTATGCAGTCTCCCAGGCACGCGCACACACACGAACCAGCTGCCGAATCCCACTATACAGTCTCCCAGGCATGCACGCTCGCACACACACAGACACACATGAACCAGCTGCCGAATCCACACAAACACGCGCGCGCGTGCGCACACACACACACACATGAACCAGCTGCCGAATCCGACTATGCAGTCTCCCAGGCACGCGCGCACAAACAAGCTTATGCGCACGCGTGTGTGCGCGCACACACACATGAACCAGCTGCCGAATGCGACTATGCAGTCTCCCAGGCACGCACGCGCGCGTGCGTGCGCACACACACACATGAACCAGCTGCCGAATCCGACTATGTCAGTCTGCCATGACTGCGAAACCAGCGAAGACATACGGTGCATTGGCTGCTGCCAGACTGGTCTGCTACAGGTTTGCGACGCTCTTGAGTACACGTGTGGCATGGCAGGCCGCTCTTCGAAAAGGAAATGTTACAAATACTACACTGAATCCGATCACGGGATGCCGGCTGTGGTGGTGAAGCAATTCTGAATGCTGTGTGCCACTCTCCTCGCTGCTGTGCAGTGTCGAACCAATGTCCTTCAAGATGTAAGTGATGGATGTCTCTTCGGACAACATCACACCAATGCTGTCGGGTTTCACACACACACACACACACACACACACACACACACACACACACACACACACACACACACACACACACACACACACACACACACACACGGCGCACACCTCGTCGACAATTGCGGAATCTAAAACCCACCAACGACCTGAAACACGGATCGCACTGGCCGCAGTGGCTGTGGCAACACCGTGCCCCAACACCAGTAGTAGCCTGGGGTGGTGTCACCAACAAAGGAAAACGCCTAGCACGCACATGCACGCGCGCGCGCGCGCACACACATGCACGCTCGCACACACATGCACGCTCGCACACACATGCACACTCGCACACACACATGCACGCGCGCACACACACATGCACGCGCACACATACATGCACACACACACACATGCATGCGCCCACACACACAAACACGTGCACACATGCACGCTCGCGCACATGCACGCGCGCGCACACACACAAACACACGCACACCCAGAAATGTGCACACAAACATGTGCGCACACACACATACACAGCTAATGGTATACAGTAGTATGTTGCCCGCAAAGCAGCCAGGTGCTCTGGCTTGGACCTCCAGCAGCGCTGGTTTCGCCCTCGCTACTTGTCGTCTTGTCCTCTCCAGTGCTGCCTGCAACAAAACATTCCCTTCCGGAAACTCTGGGTGGACCAGTTCTCCGTGTTGTGTTTACACCGTGCTCTGCTTTCATAATTACCGGTATGGCATTCGTTGTTCGTATCAACCACTAAGCTCCTGGTAGGTGGCCCCTTACTGGCCTTAGGATGTGGCTCTGGGTTCACTACTATATGCACATCACTGTCAGCAAGTATAGACAAAGCAAAATCAGAGGCACTGGTCTTCTCCAGGTTTGCAATTGCTATCACATGGGTGCAATTGGTGTAGCACTTTCCATGATACCAGCCACACCATTTACTCCTCCCTGAGCTCTTGTGCTGGCAGAGAAAAGCCCAGATATGGTCGTCCTTCTCTCGAGCAGCGCTGACGATGCGACACCAACTTGTAGTCTCGATATTACTCACTGCAGGCTTCTCGTTTTTACTAAATTGGGCGCTGTGACACAGACACAAAATTCCAGCAATATTACTCCGCTGGGCTGTCATTTGCCACTTCGTTGCCGTCAGCTGCCTCATCCAGCACCTCGCTGCCACTAGAAACGTCTTCCTCTTCTTCCATTGTTGTCAAAACATCAATGTACACGAAAGGAATAAACTTCAATACCATAATAAAGTGATCACAATATCCCAAGTCGATATTGTCGTCAACGTCGTCATCTTCTAAAAAAATAAATTATTTTTCCTCACTCCACGCGAACTCGTGTTTTGCGCTTGCTCATACGACGCACACCTCACCACTCGCGTAAAAATATTTGTTCTCACGGTGGAATTTGGTCGAGAAAAGATGCCCTCGCGAAGGTCTCTGGATCGGTTCTGGAACGTCCAACAAGCGAAAACGTATCCTTTGTGATGTCCTTGACCAACACTGTAAGCGGCGATTTGTCCATCCGAGAGTGCAACGGCACTTGTGATTTTGAGTTTTGGCTCACGGACTACACCCACAAAGGTGATAGGCAGGTAGGAAAACCAAGGTGACACACACAGCGGGAGAAACAGATAATACCGACTTGACACGACACATCGTCTATGCTGTCCTCTACACACTTGCCGACAGCCCAGCATCATGCTGTGAGCACCCGTACCGTGCACATCACAGCTCATACAGCTTGCAAATGGTCTTGACTCGGGGGAAGAGTATCCGTGTACTACTGCAGCGGACATTGAAATCCATTCAGAAGTCAAGTAGCCACCGAGTGCTGGCCTTGCAGCCGCGAGCACTGCTGGTCCATTTTCACAGTGTGTACGAGACTGCATAATATACAGTGCATGTACGCGCTAAAAGCAGTAAGGGTGCTGGCCCTGGTCATCCGATCGGATTTCCATGTCCACGACAGTAGTAACTCCAGTCCACGCTGGTTGACAATCTTGTTCACAGGTAGAACGGCAGCCTGCATGCATGAACTACAACGGTACTATGTCGGACAGCATGTTTATAAGGGCTGAACTTGACTGCAACAGACCGAGTCAAGAAACAAGCAGGGGTGCTTTTTTTAATGGATTTTTACGTTTTTACGGTAGCTTCTTTGGGGTGTGCATGCTTAGCTTGCGAAAGACCCTGTAAGTAGTAATCTCTTATTGGCGATGGTGCCATCGTGAGAATAAAGAATTCAAGTAATGCATGCGATGTGAACAGCTGCATCATTCCTGACAGCGATGGGCACTTCACTTACCTTAGACACCATGTCTGAGGAATAGCCAATCAACCACCGTGTTCAGGTTCAGAATGAGAGAGAGAGAGAGAGAGAGAGAGAGAGAGAGAGAGAGAGAGAGAGAGAGAGAGAGAGTGAGACACACACACACATGCGCGCGTGCACACACACAACATACATACATACATCATGTAGAGTAGAATCCGGGTTAAGGGTCTGACCGTCACACCGGATTAGGGATCGGAGCCCGGGGGGGGGGGGGGGGGGGGGGTCACTTGGCATGTACATTGTGCGGGTGATCCTTATACCGGGATTTAATTTCCGGCCCAAGGGGGGGGGTCCCCCGTCGGTTTCCAAGGAAGCCGTAATTTTTTCGCTCCAAACTATTTTTCCGGGGTCCATCTACTCACAAAAAGTCGTTTTGCACACCTTTTTGCCCATCCCTGTACAACTGAGTCCAGCTATGTCCGCACAGAGTTAGGTGGATCCCTAACCCGGGTTCTACTCTAGAATGACCTACATCGCACATTGACGCAAGAACACGACGGGGGTGGTGCAGCGTGCTCTGGTCTTTGCCACAATCACAATGCTGTCATTCAAACAGGTACTATGCTATACTATCATGTTCTTGAAGCACCAACACTCACTGGGGGTTGTCACGTGATACGGGAGCATGCATGCATACACAGTAGATTGCAGATACACATGTACATGCATTACCTAATGCACAGCCGGCGACACACTTCAGGCACTTCAGGGGCGTAGCTCGCACATCTGTGGTGTGGTGACCTTGTACCAGAGCACATCTGTGGTGTGGTGACCTTGTACCAGAGCACATCTGTGAAGTGGTGACCTTGTACCAGAGCACATCTGTGGTGTGGTGACCTTGTACCAGAGCACATCTGTGAAGTGGTGGCCAAGTACCACCGGTAGCCTCGTTTTGCCTATTTTCACTATGTAGTACCCATGACAGCCATTCGCTAGTGTAGTGAGCGGACTACTACGCCGACTATACACGAGCTATGCGCCTGCACTTGATGTATAACAGACCGGTCCCGCACTTGCATGCCTATGTATCCACAGTTCTGAATAATGACATCTACTATGTACCCCATCCTCATGAATAGTGAGTATCCCGCCATCAGTGTACCGCCTTGTGTTCGCAGTGAAACAAGCGCCGTGCGGTACCTAATCAGCTCATGACGCGAGGTAAGGTGTTACTCAGCTGTATTGTAGGTGTGTTCGCAAATATTCAACCATTCACTTTCCTAGTTCCATCTCGCGCCATTTCAAAAGTAACGGAATGAATACCAGTACGAACATGGCATGTGCAAACTGGATACACCAGGCTTACTTTGTACTTGTGCCCGGACACCTGATTTCCTCAACAAACCTCTCACTGGGAGCCATGATCAATGCAGTGCATGGAACCGTAGAAATTTGCAACGGCTACTGTTGCCGAAAATAGCATGGAACACTGCACACACAAAGGTATTGGGGCATAAATCGCTCTGGACAACCATACACTATACTAAATATGAAATTTCCCTAGCCACTGTCAACTGCTGGCAGAGAAGAAGATGAACTCACCAGCAAAGTAGACACCTTTACCGAACATGTAGCCAGTCTGGAAAGGAATGAGAAAAACCGAGAGAGGCGACTCAGTGTGCGTGCGTGCGTGCGCGTGCGTGCACGCATGTGAGTGTGTGTGTAAGTAACGTCTATGTGAGGGGAAGCATGACGCTTACGTCAAAAAGCTCCACTTTCCAACGGGCAGATGGCAGCCTTGCACTTTGGCTACAACTAAACACTCTCCGTGATAACTCCTACCTACGCATGCTTCCAGCGCTGCTGCTACTGCTGCGATAATGGGGGGGGGGGATGGGGATATTCTGATCAGCCATTCAAACCAGCAAACTATTCCGGCTCTCAAGCGAGCAATTAATCTGCGTAGACCCATGCGGGTGCTGGGGCACGCACGCACATACACACGCGCTCTCCAAAAGCAAACAAGGCCAGCAATGCTTACAACTGGCGCTTCGGGAGGTGCAATCCGCAAGCCCTGCGACAGAATACCGCAGAAGTTGGTGGTGCGGGAGCCGTGCCAAAGCAGCATCCTGTTGTCGTCCGTACAGAACTTCTTGTAGCGATCATTCTCACTCTCACGCTCCACTTTGAACACCTACATCAAGAATTCAAGATGGATAACAAAGAGCACACTGCATCATCATACAGGATACATAGGAGGGGGCTATGCGAATGGCATCATCGTATATACTTGTATGGAGCAGGAAAACACATGTTAATGATGTTCACTCCGTACAAACAATTTGAGTGATGATGTTGGCGCATAAAATCTATATACCGTATGTCCGCACCTTCAAAGCCATGGAGGTATATTCGACTATAAAGCCAGTCTCAGCTATAAAGCCATGGGCTTCAAAAATGAAATGACATTTGAAGCATGTTTTGTAAAAATGAAGGAAAAAGTACTATACTAACAAACTTACAGCCCAGCAGGAATGGTGGACAAGCGGATTTAGATTGAAATTTCTGTGTGGACTTTGACTTTTATGGCATGGCGTAGTGGGTGAGTCATTTTTGCATTAAAAATAGCTAGGAAAGCAGCGGTGTTTCAAATATAAGGACATGGCTTTGAAGGCGCTGACACACGGTAAAATAAAGTTTCTCAGATCCTTGCTGTGAAATAGTGCTCAATACCCTAACAAGGGCAGAGCATACTACACAAGGCAGAACATAGACCAAAGTCGTTATCAATAATGATATTGGTCTCTGTTGTTCTGCCTTGCGTAACATCTATTACTGTATAACATGTGTTTCACTAGGAGTCTGCAATTCAAATTTCAAAATACTTCCAGACTGTCGCGAGTCGAATTTTGAGGTTCTGACTTTCAATTCGCAAGCGCAGTTTTGCAATCCAAAACAACCTAAGCTAGCTGCTTACCACATGGTCACTATGGGGAACTAAAACGGAGTGCACAGCTAAGTGTACAAAATTGAACAAGAAGCCGAAAATAACTTTCAACTCTACCGCTTTTTTTGGTTCAACTTCCCGAAATTTCGACAGCTCCACCAACTCTCGAACTCCGTAGTCGGAAATATTCTGAAATTTGAATTGCAGAACCTCTCCGTCACATTATCCACGACTGTGCTCATGGGTTCTCTTCATGTGTTCTTATAAAGTCTATCAGTCAGGGATTAGTGGTAAAAGCATGCCAAATTCAGTGAAGAGAAGTGAAGCAGAAACACAGATTTGATGCACCCTGGTCACCTTCTTGTACAGGTCATTATTAGGATACAGAAGTACATTGTACAGAATGTCAAGTGGCACTGTTTTTAAAGTGTTTTCACAAGAGATGAACATATGGACACACAGACATGAAACACACACACACATGCACACACGTACGGACGAACGCACAGACACAGACATGAAACACACACACACACATGCACACACGCACGGACGAACGCACAGACACAGACACGCAGACACACTCACACACACACACAGGCAAGTGCTCACCTCGAGTAGCTCCAGTTCATACTGGTTATGAGTGGAGGCATGTGTGTTAGCAATGTAAGTCTTGATCATCTTAAATTCAGGATGGTCATGAGATAACACCTGGGACAGAAAGAGATGACCAGACGCAACAACACAGGAAAACACAAACAAACAGAAAAGCAAAACATGAGTGGTGTAAAACATGAACTCCATACATACCATTCACGTGCGTTGCATCATAGACAGTCATACATACCATTCACGTGCGTTGCATCATAGACAGTCGGTGTACACATATTGTAAATCACCGGTGCAAGGAGCATTGTATCATAAATAATGACGTTAACTTGAAATTCTGTCGGGACAGCAGGGTATGTACTCTTGGTGCCATCTGTAAAGTTATATTCCAAGCAAGTTTCCATAGTGTAGCGGTTATCACGTTCGCCTAACACGCGAAAGGTCCCCGGTTCGATCCCGGGTGGAAACAGCCGATAATTTTTTTTTAATTCTGCGAGCGACTCGCCGCTCAAGGCTCATGACGACGTAGGCATGGAGCACTTCAACGCCACCATCTGCTTTCGAGACAGCCGTTACGAAGTGGCCTGGCCATGGAAGATCGAGCCACCGGACCTTCCTGCCTTGGCCATCGATTCGAAACCGCTGTCTTGCTCAAGGTTGCCTTACTTACTACCCTGTCGCAGCAGCTAGCTCGGGACCCAGCTCTCCTGGTTCGATACGATGGCACCATCAGTTAGGTCAATGAACTTCGCTCTACGTTACTACATGGTTGTATTATTGTTTGTTGTGTTTTGTTCTCTCTCTACTCTTTCTGAAGAAGAGGTGCGACTTCAGCGATAGTAGGGGAAGAGTGTGTTGCTCCATACATGGGAGCTCGCGGTTTTCCTGCCGACTTGAATTCTCACTTGACTGACTCACGACTGCCCTCCAGAGCACACGAGAAGTTCATCGAACCGTCCACTCGGCAAACCTGCAAGAAAGCACCAGTCCCTGCTCAATACACAGTGTTTTGCGGAATTCACCCCTCATCAGTTGAGCTTGAGTAGGCTGAGGAAGATTGTGCCTGAAGAGCACCACTTATATAGTGCTCTCCAGTTCAGCACCTCCATGAGCGACACTGACTCACGCTGCTATCTGGTGTTCACGAGGTGTTTGTCGCGCTGGAAACGGAGCATCTCTGTAAGTTTCTATCCCTGGTGATGTTTGTGCCTGGAGAGCACTATATAAGTGGTGCTCTTCAGGCACAATCTTTCTCAACCTACTCAAGCTCAACTGATGAGGGGCGAATTCCCCGAAACACTGTGTATTGAGCAGGGAGTGGTGCTTTCTTGCAGGTTTGCCGAGTGGACGGTTCGATGGACTTCTCGTGTGCTCTGGATGGCAGTCGTGAGTCAGTCAAGTGAGAATTCAAGTCGGCAGGAAAGCCGCGAGCTCCCATGTATGGAGCAACACACTCTTCCTCTACTCTTCCCGTTCCCTTTTCTCCTTCTCTTTCGGCGAGAGTGTTGTGAAGCTCACAAAATACACATACCATCCATGTGCGCTGCGTCATAGCTATCCGTCGCTCACACTCATAGCTATCCGTCGCTCACACTCTCGTACTCTTAGCTGTGTACTGTAAAAGTAGAAATTTTCGGTAACTTTGGTGCCGACAATTTTTACCGAAAATAAAATGCATCGAAAATTTCGTTACTACCGGTACTGTATACATGTACTTGTAGTACAAGTACGTTTACCTGGAAAACGGGTTTTACCGAAAATTTCCCTCTACCGAACCGCTGATTTTGGAGAATACCGAAAATATTACACCACCGAAAGTTTTTGCTTTTATAGCATACATGTAGCTGGCGATCCCGGACACACAACTTGAGATGCACACGCACTGCAAGAGAAGCACATACGCGCAGCGGGGAGAAGACAAAGAGAAAGCAGCAAACAAAATTCACCGCATACCTCCATATCCGTATTGAGCTTCTTGTAGTTGAGGTCGATGGGATCATCGGCTTCGTTTCCACCGCTCTGCTTCAGCAGATTGTACGCCACCTCAATCTCCAACAAGCTGTCCAGCATAGTGCATTTACTCTTGATGAGATCATCGTTGTCTAGCAGCGGCGGCTTCTGCATGCCAAAGTCGTGTGGGATCAGTGTGTAGAAGCGATTGGACGCGTCCAGCAAACGTGTGGCATTCTTAGCGCCCTCCATTTCCTACAGCGAGATCAACAGGTAGTGATGAACTGATGATGATTGCTTGCAAGAAAGCACACAATACTCACCAAAACCGAAAACACCCGGGGGAAGAACAGAACATAGTATATAAACCAAACCAACCCCTTCCATTCCTGTTGGCTGTCAGTGTTACCATTGCACGGTGAATAACAGAAAAACAAAACAATACGCAAAACTTAACCCAAAGGGAACAAGTAGAGCAGCTTCTGTCAGCTTGTTATAAGTACGGTTGGAAGAGCTACTACCGAGGCAACACGATAAACAACTGCACGGATTCGAATTGGAGGCCCCGTGAACTCCAACCCAAGCTCTACCTCACACCCGTAGCATCCATGGACACTGTACAAGTACAGTTGAGTCATTCTCATACGACATATTCCAAATGCAGTAGTACTAGTGTAGCATGGCTACTTTATGACACGTAATTTGTATACGCATAAATAGTACACCGTAGGAATGCATGGATAGGCTGTGCGCATACTCGCACTGCCTTGTCTTCTTCTTCTCCTTGTGTGAGACAATGAAGGAATATTGATAACTACTTACGTAACAACAAGTATGTGTTTTGAGTGCTGAGACTGAGAGTATACGAGTTACAATGGTGGCAGCGGAAAAATAGTCGTCGGTTTTGTCCTCGGCTGGGAAGACGCCTCCGCAGGAGAGACAAGTTGCAGAGTCGACAAGTTCCAGAGAGTCTGAGACCAGTTCCAGCTACTCGGGAGACCAGCCCACAGACTAAGTTCTAATTTACTAGTATTGGTCATTCTATCCTTCGTCTCGTTTTCCATTCTTTACTTCTTGACTGATCGTTCGCTGTGCATGAGTAACAGTTTTGTTTGGTGTAAAAAGGGCTAGAATTTTCACTACAATTATTTTTGCACATAGTTCTACGTGGACGTGGGTGTGCGTGCATACTTACAGCTGCCCTGGCCTTGGTCTTGTACTTGTTGTAGTACTACTGTACTAGATTGTGCATGCATGCACCTGCATATGACGTAACTCCATGATTGTACATGCAGTACTTACTACTTGTGTAGCTAGCTAGCAAGGTAGACCTACGCACTACGTAGCTTGACACATCACGGATTCACGGTACGGGCCGCGCCGGCGGGTAGGCCGCGAGTGACGTTTGCATTGCAGGGTTTTTTTTGTAGAATTTTTTTTAAAAATTTTAAATTTTGTTTAAATTTTGAACTTGATCTCGAACGCAAGATGGGCAAGTCGAAAAAGCAGACACGGTCACCTAGTCCATTGTCATTCGAGATGTATGACAAGCCTGCCAGTGCCTCAGCCTTACCGAGACCAATCCTGTTACCCGAAGTATTTGGTCGTGCTGGAAATGAAGATTTTTCGGCCTACCTCAAACATTTTAACGATGCATGCCACCTGAACGGGTACAGTGAGGAACAAAAACTATTGTTATTACCCACAAGACTCGTAGGCACGTCCCATGAACTGCTGGAGACCATTCTCCTATCTGATGCAGACGTTTCGTTTCATGACGCCGTTGAAGCGCTCCGCAGTCGCCTGGAGCCACCACAGCAGGCCCAAATGCACGAAGCGGCTTTACGCCAGCGCCTGAAACTCGCCCATGAAACGCAGTATGCATATGCCATGGAGCTCCGCCGCCTTGCTGCCAAAGCATATCCAGGCCAACAGGGCCCGTTACTGGAATCGATGCTGCTGCAGATTTTCATCGATGGTCAGCCAACAAAAGATATGCGCCTGGCTCTGTCGTCGCCACGACCAGCAAGCATTGAATTGGCGGTCCAAAAAGCAATTGAGGTCTCGGCAATCTATGCCAGGGAACAGAGCCGGATGCCCAGTGTAGAGTCTCACTTCACTCAGGCTGTACATGTAACTGGTGACTACGATGGCTCGGCCTGCGCCGCGTTGCCGTTACGCAGCCAGCCACCTGGCCCATCACCAGCTGTACCCCGTGCTTCGGTTGCCAAGGCAAGTGCGTACGACGCTGGAGAGCGTGATCGACTGGCCCAAGTGCTTGAGAAGTTTGATTCAAGAATGTCAGATCTTGAAAAGAGACTCGGCCGTTTAGAAATAATTGTCGCTCCGCAAACACCAGTTACTGCAGGAGCAAGTCCCGATGGCCAGTCTCGTGTCAGTGGACGTGGTCGTGGACGGGGACGGGCGTATGGTCGTGGTGGTCGCGATGAACCGCCGATTTGTTTTGGGTGTGGACAACCTGGCCACTTTGCTGTTGATTGCCCACACAACCCTTGGCGCTCGGGAAACTGAGTACGACTGGTGGTGTGGGACAACTCCCAGTCGTCCACGAGGAGCCATCAGATGAGGCGCGAATCGAAGCTGTATCATCTGTCGTCCCGACCCTAGACCTCAATGTTGAAGGCAAGAGCGTAACTGCACTAATTGATTCTGGTTCATGTGTTTCTTTGTTGCATGAACAAACATTATTGTCCACGTATGGTGATGTGCCTTTGCAAGCTGCCCCCCGTTTGTGTGCGGTGAATGGTGAGGGACTTCGGGTTCTGGGTGCTGTAGATATCGAATGCTGCATTGGAGGGTGCTCATTTTTGCATGCATTTGTAGTGTCCCCTGATATCCGCCGTGATATGATCTTGGGATCTGATTTCTTGTTTGACCATGGAGCATTACTGAACATTGCTCAAGGAACCTTAACTTTTAAAGACCTGTCAGTCCCGTTAGGAGTGAAAGCTACCAGTTTTTGTCCATCGGAACCTAGTCCGGCCGTTGCGGAGGACCCGGCGCCAGTATCTGACTCTTGTGTTAGTGATAGTAATTCTCAGGAAGACCTGAGCACGTACTCTTCTCGTGTCACTGTTGGTCGTGCATTAACTCTGCCTGCCGGCCATGTAGTGTTGGTGCCGTGCATGTCTGTGCAAGAGGCACCTGTAACTGTGGACTGTGTTGCTGATCCACTTGACTCATTCTTGACAAAGTTTCCAGATGTGTCTGTGACCCCCGGTGTGGTTACGGTTGGACCTGACAGGTCCCGTGTGGTAGTTGTGTTGGAAAATCACTCTGACCACCCAGTGCTTCTTGCTAAAGATGTTAACATTGCCGAGTTATCTCCTGTACCCGAGGACTTCATTGTCGAGGATAATGATCCCACTGTTTCGTCCGTTGCGGATACGCCACCGCTTGTGCTATCCCCTGAACGTGCCGAGGTAATCCGTACATATGTTGACTCTCAGAGTCATCTGTCAGTACCTGAGAAGAGCACACTTACAGAGATTCTCCGGGAGAATCATGACTTGTTTATCTTGCAGGAGGGTGATTTTGGTCATTGTGATGTTTTCCCACATCGTATTAGTACTGGTGAGACAAAGCCAGTTAAGCAGCCTACGCGTCGTGTACCCTACCACCGCCGGCAGGCTTTACAAGCTTTGCTGGATGATCTGTTGGCCCGTGGTATAATCACAGAGTCTATTAGTCCCTGGGCGTCACCCATAGTTCTCGTTCCAAAGAAGGACGGATCTCTTCGATTGTGTATCGACTACCGCAAGTTGAACAGTGTTACGGAGCCAGATGCGTACCCCATCCCACGAGTTGATGACATGCTAGACTCACTCTCCGGCTGTTCCTGGTTCACTTGCCTGGATTTAGCTTCAGGTTATTGGCAGATCGCTATGGACGAGGAAGACAAGGCCAAGACTGCCTTTACCACACCGTTGGGTTTGTTCGAGTTCTCCGTGATGCCAATGGGATGTCGAAATGGTCCGGCAACTTTCCAGCGTGTGATGGAAGCGGTGCTTCATGGCTTATGCAATGTGCCGACCCAGCCATTCTGTCGCGTTTTCTTCGACGATGTGCTGAATGCCAGTTCTACCTTGCCTGGACAGCTCCAGATCCTCAAGTCGGTGTTTGACCGCGTTCGTGCTGCTGGACTGATGTTCAACTTGAAGAAATGTTCGTTCTTCCAACGGAAAGTGCTCTTCCTCGGTCATCAGGTTTCGGCTGACGGATTGGCTCCGGATCCGGCCAAAGTTGAAGCTATCGAGCAGTGGGCTGTACCGAAGTCGGTGAGAGATGTACGTGTGTTTCTGGGTTACGCTGGGTACTACCGTCGGTTCATCCGTGGCTTTGCTCAGCGCTCTGCACCCCTGACTGCTCTATCAGGGAAGAATGCCAGCTTTATGTGGACAAAGAGTTGTGATGCGGCATTCACCTCTCTGAAACGGTCACTGACAACAGCCCCCGTGTTGGCGTATCCCGACTTTTCTGTTTCGTCTGGCGGCTTTATTTTGGACACTGACGCTAGCAAGGTGGCCATTGGAGCTGTCCTCAGCCAAATGCAAGATGGCGAGGAACGCCCCATTGCGTTCGGCAGCCGGGTCTTGACGAAGGCAGAGAGGAATTATGATGCCTCAGACCGGGAAACGCTTGCCCTTGTCCATTTCGCGAATCAGTTCCGGCACTATTTGCTTGGCCGGAATTTTATTGCTCGCACAGACAACACTGCCCTCACCGCACTGATGTCCGTGAAGGAACCACGCGGTCGAAAAGCTCGATGGGTGGAGCAACTCGCTGAGTACACCTTCACTACTGTTCACCGGCCGGGTCGGCAGCACTTGAATGCAGATGGTCTGTCGCGTTCCTTGTTGCCGGAGGTGCAACCCTCCCATCTCGAGACTCCCGCAAATCAGCCAGAGCAAGCTAGTTCCTCTGCCACAACGGCGTCTGTGGATGTCGCCACTCCTGTACTAGCTGGTCTCTCCGCACCTGAGTTGGCCGCTTCCCAAGCTGTGGATGTTGATCTATCAGTGGTCTTGTCATGGTACAATGCAGTGAGTGGAAAATTTGTGCGTCCTCCTGAAGATTTAATTTCTGGCACTAGTCGTACCATGCGTTTGTTCTGGGCGAATGCCGAGCAGCTAAGTCTCATTGACAGCGTTCTGTACATATCACCTCCATTTTCCGATCATGATCATGTCGGTACTGCACCCCGTCTTGTCGTCCCATTTGTGCTTCAACGCAAAGCTTTGCTGGCTGTTCATGCTCTTCCGTCTTGTAACCATCCTGGTGTAGATAAAACATTAGCTCAAGCGCGGCTACGTTTTTTCTGGTTTGGAATGGCATCAGATGTTCAGGAGTTTGTGGCGTGTTGTGTCACTTGTGCACAGATTAGGCTCAAGTCTGATGCCCAGCGTGCTCCGCTCCAGCCAATGTATGCCGGCTACCCATTTCAGCTCGTAGCCCTCGACATCGTCGGTCCATTGCCAGAGACACCCCGTGGTAATCGATATCTGTTGGTTATGGCTGATTACTTCACTCGGTGGGCAGAAGCTTTTCCACTCCAATCCGTTACTGCAGAAGCTGTCGCTGTGGCTGTTGTCAATGGCTGGATAGCACGGTTTGGATCCCCTGAGCAACTGCATTCCGACCAGGGTCCGCAGTTTGAGTCTAAGCTTTTTGCTGAATTATGTCGTCTGCTGGGTATTCACAAGACCCGTACTACTCCCTACCATCCGGAAGGTGACGGACTTGTAGAGCGGCTCAATCGCACTTTGCTCGGTCTACTCCGTGCGCACATCACCCCTACATCTATTGAGTGGGATGCTACCTTCTCTCTTGTCTTGCTTTCGTACCGTTCTGCTGTCCATGCGTCCACGGGTCACAGTCCTGCCAAGTTGTTGTACGGCACTGAATTGCGTTTGCCGGCAGATGTTGTGTTTGGTTTGCCACAACCAGCGTCTCTTGAATCCACTAGTTACGTTCGCCATTTACAGTTTGCGTTGCGTGTTGTACATGCTCAAGCTCGAGAGCTCGCTGATCTGTCCCATGAGCACCAGGAAGAACATTACAACCGCCGAACCAAGGGTGCGCCATTAGCTGCTGGCCAGTTTGTTTACGTAAAGGATGCTGTCATTCACCCTGGTGAACACCGCAAATTCCACCGCCCTTGGCGTGGTCCATTTCGTATTGTGTCCGTCTTTGGATCAACGTCCTACGTTGTCGATGTTGATGGTCGCCATAAGACGCTGCATTTCAACCGCTTGAAACTCGCTTACCTGCCGTCGCCATCTGCGTCCCTGCCGCTGGAGGATCCAGTACCTGCTGCTCCAGTGATGCCTCAGTATGTCCCACATGCCCTCGACAGCGACCATAGTCCGCTGTCGTCTACGCTCCCGCAGTCAACCAGAGCCCATCTTGCTCGCAATGCTGGACTGCCTGCTCGGTTTACTGATTTTGCTATGTCCTGAGTTATTTTATTTTTTATGTTTCTGTTTTCTTTCTCTATTCACGAGGGCGTGAATTTTTGGTAGGAGGAGGATAGTGTAGCATGGCTACTTTATGACACGTAATTTGTATACGCATAAATAGTACACCGTAGGAATGCATGGATAGGCTGTGCGCATACTCGCACTGCCTTGTCTTCTTCTTCTCCTTGTGTGAGACAATGAAGGAATATTGATAACTACTTACGTAACAACAAGTATGTGTTTTGAGTGCTGAGACTGAGAGTATACGAGTTACACTAGTATGTCGTACACATTTTCCGAAAACAAGGAAAAAGAAAATGCCTCTTCCAATATATTGGTGACATAGGCCGAAACGGACTTGACCAGTACTAGTTGCAAGTACACTGTACGTGTAGAGCTGCCCAGCACTTACCTTGAGTGCCTCATTGAGGACTTTGTACGCGTTCTCGATCTGACGTCTAGATAGCTTGCCGAGTGGCATCTTCTTCATGTCAATCTACAGGAGCAGCAACGATGAGAGATAGTGGCGTGACGAGCTCATCGCTAACATATACACTAGATGCCTACTTGGAAAGCATGCCAGCACACCCAAAGCACAGCATCCACATGTGTACACACACAGCTGCACCCTCCAGTGCCTCTCACCTCAAACTCAATGAGAGCGCTCTCCATCTTCTCGATGTCAAACAGCATCTCCACCAGCTCCTGGATTGGCCTAGCCAGCTTGGACTTGGATCCAGGCTGCACCTTCAACTTCATCTTCTTCAAATCTTCATTATCCTACGAAAGCCATCAACAGGATCAACACAGGAATGTGACAAGCAACAGGCGTACCACGCACAGCACGGGGCAAATACAATTGGAAGATTCACCAGAGCTCGCTAGTGGTGAGGACAGATCGTTTCGACAGCGGTAATGATCATCCAAACACGCAAGGAGCCCAAACACACCTGACCGTAGTCAATCTCCAGCGGGTAGAACTTGCCCACAACCTTGACAAAGTGTTTTCGGTCAGACCAAGCATTGCCTGTGGCAGGCAAACAAACAAAACACACACACACACACACAATAAGCAAACAGTATCAGCACAATGGACAGCCACCATACTTGTAGGAAATCAGGTGAAGACTGAAGAGCACACCTACAACCATGAAGAATCTATCATCACGTGCAGCTTTAAAACTGTTCTATAAAGGCATCCCACATCTAGAGAGTACATTGTCTAAACTCATACTACCTCCGACAAGCGAAACTTGGCGCGTTTTTTTGTTTTTTTTATTTGTGTTGGTACCACAAGTTACTTCACAAGGCAGTGAGGTACGCGACCTACTTGTACCCTCCATGCAACCGGGTGCAGGAAGCCAAGCGACGAGCTGGTGAGTGGCACATGGCTCGACTAGTCAGAAGCAGGCCAGTCTCTCGTGTACCAGCACAACAGTGCGCGCGCGCACCGCGCGTCTATTCTGCGAAGGAGAATCGTCGTGATTTCGCGTTTCAAAGCAAAACCAAGGAGTTCTCTCTCTCTTCACTTGATCACTCAGCCAGCACAGAGTCCATATGTCCATGCCAAATAATCCTAGCGTCTTTCAATAGCCTTCAGAGCGATGCGTCTCTGGTGGCTAAGGAAAAGCGCCAGGAATTGCTGCCTGCAATTTTGGACAGTTGGCAAGAATACCCGGCAAACATGTTGCAGTCCAGGCGCGTGTGGAGGTGTTGCACAGTTCTTACCACGTCAACCTAGATAGTGGCGGCGGAAATGACGACCCTCGACACCGTGGCTCAAGCACAGGAGCGACATCGAGATTTCCAGAGCGATCACAACAGAGATACTTGCTGCAACTGAATCCGCTCTAGTCGCTCTTTCGTCTCAAAACAGGGACAATTCCTCTCCAGAAGAAACTGCGATATCTGAATCAGAGGAGAGTGATTCAGCCTAACTGATGTCTCTAATGTCCTTGTTGAGCAATACAAAGTTGTATTTTGGTGAGCCAATCATTAGACTTGATTGTAAAGTGTGAGTTATTTCGTGTAATTTGAAGTAAAAAACGCGCCAAGTTTCGCTTGTCGGAGGTAGTAGAAGAAAGTCACACAGTAGGCACATCATCCGCATCATCAACAAACAGAAAGGCGCAACAGAGTAGGCACATCATACGCATCATCAACAAGCAGAAAGGCGCAACGGAAGACCCGTCGTAACTTACCTGTCTTTTCTTGATAGAGCTGTGTGAACTGTGCCTTGGCGTTGTCACGGCTATGGTATGGCTATGTGAAGAGAAGAGAAGAGTTGCAACACACACGTGCATGAGACTGACCGCATGGAACAACGCAATGACCAAGAAACGCACACCATCACCCCGGAAACAGGAGAATACACACCATGGCCTCCGGAAACAGGGGAAGAACGAGCACCCCTGAGCAGAGAGTGAAGCGATACTTGTACACTGTACCCTAGTGTTGAGCACTCTGCCAGTCAAGCCGGTTGTGGATAACGAACACGCAGATAACCCAGGTTGCACTGTATTATCACACGGCAGTGTAAAGTATCAGCAGGACTTACTCACCTCTGTTTTATTACCACCGATCGTTGTGCCCACTCTGCCCCAGGCACGGAACACGTGCCAGCGGGCACCCTTGTCCTGTTCCAGCACCTGCAGCTTGTAGTAGGAGTTAGTGCCGCGCTGAATGTCCACCATGCCTAGCGTGGCGCTGTAGATGTTACCACCGCTCTCCTCCAGCACATGACAAGTGCTCTCCATGCCTGTAGTGCAGTGTCACACACACACACACACACACACACACACACACACACACACACACACACACACACACACACACACAGTCACACACACACACACACACACACACACACGCATGCATGCATACATACACACACACATATACACACACACAGTCACACACACACAGTCACACACACACATACACACATACACACACATATGCGCATACGTGACAACAGGCACAGGCTCACAGCAATGCCAGGAGGCAAAATATTCCCGACTATAATTATAATACTCCGATTCTGACTAGCACAGCATGACAGCATCCAATCATTCAGTCAACAGTTGTACCCTGCTCGCTGTTCAGCGTAAGTACCAGTACTCGACAAAGGTCACCATCATACTTGTTCGTGCCCTCTTTTCTTTCAGTGTCACGGGAAAACTCCACTGTACCTAGCACTGTTGAGATGCTGAAGCAAATTAAAATAACAAGGCAACAACAAGTCCCACGGCATAGCACACACGTCTCACCTGACTCGGGGTCGACTGCCGCCCCGCCTTTCACTGAGATCTTCATTTTCTTCGCTGCACCACCATCCGTGGAATCTGCAGTGAAAAACAAACGGTAACAATCCTATTTTTCACGAAATCACAGACAGTAACAACAACAATTACAGACAGTACAAGGGTAATTTCGTCATTTTGTGAGAGCCTGGACAATTCCCTTGTCCAGGCAAGAAGGCAGCAATGCCTGCTCATTCTGGCAAAAGTAAAATAAAATATACCAACCAACCAATTACAGACAATCCCATACTAGCTCCCACTACATTATTCCACATCTCTGAAACTGAGGGAAATCAGGCAACACAATGAAGGGAGCTTGCGCTACGGGGATGGAGTGTAGGAAATTCTAGTACGCACTGCTGGAGCAAGAACAAAAGGTGATATCACCCTCAAGGTGACATATGGCAATGCTTTTATCACACAGTAACTTAAACCGCTACAATTTTAGCGCTAGGGCAGTGTAATGAACAGACAAGCATGCAAGAAGATAACTGGACAAGTAGACACAACGAGACAAACACACAGAGAGGGAGAGAGAGAGAGAGGGGGAGACAGAGACAGACAACTAGATGGACAAGCATTATTACCGGTTCCTGCTGAGCGTTTGGCGGATGACTTGACTGGAGCACCGCCGCTCTTCGTGTGATGTTTCTAAACAAATCAAACAGCACAGCACAACAGCACAATAGCACGGCATTGTGAGGTTGTAAATGTTTCGCTTCTGGAGACTACTTTCTTCAATATTCACTCCCCAATGAAACCCCAAGGGCTTGGAGATTATAACAATTAAAAATAGTAGGGAAAAACAGTGGCGGTGGTGAAGGTGATAACTTTCAGGAGACTACAATGCATTCTTCAAAGTACATGTACATGTACCTCAAATCATACAGGAAAGGAAAGTGGCGCCTACCTTCAATCCCCAAGTAGCCAACTTGTGATTGTTGATCTTCAGCTCCATCGCGCCAGCTGCGGCATCCTCCACGAACGAGTCGTCCACAACTGGCACGTCCGCTGCTTCCGCGGCTTTGATCTTGTCTGACATTTTGCTCACCTCACCTAAAGCAAAGCAACGACGACGAGCAGAAACAGTAGTGGAAGCGATGGTGACACACCAGCATGGCAGAACACAATACACCGGTCAAGCTAGTACAAGCATTCAAAACTAGTACCCCTGTCAAATAAAGTAAGGCATGTCATTACCGGATGTCCTCGGTAACGCGGAGCTTTCCTGATTCCTCTCAATACAGGAGGCATGTTCGATCCACAACACGCATAATTATCAAATTGATAAGTGTGTGTTTTCGTGTTTTTGTGTTTTTGCGTTGTGTGTGTGTGTGTGTGTGTGTGTGTGTGTGTGTGTGTGTGTGTGTGTGTGTGCCAGCTAGTTCAGTTGGTGGGTACAATTATGCCAGATAGTGTTGGGCCTGTTGCCAACGGGCTCGGCTGCTTGAAGGTGTATTGTTGTACCTGCCACCTTTGTTGGTTTCAGGGTTCATATACTTTCTATTTGAAGTATACATACCTGTTAACCATGGACTGCTTCTGGCTAGATTAACTCTTGTGTAATCAATGGTGCTAGTGAAGCTTATATCAGATCCACTCTGATTTAGCCACCCACACTAGTACCAAGTATTACCTTCACTGGGGGCAGGGGTACCCGCAGTTGGATCCCGGGACGGATACCCTGATGCCGTCAATCCTTTTTCTGCACCTTGTCCTCACCCACTTACTGAGGTGTGGTGAGCCCATAAGTGGGATCATTTCAAGTCCACCCTAGTTTGGGGATTTCAGGGGGTGTCGGCCGCTGGGTGGTTCAATGGCCAATTGAGTCATCTTTCCAAGATTCCTTTTGAGTCTCTCTCCCTTCTCCCGGGGAGACCCACGTGACCAGTTTTGGCAGCGAGCAAGTACAAGTACAAGTACAAGTGTGTGTGTGTGTGTGTGTGTGTGTGTGTGTGTGCGCGCGCACGCGTGCATGCCTGTCTGCATACATGTGGCTTTCAACAATGACAATGTTTTTTTTAAGCCCTAAATCCAATAGCGAAACGCAGAGTGAGGCACTGCACCTTACTTGCGATAGAAACAACACAGAAGAGCTCATCAGAAATCTTGGTTGCGACCTTTCCACCAAGCTCAGCAATGCGTTTCTCCATAGCCGCCTGAATAGAACATAGGGAGAGAGATAGATAGATAGATAGAGAGAGAGAGAGAGAGAGAGAGAGAGAGAGAGAGAGAGAGAGAAAGAGACTTGAACAACTCCTTTCTGGACGCCTCGTGCTTGGGCATGTCCCCGCTGAGTCCTCCAGTACGGATTGCTATAGCAAGAATGGTTTTAAATCTTCGCAGCTTTTCGTCGATCATGTAAGCGCACACATCCTTGTTGGCATGCTGTGAGAGATTGAACACTTCATTGCATGTGTAGCTGGCTTGTATCAAGTATGTAGAGATTGAACACTTCATTGCATGTGTAACTGGCTTGTATCAAGTATGTAGTGCACCGTTGGTGTGTACATTTGTGTATGTGTAGAGATGGAGATCGAGATGGCAACAGGTATCATGCAGAAATGCCACTATGCTAAGTCAGGGAGAAAAAACACTACTGAAGTCAACAAAACTGGTGACGTTCCGGACCCGTACCTTGCCTTTGACACGACCAACAAATGCGAATTTCAGATCCTTGAACGGCAGGTCTGCTGGGCGTGTTGAAAGCGAAGAAGCACTGCAAAACGACACGTGACAAAACGAAACAAAAAGCAAGTGAGGGAATGAACGGGAGAGGATCTACTACTATCTCCGGCAGCATTGCACATCGTGCTGCCATGCCCTGCAGTCAAGCAAGGTGCACTCCACAGCTTGTCAGCCAGTGAGGAAGCAGCGACGGCCGGGCTGGCACAGACACAAGCAACAGCGACCGCCGGGCTGGCACAGACACAGCACATTGCATCATCTACCTTGCAAGACTATCCGACGTGGCAATTGCTGTCAGTTTCGGGAAGATGCGCTTTTTCACCTTGAACTTGAACGTCTTCCTGCAGCACCAGCAGTGCGGACAAACAAGAAACAAAACCAGCTCTCAGGTTTAATCTTGCAGCAGGTGCATGGTTTTACCATGCACATGAGAAATACCTACTGCCATGGATGATTTGGCACGAGGTGATCGTCCTACATTCAACTCATGGTAAACAGACTAATGAGCTAGTTCTCATTAACAAAGGTATAATGTGTTAGGGTCATAGGCAGGCCGCGAGCGAGAACATGCAGTACGACTTCCAGAAATCATAATGCGGCATCATCTTAACGCCTGAAGTTTGAGCAAGACATACAGCATGTACATGCGAACACAACTGAAGACATAGCACTGCACAGCACATAACGTTATTACACGCAGTGAAAATCGTGTGGGGGAAAATGAGCCGAATACAGAGGATGAATGGCTTGACTTCAGCAACATGCCAGTGCAACCATAGTGCAGCAGACCTGCGCTCCGCGACCTATTACCGCCTTACAAGTACTCGATGTCCAGCATGGTTGCAGGGACAACTGGCTTGAAGCGTTTCGGGTCGAGCGTAGTCTCTTGGCACTTGGTCCATTCAGTGAGATTACCAGAGCATGCGTACAAATCACCTCTGCAGAAACAGATCAGTGAGGTTTACCCAAACAAGCATACGAATCACCTCTGCAGAAACAGACCAGTGAGGTTTACCCAAACATGCATACCGGTACAAATCACCTCTGAACAGTAGAATATGCACATGCACATCTTATAGCCCTAGTGCACTTTGATGGGCAGGATACGTTCAAAATAGCAAGGCTGGATATAGTCACAAGTTGGAGATAAGGAACATGTTTGCCAGCCTGCTGAGGTGACGGTAAGTCCAAATTAGACTGAGCACAGTTCATGTGGTGGAACGTACCGCAAGACAAATTGTCCCGTCTTGCATGTGCTGCAGCGTTCCACTGCGCCAAACGCAAACATGTCGCTAGTACGATCCAGCAACTAAGACACACACAGAAACACACACACACACACATACACGGACATACATACAGACACACACGCAACCACACAGAACAAGACGTGTAGGCAACAGACAGACATGTTTTCTCTTCACACACACACACACACCACTATGTTGACAGTGCAGCTCTGATACATGGGCCACGGGTCAGCTAAAACATGACTTTGGGGTTTCGTAAATATTTTCGAGACATGACAGAATGAAAAATTGTTGCGGTCGAGCACGTTCGTGCTGGACTTTCATTCATCTGTTGGTAGAGCATCTACTTAAGACTGCGCATTTAGCTCTATTTATCTCTATACTACAATTTTTGTCTCCTCATTGACTTTTTATGTAGTTTTCTCCTTGGTGTAATTACCGTATGTCAGCGCCGTTAAAGCCATGGCCTTATATTCAAAATACCGCTGCTTTCCTAGCTATTTTAGATGCAAAATGACTCACCCACTACGCCATGCCATAAAAGTCAAAGTCCACACAGAAATATCAACCTAAATCCACTTGTTCGCCCTTCCTGCCGGGCTGTAAGTTTACGGATTCCTTTATTTTGGCTTTAGGCCACCCTTTGTTAATTCATTGTTTAACGTCCTTTTTTTCGCGAAAAGGTACGCGGGAGGGCGGAAAAAAAACAAAAGCCCATTCCAAAAACTGGAAACCCCAATCAAACATTTTGACCAGTAAAGCATGTGATATATACAATATTTCTGGGTCTAACGGCACTTGCAGGCATAGAACAACACTCTTTGATGGTACATTGGAGCACATGCCTGATGAATCCAACAAAACAGGTACATAGCATGGAGTTAGCATGTCATGAATTCATTACATCTGGATTTTTACTAGGGCACACACCGTACGATATATAAAAGCCAACAAAAAAAGAAAAAGAACACAAGACAAAGGCATGCCCGGGAGGCAAGATTATAAGTTTAAGGTCATGATCGGCACACTGTGAAACTACACAATCATGTATTTACAACTTCGCATATTATTGGTACTACTACTTTCTTGGTTTTTTTCCGGTCGGAGGCAAAAAGGTACGCGGGCGCGGACGTTAAACAACGAAAAAAGAAAGGGTGGCCTTATAATCGAATAATATGTTTATAATGTACCTCCATGGCTTTAAAGGGTATTACTTGTTAGGGATTTTGAGTCCAAAAAGTACTGAAAACCTTCGTTTTGTGAAGTTTGAATCAGTTTCCACTGTGAGTATGCAGTTGCCAGGGGCATGGTGCATATTCTGAGGTTAAATTGACTTCATAACTACCATGTTTCTGAGCTACCCTTTCACTAATGCAAATTTTTGGTACTATGAAGGCCTAGCTTTATCGATAGGTGAAAATCCACGATCGTTTCAGCCCTATTTAACCCTTACCCGTTTGTACGCACAAATTTCGACCGCTCGCGGTCGATGACTTCTATGTGCACAGCGCTGGACTCGTTCACCGCAGAGAGCTGGGATTTTCCCTACTGGTAGCCAAGATGTTTGCGCAGAGGGTGCCAACAATTTTTTGTGTGATGCAATCTAAAAAATCGCGGAAATTGCGACTTGAAAAATGCGCTTTGGGAAAAGTGCGTACCCTGCGACTTTTGGTATTGCCTGCAGATGTTTTCGACGTTTGCTTGAGCTGGCCTCACGACTGTCTGCCCTGCTGTGCAAGCCATGGACGCGGAGCACGCTCTTTCGCTTCTGGAGACCCTTCCTGACGACCCTGCCGCCGCCTCATCCAGCGAAGATGAGTTTGTGGAGCCAGACGATCCTGTTGAAAATATTTATTCTGACGACGACAGCGACGATGACATGTACTTCTTGTTGGTGTTTTTGCTGTTTGGTGCTGTGTGGATTTCCGTGTTTCAATTTCAGCTGTCCATTGGAATTTTCGCCTGCTTCTGAAATTCTCGTACTTGAACTCGTGTTGTTCAAGCCGTAGTAGACTCGATCTTGTTTGCTTGCCGAGCGTGACACGATGCCGAAAATATAGTTCACAGAAGAAATGGAGGCAAAGCTCATGGAGCTGTGTGCAATATATCAAAAAACGAAGAGCGGCAGTATGATGAAGCGATCCCAAAAAGAAAAGGAAATTGCGGAGGAGCTCAACAAGTATGGAAAGTCAATCGGTCTTGATGTGGACTTCAACGGGAAGATAATCCACTACAAGATCGATAATCTGATGTCGAAGGCCAAAGCCGTGTGTTGGCTGGTCGAGCACGAGATTGTGTGCGGGGGTTGTTCGGGGGAGAGAGAGTGTTGAATTGTTCGTAGTGTGACTATTACAGCTCGTGGTGCCGAAACCCGTCCGACGAACACGGGTGTGTTTTGCAGTGACTGTCCTAGAGTTGTTCTACAGTCAACTCTATCCAACAGCATTTGAATTCGACGAGAAGAAAGGCGACCAAAGCTGCAAGGAAGCTGCTTGACAACTTTCCAGAGCTCAAGGACCAATTATTCCTCCAGAGGACTGTCCAAGCAGTGGAGAAGCACGACATTCCAGCAGACTTGATCATCAACTTTGACGAGACTGGACTGCTCATGGTTCCTTCCTCTGACCGGGAAGAGATCCAAGGAGGTGCCAATGCTGGGAGCAGATGACAAGCGGCAGATTATTGCTGTTGTCGGATGTACAATTAGTGGGAAGCTTCTCTCACCTCAACTGCTCTACCAAGGCACTACACCTCGCGGTCACCCACCAGCATCTGTAGCATTCCCTGATGGCTGGGATATCTGGCACAGCTAGTCCCACTGGAGCACTGCTACCACTATCAAGCGGTACATACAAACATCCTCAAGCCCTGGGCTGATGAAGTGAAGGTCAGGCTTGGTCTGGAGAAGTCCCAGCGTGGCCTCATCGTCCTGGATATTTACGCAGCACATCGCACTCCTGAAGTTCTAGCGACGTTTTCAACCCGCAGCGTTTTCAATGCTAGTAAGCCCACGTGCAGGTTGTGTTCTACGACAGTATTCCGGTCTACTACTGTTCTATCAATCTCTTTCATATGATAAACCATTACTATGTGTAGCAGTTCTACCACTAGCATCTTCTCCGGCTGTTACTGTTATTAATGGACTTGGATGGAGAGCCAAGGATTATTTTATAGAAAATAAAAAGACCAAGGAACTAAAAGTTATATGCTGATTGTTTAGTAACTGGTGGTGTTCGTGGACATTATAGCATAACTTGTAGTTCCTCGGTCCTTTTTATTTTCTATAAGTATAAGTAGCCGGTACTGTTATTGGTAACACTTCCGTCAACTTGATTCATTACATGCACAATACGTTGAATGATGCTATTACTAGCACCAAGAGTAAATAAACACCAAAGAGTGTGCAACTCTGGGCTCTCGAACACACTGGTGAGAAGTGTGCACTATGCTGACAGATTCAGTGTACGCGTATATCAAGTTGTGCACTGACCTTCTGAGTTTGCCATCATAGATAGTAGCAAGAGTCCATATTAAACCAAGAGTATGCAACTATGATTACAGGTCGATGCATGACATGCTTCCTTCACTATGTACTATGCCTGCATTACTCCCTATTCTGGTGTACTCAAATCCACCATCTTTCGTACCAGCCAAACTGTTTTCGCTTGATTCATTCGAGTACAGGCACGATCTCTAATAACTGGGTGCATAAACTTCAGCTCCGCACGGAATTGGGTGTGTGACTTGCCAAGTGCGTGGATGCAGCTGCATGAAGTAAAGACATCAGAAAGACATCAGCATGCCGCACATCTGGCCCATAGAAAAGAGACCACAGTTACATACTCCTGGTTATAGACTCTAGATATTATAATATTAGTCAGCCCTCCTTCTATGCGCATGTACTACTGGTAGAACACATTTCAGACAAGACATGCAGCATACCCGACTTTCGCCCCCGCTGGGAACATCCTGACTGTTCTCCTCCAGTAACTCCTTCAAGCCATTGTTGGAAACAAACTGGCGGAGCTTGTCGCGAATCTTCCAGACAGATTCGCTTTGGTCCTGCATAAGCACACAAGGTGAAAACAAACAAGCTGCAAGTCATACAAGCACACCAGTATGCACATGACAGTTGTTTAGGAGCACGGTGCTATCAACTACTACCAACCTTGAGTGTCTTCTCTTCTTTCTCTTCCTCGGGCGACTTCACCTTCTTCAGCGGTGCACCGCCATCAATTTCATCTTCGGCCTTGCGCTTTTTCCTACAGAAGAGCATGCACGTACACAAGATCACGAATGCATACGTAGAGGCACGAGGACACGGGCAACACAGAACGTCATGGATTGGCAATGACACTGCTGGTGCACTGTCCACTCTGATTACACGCAGTTCAAACCCACACTCCGAACAAGCAAAGGAATCCTTACGGTTTGACTTCTGTCTTGACTGGGCCGCCCAGACTCTTAGTGAGCATCTCCTGATCGGCTTTCTTCATCTGCTTGAATCCGGTAAGCATGTCGGCAGAGACGTCCTCGCTGACGTCAATCTCCGCGCGCCTCTTCACGAAACATTCCACGTGGTGCCAGCGCGGAATCAAATTCCCGTGACCGTACATTGCGTCTGGATCTGGATCATCCATCTTGGCAATTCTCACCTCGTTCTGTGCAGAACAAAACAGAACACAGACACACACGCACACACACACACACACATTAGAGAGGTTCTGCAAAACGAAAATGCGTACAAACTTTCGCTCTACGTCATGAAGTGCGAAACTTGGCACGAACTTTCGCAACTTTGAACGCGGAACTTGCAGGGAACGCGAAATGAACTTTCGTGGGAAGTTTCGCGAGATGGGGTCATGCATGGCGTACATGCACTGCACTTGGCGTGTGCAAACTACGAAAATGTGCAGAACGCAAGGTTCGTGCGAAAATTCGTGCACACTTTTGCAAGGACCGTCGCGAAACTTCGTTCGAATTTTCGTTCTGCAGAACCTCTCTATTGACGGCAATAATCGATGACGATAGGCATGGCAGTCGGTTCAATCAGTGCAGATCCCGTGTTCCGGATCACTGCTCACAAGTTGGGATCTGAACACGTGTGCTGTGTGTTTCGCTTGTGCAGGCCAGATACAAGGTGGCTGTCACGACTAACAAGAGCAGCCATGCGTACAGAAAGGAGTGTGCTGTACACGGACATGCGTTTGTTCGGAACCATACCCAACAGGGGCCAAGTACAATTATCCGCTCACCAAAAGCAAACCCCAGCGAGAAAAGTTCAAATGGAGTTCTGAAAAAAGGCTTACACGTCCACAGTGTTAATGCTCGGTGAAATGAGCTTATAGTCCCCACTTCAGGTGAATTGGCAGGCCGGCAGAGAAGACCCAAAATAGAAAATATTTCCGAATCTGAACCCCTGGCTGTCATTCCTTCGTTTGCTGTGGTGAAATGTAAAATTCCTTTGTTTGAATTAGTGTTAATTATAATTATAACAGTTCGTGCAGGCAAAGCAAATGTTTAATCGCCAGTCCTTGGCTCAACCTTTAAGATGGCATGCGCACCCAGTACTACTGACCTTGGCAATATTCGCTCCGCATCCCCCGTTGCACATGGCACGATTAGACTTGGCATACTCCACCTGCAGGTCGGCACGCGTCCTCAAGCGGTCGGCCACCTTGCCAGTCGGCGCCGCAACCGACCCGCCGACGGCGCCTCCGCCGCCAGCAATGCGCTGCTTCATCATCTGCTGGTCATCCCAGCGCAGGCCATCAAAGCCACCGATATCTCCCTGCGATGAAATGGCATTCTTCTTGAAAAAGCAGGCTATGTGAAACCATGTTGGCATCTACATTACACACGGGCACACAACAGAGAACACAAAACCCATTGCCCGTGGACATACAGCAGAGAACACAAAACCCATTGCATGTGGACACACAGCAGCGAACACAAAACCCATTGCACGTCGACATACAGCAGAGAACACAAAACCCATTGCACGTGGACATACGACAGCGAACACAAAACCCATTGCACGTGAACATACAGCAGCGAACACAAAACCCATTGCACGTGAACACACAGCAGCGAACACAAACCCCATTGCACGTGGACATACAGCAGCGAACACAAAACCGAGCACAAGCAAAAAACATACAGTGCACATCACCTAGTATGTAATCTGATCCGACATAACCTTGTTTAGTGCAAACATTGTACGGGGCACAGATGTATTGCTCCATAATGAAGTACGTTCCGAAAAGAAGTTTCACTTTACTGTTCACCATAGGGGTACGTCTCATCAAAGTCTACCAAGCATTCATTTCACCAGTCCTACGTCAATTTGCAAATGCCAAGCAAGAAATCTTTTTACTCTCTGCTTCGTGCTTCTTTACCCATCAACAACTGAATAATTCACGCACGAACATGCGATATAAGTATTTTCACGACAGGGCGAAATGTTTGTGCAAGAAGTCACTCGTCAGTAAAGGTGGGAAGCATGGCTCAAGCAGGGTGGTAAATTGACAAAAAAAACACACACACAGTGAAGCTGGGATAGACGACACTCCAGCACGCAAGCAAAAGATGTTTCCAATTTGTCGCTGTATCTGGTCCTAGCATATTGGAACACTGTGGTGTGTGCAACATTTTATTCTATTGATGATTTATCGCCACGGTCAACGTTGCGAATAACGATCCTGAATCAGACACGAGATACAGGGGTTGTTATTCACGCATTGCTATTCGCGAGGTTGAATGTAATGAATGCAGTCAGTTGGTTAATACTAGGTCTGAAGATGGTGTTATTATTCATGAGTCATAACTTTAGGCCACACTTTGTTTTTTCTATGTTTCTCGTCGGCAAATTTTAACAAAAGGTATGCGGGCGGGCGGAAAAAAAACAAAAGCCAAGGAAAAAACAAGACCAATTTCTACTGAAAACTGTATACATTTTACATGTATATGCGTGATTCATACAAGACACTGCGTATGCCATGTATAGAGTACTACATTGTACAATCATGTACATGTAGTCCAATACATGATTGCACTACATTATCACATCAGCCCACGAATATCAGGCAAACTGCAACAATGAGAGTATAAAGTTTGATGAATACGAGATGGGGAAGAGAACATGCATTTATCTGCTATTTCATCAACAAACGTTTTCCCACTGGTCATTTTTGGTTTTGTTACTTCAACGTTCTTGTGTCCGCTTATCAAACTCTTGTCTCCACGCTGCTCATCTTTTCCTTGCCATGCGTCTATTCCTTGGATTTTCTGCCCACGACATCGTTCCACAGGCGCCAATTGCCACGGAACTCGTCCGACTTACGGTATTCCTGGGACCCACGAGGCTCAGCTCAGGCAGTGAACGACTGAAAGCTTCGTCATGGCAGCCTTATCGCAGAGAACGTATAGGACAGGGAACGCTCCTTTGCTGCTGCGGTGCAAACGTTTACGATTTTGATTGACGCATCTAGCTGCTGCAGCATGTGCAGTGTACACACATGTACGTAGCACACTGTATGAACTTTTTTTTTCTTCCGAAATTTCTGAAAACCTACGCGGGCGATGACGAGAAACATAGAAAAAACAAAGTTTGGCCTTACAATGCTGACTGCAAATGTACTGCCAATATCAATACAGCAACGATTCTCTGTATTTACTTGGAAGTAGATAAGCTACAGCCCACAAGTTGCTTTTCACCGTAGTGCCTAACTGACAGCACATCCACCGAACAGCAAAATCATGTTAGGAAAGAAAAACTCTGAGCACCACTGCTGTCTGTGTTGACTGTTCACCGCACGCTCGACAGTGAAAATCATCCCTCAGGTAACCCCTGATTACCGAGTGGGAACTTTGTGCTGAGCTGGCATTTGGTGAGAAGATCGCACCTTGTATTAAGTTCACTTCACTACTAACGGTATAAACTTTGAAAACTGTGCACACTTTCCCGGATATTCTACTATGTTCTGCAGCGCATACATGCACATCAAGCCCGGCACACCATTTTCCGTTTCAATGGAAGTTGTCCAGGTGACGAGACTGATGACCCCCCCCCCCCCCCCAACACACACACACACACCCATCCCCATGCACACATACCTCCAAACCCCTCCCAAACAATGAATGCTAGTATTACTTTGTGTGTGAATTACTTGTGTACTTTGAATTTGAAATTAGAGGATATCCTCTAATTTCAAATTCAAAGCACATGGAGTGAAGCCAACAAAGAAAACTTGACAGTAATCTGCCCTCATGCTAGGCAATAACTCCATCAAAGAAAACCTCAAAATAGAAAGCAGTTGGTGACCTGATGTGCACAATGCATATGTGGCCACTCTTCGCAAATATACTTATGTACACAAAACGTGAAATAGAATATTTCAAAACAGAGAAAAGGTTACTTACCTTGCCATCAAAGTGGGGCGACTGTAGAGACAGCAGAGACACAAACAAACACACACATTTGCACGATTATCCTCTCCAGCACTCTTACAACTGCTTCTTTCCATTGTCAAAGGCTCAGAATTCCAATGTAAGAAGGACTTTAGTAATATTACAGATCAGTCTTGACTGAATTATCGGAAATTCCTACCTGCACCATTTTGGCAAGACGCAGGGAGTCCTTTGAAATTGCGGACTTGCATGCTTTACAGGACGAGCGTCCCGACTTGGCATACTCTGCCTTGAACGGCAAGTCATCAGACATGGTGGCCAGCAGTTAGGAGGCTTCCTGAAACGTCCAAATACTGAAATAGTGCTTGTCTGCTGGTTACAACGAAGTCAGAATCAACTCAACAACGCCCCGATCAACACGATCGAAGTCGCCCAGTGCAGTTCAGTTTTGTATTTTCACGTGTTGAGGCAAGTCGTCACATGTGGCATGCTAAATTTCCCGCCGTTTCGTCAATGCGTTCACGTGTTGTCAGGACGACGCATGATTGTTTTTCTTTGAGCTTTCGCTGTACACAGTCATCATGCATTCATGGTCATGGTGACTCATACTCATAGTCGACTACAGACTCAGTCCGCCGTCGGACCAGGGATCGGGATCGGGAATCGTCAAAAAGACACAACACGAGCTGCGAGGCCGACGGTCTATCACCATGATCACTGACTTCAAACGTCTTTACTTGACTTGACTTGGGTGCACAGCACCAAGGACTTTTTTATTAATTTTTTACTAAGAACACAGCCCTACCAAGAGACATGTGGAGACAACACAAAACAAGACCAGGTGCGTAGCACTGCCATTGGAGGTGGTCCGGCCGGAGGGGCTTCGGGGGGTCTCTCCGGGAAATTTTTTGAAATTAGGGTCACAAAATCCTGCATTCTGGGCACTTTTGGCCGTGGTCGGGAGAAAAAGTGGTCCGGCCAAAGCCTGACCGGCCGGACCGGCTGCTACGCCCCTGAAGGCACAGGGGATGTAGGGACCGTCGACGTGCGGATGTACAGGGAGCAACTCAACCGTTGCAACCTGGCATCGAAAAAGTGGGGGGGGGGGGTCCGGGTGGTCATTCCTCACATGCTCATGCTCATGCTCACATCGCTCATGATAGAACTGAATACACAATCTCATCTGCATCTCACCAGCGCAGCTCATGTAGCGCCTACACACCCATTGTTGTCTTTTTTGTTTCGTCTTCGTTTTGTCTCCCCTTCTTCCGAAGTTCCGTAGGTATGTGCAATGTGATAAGGCCATCATTTTTTATAGCTATGTTTCGCGTCGTCCGCACGCATACGTTTTGATTTTTTTCGGAAAAAAATAAAAAATCGAACATGCACAGTGAGTGTACGATCGTGCGAGTCATCAGTGTGGACAGGTTGCATACGGCGAAGCTGGGATTCAGAAATGGCCTCTAGCCTAGGCCAGCGTTGGTAAATCGTTTGTTCGGCATCCGGGAGCAATATTCTATGAGCTACACCAGACCGCATTGATCGCCTAAGCTGAGAGGATGCGTCGTTCCGGAGCTCTTTGCACCGCTGCTGAAGTCTGAGTACAATATTCCAGCGAAGCATAGGCACCATGACCAACGGTTGCCTCCTCTGCCCAAAGTGAATATTGATAACCCAGATGTTGTGCTTCGATGTACGATTTTTCTTTCGAATGTACACCATGCACGAGCTATTGTACTATGCACAGTGCATACACCTCTGATGAGCCTTTTTTATTATTTTGCAACTTTTTATTTTTTTCCACCTCTCGCATATGAATCTGGAAGTTGAACTGACGCGAAACATAGATATAAAAAATGATGGCCTAAAAAAAAAAAAAAAAAAATGTAGGTCGGTCTCTCATCCAGATCTTGTTTTTTTCTCTTCTGCCAGTGAGTCTGGTACATGTATCAATAGGTTCCGAACATTCAGGCTTGATTCAGGCCCATACTAATATTTTAGGACTAGGAGACTGGATCATGGAGTCGATCTACGACTCAGACTAGAGTGGCTCTCCTGTCCTGATGTAGTGGCTGTGGCATGTAGATCTACAACACACAAGACACTGACAATCATGACCAGGATGACTGTAGGTATTGTCCAGGAGTCGTGAAACTGAAAGCCGACTTTTACGACTCCCTAGTCATTTACCGTGAATCATCAGTAATCATTGATAGGACGAAACAGTTCTGTCCGTAGCTGAGTAATCATTGATAATATAAGTGTTAGTTATAACACGGTACATGTACTTCCTCCGGAAGCAAAACTTTCGTGACTTTTCACATGATTTTTCAAGGAGTTACTGTGTGTGTGTTCGGGAACGGACACGATAATTTGCTTTTTTTTTACTGTGCTCAACAAAAGTGTTCTGTTGCCTGGGAGAGAAACACTTCAACACCCGCAATGGACATGTGCACAATATCTGCAAGATAGATTGATGGGAATGGAGTCTCAGTCTGAGTCGCCATAGTTCGATTCACCACCGCTGGAACCAACCAAAAAGTGGCAGGTCAATCGTTGCGTTCTCTAGGACCAGACAGATCCTGCCGGCAATTCTTTCGGCAAAATATCGAAGAATTGAAAGAGCGAAAATTGCCGGCAAAATAGGAGCAAAATATCGAAATGTTGGGTAAAATCGATGCCTGATACTTGGATTTCCTTGTTTCTTACCCGTTCAGCAGGATACACTGCCCAGGACGAGATCATTTCACCGAAACATCACTGGGATTCACTGTGGATCGACACCAGTGATTTTGGAAGAACTCACGGACACGTGCGTGGAAACCCGTGTTGAGAAACTGACCCTGCGAATTTTATGAAACGCAGATTGTACGGGACGTGGATAAAATATAGTGAAACCTGTCTAACACGACCGCTCAAGGGACCTTCAAAATGTGGCCTCTGTTACCAGATGGTCTCCTTATCCAGGGTCAATTGACTGGAAATATCATCCCTTGATCCTGGTTTCAGTGGTCGCCTTGACAGGTTTTACTGTACACGTTTTCCAGGAGCAAAATGGAGCAAAATATCGAGTTTCTTGTGCCAGGCTCGGCAAAATATTGAAGATTTCGCAGCAACATTTTGCGGCAAAATATCGAGGCGAGCGGAGCAACTGATGCAGAATCTGTCTTATCTGGGCCTAGCGTTCTCGCACGTCGCTGAGCAGCTTCTCCGCGTCCCTGATCGCCTGCGCTGGTACTACAGTGCTGGCAACTGAAATTTCAGTTGCCAGCACTGTACATGTAGTAGTACATGATTTACACCAGTGCCTTCCCTAGTAGCATCTAGGTGGAGATCGTAATGGCGCTAGTACTAAGGGCGCGTTCGAATGGTCTTCATCAACTGTTCAAACAAATTTTATAAAGAGATTAGTTGAAGTGTCCCATTTTTTGGCATTAGAACGGTTTCTATCATTTTTAGAGTTTTCAGTGGAATTGTCATGGCGATGATGACGTCCGATCGGATCGACCATCTCCACCCACTACGTGACGTAGCTATTCCAAACTCTTCGAAACTAAGGGCGCGTTCGAATTGTCACTCTTTGACTTTTCAAGGAGTTTCGTTTTCTGAAGAGGTGGCCTTATTGGCCTCTTCAGAAAAACGAAGCTCCTCGAAACTCATCCGATGGGAAGGTGGATTAGTTTCGAAGAGTTTGGAATAGCTACGTCACGTAGTACGTGGAGATGGTCGATCTGATCGGACGTCATCATCGCCATGACAATTCCACTGAAAAACTCTAAAAAGTAAAATGATACTTGAAACCGTTCTAATGCATGGGACACTTCAGCTAACTACAGTCAACTTCGCTAATAACGACTGCTGATATAACGACAATTCGCGAATAACGACATAATTTTCATGCCCGGAGCAAAGTCCCATCCAACTGTGACATGTAGTGAGACTTCGGATATAACGACACTTCGCGAATAAGGACACTTTTCTGATGCCCCGCCGAGTGTCGTTATAAGCGAAGTTGACTGTAATTACTTCTCTCTATAAAATTTGTTTGAACAGTTGATGAACGAACGCGCCCTAATCCACCTCTCCCATCGATCATCGGGTGAGGTTGTGGAGTTTCGAGCTAGGAGTTTCGAGGAGCTTCATTTTTCTGAAGAGGCCAATAAGGCCACCTCTTCAGAAAAACGAAGCTCCTCGAAAAGTCAAGAGTGACAATTCGAACGCGCCCTAATTATCGCCTTGGCTCTCGAGGATGCCCCGGAACGAAGCGGAGAAAATAGCGTGAACGGTAAAATGCTAACCATGTCTATATTTCGCATTGTAATCGTCCCATCACATCACAACTGCTGCGAGGAGATCTCGCCTGTTCTCCTATGTAACCAAGGAGGCATCGGCGAGGAGGCTGCTGAAAGAGGCGAGATCTTCCATGTTGGGCTCCACTGTGCCTGAACAACGACTTCGAACTGTTTTGCTTTGCTGTCCTGCGCGAAGTGAAGAGTGTCACATCTATTCTTTGCGTTTCGGAGTTTTGACATCTTACCGACCTCTTCACACGCTGGTGTTTTTGAGGATGACGCAGATCCCAAAACGCTAGCTGCTATCCCTTTCACACTCTTCTTGCTCCTCGGTGCTCTTTCTCATTCTGAACCAAAAACTGGCAACGACAAGCAGTGAGCGTAGTGCTTTTGTTGGTGGGGTGGGAGTGATGTGCCTGGTGGACTGCAAAACATCGTCGCGTCGCTTGGTTTACTGCACCCTTTGGCCTTGGCCTTACCTAAGTCCTTGCGATGACCATGCTGACTGCCGGCTTCCCAGAATGTGAACCATGCCTTCCTAGGCTACGGTTCCGAAATGGTACTGTCGGTGGTTCAGCCCGACAGAGTCACACAGAGCTAGATAAGAGTCAAGACTAAAACAAGAGCGACAGGACAGCAGCGAAAATATTATTAGTGAAAAGAGTCACGACGTTTTGTTTCCGGTGGAAGTAGATAGAAGCAGTGTGGTCCGGTCACTGTACTAGTGCACTGCACGATCATAGAATGATCATGTCAGTGCATGTATCATCATCGCAGCTCGAAGTCAAACATCTGACATGACAAGTCCCAGCTCCGAAAGTAGTTTCAAATCTATATTCACCCGATACATACAGACCCCCGATTTGGCCATCACCGCAAAGACTAAGTAACGACCTACTTTTCTTTGGTTTCGAAATTTGCTGTGCATTTGGAGACCCATTGCCCGATCGTCAGCAGTTCAGCAGTGTTTTCGTTTGGAATGCGCTGGAACGTGTGCGACGAGCAGGCAAGGACAATACAGGGACGTTGTACGAAGGCTTCATCAGTAGTTTGCTCCGCCGTTTGAGAAGACACCCAACTAAAACTTCCTTTCGTGAACTGCGCGACCCATTCACGCTGGATCCACAATGGACGCATCGGTGTCCGCCCTCCTGATCAGTGTGCTGTTGACCATAACGACTATGCCATGTTCTGCTGCCGATGTTCAAGCATACTTCACCAACGGTGGAGTTAGCGGTAGAATCATTTTCAGCGGTTCATTCTCCTCTAGCGGTGGAGTCACCATCAACACCACGCAGCTGAATGGATACCAGCAGAGCGGTGGTTCGGGCATCCTCTGGCACGTCCACCAGTTCGCCTTTCCCACTGGCGCGCCAGATCTGTGCGGTGCTGCGGCCACCGGCGGGCCTTGGGACCCGGGCAGCAGAATGGCCAATCCGAACTACGCCAGCCAGTGCGTGAAGAGTGCGTGGAGCGTTTGTTCTCTGGGCGATCTGAGCGGGAAAATCGGCCCGCTGTCGTCGGGTCAGTTTGCGGACGGGTCCACGCTGGGACTGCTTGACTTGCTGGGCAGAGCCGTGGTGCTGCACCGTTCCGACGGCACGCGCTTTGCCTGCGCTAACATCCAGTACACCGAGTCACGGCAGGCACCGGTCACCTGCTCGTCGGCGTCCGAACCACAGGTGTACTGGGCCCAGTTTGTGTGGCCGATAGCCGGTACTATGCTGGTGCGCAGTTACAGCACACAGGCTGGGGGTGGCGGAGCACAGACGCCTGTAGCCACCACCGTCGATGCACAACTGTACGACGTCACCGGCATGCCAAGTCAGTTCCAGGGCAATCTATCCTGGACTGGTCACGAAGGCGAGGTCGGAGTGACCGACACGACAAACGAGGCGGTCGCGCGCTGCTTCAGAGCGGGCAATATGCTCGCGGGCGGCAACTTCTCCGGCCGCTTCCGGCTGCCCGTGACCGTGGGTGCAACGCCTCAGCAGAGCCGCCAGGTTCTGTCCTACAGCGACGCCACGGCTGTGCAATTCAGCTCGGTGCGCTCAATCGTGCTGTGGGTCGGCCCCCTGCCCGTTGCGTGCGCTGCCGTCAAGCCAGTATCCAGGCTGTCGGCCATCGCCGCCCTGCCGATGGGCAACAGCGTGGTGTACGCACAGAGTAGCCCACTGGATCAGCCCGCGCGTGCTCTCCAGGTGGCCGGCACCAGTACACCGGGTTACGTCGCTGTTCGCAATGCACCGGTGAATGTGAGTGCGTAGTAACTTGCGAGTACCGTACTTTCCAGAGCATAAGCCGCTCTGGAGTGTAGGCTGCACCCAGATTATCTGCCACGAAATACAGACATTCTCCCCATTGACCACCGTTACTTTGACCATAGTAGCAGCACGGTACTGTATACAGTAAGCCTCACTGACGTTTTTGTGGGTGAATTACTGGTGTTTATAGTGCGGATTTTACTCTGGAGAATACGGTACATGTACCGTGGATCATCCTGAAGGTCTCCACTTCTGTGAACACACTACAGCGCTGTACTGTGGCATATGTCTAGACTGCAACCCCACAGTGCCATACCTCAGTTCCCCGCTGGTGATCAATGAAATGAAACACTGAGTGTGCTGTCCGCTAATGCAATTGTATTAGTTGCAGAGCCAGTGGCCAGTGAGGTGCAGACTGATTGGCCTGCATGCCCGGCATGTGGGTCACTGCACCCTGCACACATGACCCCATTGCTGTTACGTGTGCCATCACGGGTTGTACAGAAATCACAATCATTGCACTCGAGCAAGATATTATGACGGCAACATTGGCGAATGGCTTCTTGAGCGCTATCAATGCCATGTCCCCGTACCAGTTGCTTCACTCACTGCTCTCGGTTTTGTGTTTTCCTGCAGCCCTACACGTCCACGACTCAATCCGCTTCCAACTCAGCATGCTCGTCCACAGGCAACCTGTACAACCCATCAGGTGCGACTGCTGTAAGTCATGGTGCAACGCAGTCTGCATAAGGCTGCTATCTTCATCCGAGCGCACTGGCAACATTGGCTTGGTGCAGTTCGATGGCAGTCTGCTGCTCTACTTTGCAGCCATTGGGCAGTTGATATGCCATTGGCTGAATACTAAATAGCTAACATTAGACTGTGAATGCATGCACTCACTGGATACATGCACCACGGGTCACTGTTATACACGTACATGCACCGCGGGGTCACCGTGCTCAGCAGATGCTGATTGTCGGGGAAATGGGGGGGGGGGGGGGGGTAGGCCTCCGCGGAATATGCTCGTATTTTTACCGATAATTCCTTTGAGCATTGCTCAAATTTTCGACCGATTATTCCCGTAATTCCACCAATAATTCTCACAATAATGCTTTTTTCTTCCTTTTTTTCCAGATACCGTACTGTGTACGGTTTTTTTTGCCACTTGTACGGGCAAAAAATCACGGTTCGCATGAAACTCGGCTGGAAGCTTTTTTTTTCTTTCTTTTTGAAATACCGCGGGCGATCAACTTCAGGATCACAAGCTTTTTGGTACAAATCAGGGTGTCACACGTTTATATGGAATAAAATTGAAAAAAGGTGGGCATTGCTCAACTTTTACCGATTATTCCTCAAAAATTGCCAATAATTCCCATTTTAAAATCACACCGATAATTCCCGAAATTATACCGACACATTCCGCGGAGGCCTGGGGGGGGGGGGGGGACAGAGCAACAAATTAGTCTTACTGATGTGCCTATTGCAAGTGGCATACACCATTGCTTGATCATAGTAGTTGTGTATTGAGAAACATGCATGTGCATTGGCCACAGCACTCCACCTCACTGCACACACCTAGTACTACTGTCTAGTTTAGACGTGTAGGCGTGCGTTCATTCTGCAGCGAGACTGGCTTGTTTGACCGTAACGTAACGCCAATTCCTCTCATGTTCAATGTGCTGCGTGTCTCTACTCTCCTCTGCTAGCCACAGAACACGGCTGTAGGCAATGGACTTGTTTCAACTGTGTCATGTGACAGTTCGCGGACACTGTTTGGAAACAACAGCATCCTGGGACGGTACGTGCAGCAGTATAGCACAGCAGTGCGCCGCGTGTCTTGAGCAATCAATGGCGTTGTTCAAGTTCAGCAATTAGTTCTTGGGACAGTCGTAATGCTTCCCTCAACGTAGATACCTCCCCAGTAGAGAGGTTGTGCAGTGGCATTATCAGTTGAGATGCTTTATCGTTAGACATGCATGTAATTGGACACCTGAGTACATTGTAGCTGGCATTGACTTTGGCATACTTACGTCGCTGGCTTTTTCGGTATTCCCTTTCACAGGTCTGTCACTATTGAAACGAATGCTTCACCGTCCTCTGCTCAGCAGTGCGGCACGTTGTTCCTGGCCAGCCAACCGAGCGGCGCTCGTATGTTGCAGGCTCGCGTGTCTTTCCCATCGTATGCTCCTGTCACCGGCGACATCTACCTGACCCAGTGGGCATACAGTGGCCAAACCAATCTAACAGCCACTGACTACAGACTAAATGGCTACTCGGACACACAACTGCTGATCAATGTAAAACGCGCATCCTCGGTGAGTCAATGTACTGCGTCAGCATCGATCAATCAAAACAGTATTGACGATACCTGCAGTGCTAATGGACTTTCGAGCTACTTCTCAGATGTTTTGACTCGATAGCCACATTTCCTTAATTTGCACTACCAGAACACCAGAACTACACTCTCTGGCCGACCTCAACGCATTGCTACAGCAGGTTATTAGCAAAGCGACACTTCCATTGATACTCAGCTCTTTCATACAGCATGTTTTGATCATCAAGACCTCGCCAGTGAAGGTGGATATTGTTGAATGGCTAATAGATCGTGAACATCACCGTTTTATGCCAAAAAGGGAAGCACACGTGCGTGTCTGCCCGGGCACAATGATTAGGGCTGGGGGGGGGGCTGATCTATTTCTAAGCTGTTCAGCCCCAAGTGGATGTCTTGATGTCTTTCTTGTCCAGCATGTGCATTCTGTGGCAGAAGCTGGCTATGTGAGAGATGATGTGAATTTGTATCATGATCCCTAGAATTTGTAGGAGTTGATGCACAGGGGCCGGTGCTCCTTGTCATTGTTTAAAACAGAGGGGGAGACTGGCTCCTGAACCCAATGTGTATCGATTGTACTGTTTGTACATGTGTAGATAGACACATTTTAAGACTGCCATGCTCTCTTCTGTTGTTTCTTCACTACAGACAAGCAATCACAACTTTCACGTGCACGTGAACCGAATTCCGCCGTACCCTTACAACAAATCTCCGTGTCAAGAATTGTACGCGGGCGGTCACTATAATCCTCTGGAGGTAAACATCAGCACAGTGTCTGGCTACTTATCCGCATGCAGCCCCGGGGCAGAGCTGCGCTGTGAGGTCGGCGACCTATCCGGCAAAACGGGCCAGCTGAACGTCGATGGGTCACCACGGTTCTCGACCGTCGCCTTCCTGCCGCTCGAAGGCCCTTACTCAAGTTAGTAGGTCGCACATTTCTGTCTGTCTTTCCGCTCATTGTTGTTCTGGAACGCGCAGGGACTCAACATGTCCAGATAGAGTATCCGATACACAGTCAAAGTAGGCCTGGAGCCAGCTCCTTTAAGGGGTGGTACAGCTAGCCCCAGGGCAGCTACAGGATTGAGCATGGCCACGTACCCGAATTTCAGTGTCATGGGGGGGGGGGAGGGGGTTAAGCTGCACATTCCACTGGCAGCTGATGATACACAGTTAGCACAGTAGTCTCCACTGAACAAGAAGATAGGTTTCTGAGGGAAACCCCATGTGAGGAGTGCACGAGGATAGGCAATAATTAGTATTCTCCCATAGTTTAAAAATAACTGCTACATGCATGGCTCAGTACCCGCGTACCAGTGGCACCGATCGTGATACTGCCGTACATGTAAATGCGACGAACAAAATTACTTCCCTCGTTCTGTACACACACTGCAGTGTGTGAATCACGGCCAGGCGCTAGGCTCCAGTAGTAGGATTCAGGCGCGCTCAAAATTGAACATTGGAGGTTTCGTGCAGTAACCCGGCATAAGTTGGACAGTACAGTTGTCGGGGACCATGCAGCTCTGTGTAACCGGAAAACCAGTCGGCCGGCATCGCCCTCTAAGCTGGTCTGGTGTGGTATGCTAGGTTGTAGTCAGTGCCGCCGCACTCCAGTCAACTCTACTAGTACAGCAGTATCTCCTTGCACGCAGCTGATAGTATCACTGATCATGTACATGTAAATGTACTTCAATGTACACAGGAATGCGAACACAGATTTTAGCTGTAACTTTTAAAGGAAAGATTCAATAACCCATCACCAGTAGGCTGTACAATACATGTATTATCCTGGGGGACTAAATTCCATTATTGTGCCGGCTGAGCTCATATGAAGAGAAGACTGGCGAGTGATGCTTTGAAAAGCGGTTGCATCCCATAATGCCACAACTGCATTCTAAGTTTGCATACTGTCCGAGGATTTAGCGAAAGGGTTCTTCAATTGGGCTAAACTTTTAAGTACAGTGTTTGAAGCGCTGTGTTGCTTTCTGTGTGTTCCTGCATATAACCATGCTGTAGTTATGGGCAGATCCATTGTCATCCATGATCCAAACAGTGGAGCTGGTCGCCTTGCGTGTGGCAACATTGTCGATGCAAGGTCCACAGACGCTTACGTGACGTTCGTGACTCCGGTCGACCCAATTGACCACCCACGATTTCTGCAGCTCGCCCAGGCTGCGCTGAACGTGAACCAGTCGGTGCTGCAGTACGTGCACTCCTACAGCGACACGGCTACCCAGTGCACGCTGCTCAGCGTCAACGTCCTTGCCAACGACGCCGCCGCCTCGAAGAGTCTGGCCAGTCGCCTTCGCCAGGTCGACCTGGGCGCGTACACACATCAGCCGAAGTGCGACGCGTTTTCGGACGATGCCAGCGGACTCGTTCACTCGCTTGCAATTGTGCTGCTTTGCCTGTGTGCCACCCTGCTCCTCTAATGTCCTGCTGCACATCAGCCAATGAATGGCATGGGTACGAACCGTGAAGTGGGTGATATGGTCAAACATTCCAGAGGCTTGTATACTGAACATTAGTAATAGTTCTTTGACTTGTTTCGGCCCGGAGGTTTCCCATAACTGCCCATGTCTGCGTACACTAATACTGCTCCATGCACTGCCAGACACTCAGCCTCTGAATCATATCCGGGAATTATTAACCAGGCTGACGCCATATAGAGCAGCAATCATGGGTGCATTCTAATTCACCCTAGAATGACACCAATATAAACATGCACCCTCTAACTAACTGCTCATCTGACTCACTATTATTGTTTTCATTTTTTCGTGCACAGATGATATAATTATGGGTATCGGACCTACCGGTTCTATAAAATTGGAACGTAATGATGTTCACGATATTGAAGGCTTTAGAATACATGTAGGTAACACAATGGCTGTGGAATAGGAACATGAACCCAGGAGAGAGAGAGGCCTGAATGGCCTGTGGCCAATGTTGTTGTTGTTGTTGAATTCCTTATTGTTATTGTTGTTGTGACGGTTGGTGCGAATGACATGACCCTCGCCGAAATGGTTCGTACTAACCTAGAACCTAAATGACATGTATGATCTGGGAGCCCTACACATACGGTATGATACCATTATTATACCACTTACCAGTGACTCATGGTATGTATAGCCTAGGGCTCCCTGATGTATGATTGAATATTTTGTGACTACAATCGTCAAGACTAGAACATGACTGTACTAGTCTTGAACTTAGTTGAAGTACTACCACTACTACAGTCTGTTTCAAAAAGATTAGCAATCAGGTTTGGGTCTTAAAAAGTATGAAGATAAGGGAAAATTGGACAACAAAGACATAGAATGGCTTGTTAGGACACGGCAAATTGTTCTGTGAAGGTTTCGGAACCACCAGCACCAGCAGTTAGAAACTCGGCGAGCGCTCCCCGGGATTGCATTTTCTTTTTGAAACGGGCTGTAGTAGTTACTGAGTATGAGCGCTATGCCTATGGCGCCGCCGCTAGCGCGAAGTCCTCAGATCAGACTGACACGGATGCTCACTGCATGCTCAGACCACATAATATCTCCCATGGCGCATGCATGGTATCGCGGGAGAGCGTGGCGTTTGCGTTGGAATGTCATCGTCTATCCAGTATCATCAGTCATCACCTAACCCGTCTCTGGTGTGACCATGGTGACTCCCCAGGTACAAACTCTGCAGCTTTGCACACATAGTTTTCATGGCTACATCTACAGTCAGTAGGTATCTGGTGCACTGGAGTCTGTGGGAACCTAGTCCTTGTGAGTCTTTTGTGTAGATCTACACGTCATTACTGTGCTTGAATCACCTGTACTCTGTAGCTGATCTACGAGCCTGTGTTGAAAAAAACCGTCTTCTTTCCCCGAATGAGTGGATCTTGCACTAATCTCTGGCAGCTCTTTATATTCTTGTAGTTTTAGTGGCTTAGGGAGATTGTCTACTTTTGAAAGGAGAGAGTTTGTTTTCACAGGCGTGTATAGTCATTGAGTGTAGCGATGTCGACGGAGCACCAACGTATATTGCCCGTAAGCGAGAGTTCCTGCTTTCTCAGTTTTCGCTGATCATTCACGGTGATAGCGGACAGTGGCCGTGGACGACAAGAAGTGCCCAGCCCGTTGATAGGTCCTTTGTGTGTGCGTGCGTGTGCGTGCGTGTGTGTGTGTGTCCGGTGTGTATGTGTGTATGTGCGCGCGCCTACTACGTTTGTGGGACACCGTGCTTGTGTCACACAGGACGGTGAGCGCCGCTCCCTGCCGCTGAATGGGCATGTTGGGTTCGACAGCTTGCCTGACCAGCTCGTCAATAAAGCGGTCAGCAAAGGCTTCGACTTCAACATTTTGTGCGTAGGTACGTTCGATTGTGAACTCGCCTCTCGGGCCTCTCGGACGATATTAGTTTGGTTGGAGCATTCTGCTTGTGAGGAGTTGGGAATCGAGTGCAAGAAAGGAATGTGAAAAGTCCTGTTTTTTGCAACTAACTTGTAATATCCATTCTTAGCTGGAGTTATGGTACTTATGTTATGGACATCCATGTGCTCATCCACTCATTCCACTTGCCTATTTTATGACCGATATCTCTACCTAAATTGTTATACAGGTGTATGCTGTAATTTGGTTTTCTGAGTTCTTCAGCTTAGTCCATGATCCATGCACTAGCTGTAGACTGGGGATACTGCTGGGTGCTAGTATGTGCCTGACTCCCATACTGTAAAAGCCATATACTATATAGCGAAGTGCTAACTCTAACAAAAGAAAGGAGAAATCTGTCGCTAAAATAGAAATCGTTATACAGAAATCGATACATATACTGTCCTATTGAGCGTTGAGGATGAGTGAGAATCGTTACCTTTGGTACACATAAACTAGTCAATTTTGGGAAATCGTTATATATGCGCCTCGTTAGAATACTGGCTTTTACAGTACTTCAACAACGCAGTACTTGTACATGTACATGTACATACAGTCGACTCCACTTATAACAAACTCACATATAGCGAATTTCGTGATATAGCGAACTATTGTCCATGTTCCTGTTTTGAAGTGAACCCATACAAAATCGACCCTTTATAGCGAACAGTTCTCGTTTATAACGAACCAAATCTTGTAGGGCTGCATGTAAACCGAGTGCATTCATACTGTCATGGAGCACGTGTCAGTCATGCTTGCCACCTGTAGTGTGAGCACATTTCTGTTATAACGAACTCCGGCTATAAAGAACTGATTCTCCCGCACAAAGATGTTTGCTATATCAGGAGTCGACTGTGCATGTATGGCAGCTGTATCTGAGACTCTTTGGAGTTTGGTACATTGTACTCTCCCTGCTGATTGGGAAGTGAAGGAACTCCAGTAGTAACTATTCTCTTCCGCTGCTAAATGGAGCTCTAAACTCATTGTTAAGCAAGCGCTGTCCCCCCCCCCCCGAGCACAGCTCAATGTTCGCAGGTCTGCGGTTGCCCGGCGCATGACAACTACTGGACTCGCAGCGTCCGGAATTCATTGAGCCACGCTGCAGACACACGTTCTTGTCTCCATGATCGTGCACACGGTCTTGCTCGATGGAATCCGCTTCGAGTCGCCGGTTAGCGCCGGGAGCTGTACAACCTGAGACTTTGGCCATTGGGCTGTGTGCTAGTGTTTGGCGTATTCCACGGTACTTCACTATTTAGCACCGGCCTCTGTGTGCAACAGTACAGAATTGAGATCGCACAGTGCTAGATCTTGGGACAACACACACACACACCCACACTGAAGCCATGCAGGAAAACAGAGCATGGATGCAGGCACGACTGCGTGTCTTTGACATTTTGCACGACTGCGTGTCTTTGACATTTTGCACGACTGCGTGTCTTTGACATTTTCAAAAAAGAAAAGTCACACCGGTTACATGAGCCATGCAGCACCACGTGCTTATGGTGGAAGTCCTTATCTTACATATGCTCACCTGCAACTGCATGCAATGTGCACGACAAAAATATTACATCGACAAAGCCATGTACTGATACTCGTAGACAGTGGTGTGTGCTTGAACCACAGTGGACAGTGGACTGATGGCCGCAAGGCCCTGTGTTGTTCTTTCTCCTCATGTGCCGCCGCACAGGTGAGACGGGAATTGGAAAGTCAACGCTAATGGACTGCCTCTTTCAAAAGTCATTTGATGGTGAGTGCCTATAGATTCTTGTTCAATCAGTGCCCAGCTGGATGCGTAACTTTAGTTTGCATTGGACAAATTCCACGATCTTGGGCATCCTGGAAAGGCCTTGGCGAGAGGAGCGCAATGAGCGTACACTCGACTCCACGGGATGCACCGGCCCAGCGCTGCAAGCCAGGGAAGGCCCACCAGCGCTGGGCCCACGCTCGAGATCTATCTCTATCCACCATTTCACTCCTGTTGCTCGTATCAAACTCAAAATTTTTCGTAGAGACTCCCGGGAACCTGCTTTTGAAGTTGAATCGGTGTAGTCTTGTCAACAGGTGACGTAAGCAGGGACAATCCCGGCCGTTGACCCACGCATCGCGCTCTGAGCGCAAATTTCCCGGGACCAACATTACGAGTGCTATAACTCAAGAACCGCTCTTTGTATCGCTTTAAAAATTGTTCGGGGCGACAGCTGAGAGTTGTCTCTTCGACCTACATATTTCGATCTCTCCGAAAGACCGAGATTTGACCAAGTTACGATAATTTCAAAATGCCTACCCCATCGAACATCGGTGTTCGATCAATGTATAGGCCAGCCAATAAAGGGTTAAAAGGGTTCTAGTACTTTTGCTGCTGGGTTATTCCAGATGTTATTGGCTATCCTTAGCTCCTTTCGGAATGGAGACGAAAGTAGACTTTTTACTTTTCTGTAAATCTGCTTTGAGGTAGTTGTTCGTATGCTGTAGGTAAATGCTAGCTAGGGTCTTAGAACGGTGGTGCTTCTCCTCAAAGCTCAGAGCTGCACACAACCCTTTTCGAGGGTACACAGCACACATGTGATGTCCACCATGTCGAACGCCACCCTTGAAAAACACAACGTAATATGTCCCCGCCTCCTCAATCTTCACAGGTGCTTGGCAGTATCAGCCTGGGTACAGGACTGAGGAGAGAAAGTCCTGCAGCAGATGTCCCGTTAACCCTTTCAAGGGTCTTTCTCCGGTTGCTAACATGCAGCATTCAGAGCTAGGGTAGCTGGCTGTTGTAAACCCCGCCGATGTTCGATATTCGTCCACAGTGGAGCTTAGCCAGCAGCAGAACAGGCCCGTGTGTGTGTTTGTGTGTGTGTGTGTGTGGTGTGCCGTGTGTGTGTGTGTGTGTCTGTCTGTGTCTGTGTGTGTGTGTGTGTGTGTGTGTTTCTCACTGTATCTGCATTGTGATATTTGTGTTTCAGACAAGCCCACAACTCACAAGCTGCCCAATGTATCCCTAAACTCGTCAACATACAGTAAGTGCTGAGCTCTACATACCGATCTGTACACCTGCTTTCCATCATGGTGGCAGCTGTATGTATGTGTGTGTCAACATACAGTAAGTGCTGGTCTCTGCATACAGATCTGTACAGCGGTCTCTACATACAGAGCTGTACAGTGCTGGACCATCATGTTGGCAGCTGTATATGCACATGTGATTGCTGGCGGTACTAGTCTGTTGCTTGTAGTGTGTGGAAACTGCTACTTTTGGTGCTGAAGCGTTTCGTTCATTACCTTTATCCCTATCCATCCCGGGATCCAACTGCAGTTACCCCTGCCCCAGTGAAGGTAATACTTGCTACCAATTTGGGCGGCTAAATCAGAGTGCATCTGATATAAGCTTCACTAACACCATTGATTACGCAAGAGTTACTCTAGCCAGAAGTAGTCAATTGTTAGCAGGTATGTATACTTCAAATAGAAAGTATATGAACCGTGGAACCAACAAAGGTGGAAGGTACAACATTACACCTTCAAGCAACCGAGCCTATTGGCAACACACCCACTATCAGGCATAAGTGTACCCACCAACCCAACCAGCTGCCCCCCCCCCCCACACACACACACACGCACTGTCTTTCTTTGGTTATGATGTGTATCCTGAGTCAGGCCCGTGCTCAAGTTTCCAGGATGGAAGTCATTTGACTTCTAGCAATACCACATTATTCTCTTGTCTTCTTCTTCCTTTGGCAATTGTAACATAACAAAAAAACGGTATGGCCAAACATGACTTCCTGTTTCCGTATCACTTTGCGTTCTTTTAGCCCTGAAGGAAGGCACAGTGACACTGCGATTAACTCTGATCGACAGTATGGGTTTTGGTGACCAGATTGGACGAGCTGATAGGTGAGTCACACTCAATCAGGGCAACCCAAGTTGCATATATCTAACTACAAGACTAGACAGACGGACGAACACAACAACGAACAGTACGAACGAACACACACACGCATGCACACACATGCACACGCACAACACACACTCATACTCGTACTCCTGCCCATCGCTGAAGCGATGATAGCGAACAAGCTGTGTTAGACATGGCAACTTGTGCTGGGATTGCACCATTCGGACAGTTTGGGCGCGTTCCTGTCACTCGAGTTGAACCTTTGTACCTTTGAGTTGAACCTTGGTGTGAAAGTTGTAGCCTGCAGGCACGGTGACCAGGCGACTGGTGTATGCACAAGCACGTGACTGCTTACTCAACCGTTTTTGATTGGGAATAAGGGCCGAACGCTGCATTGCAGCCTTTTCGGACCAAAACCAGTCGACTCAGCGTCCAAAAGATATGGGCCAATGGCGGTCATCCGTGCTTTTATAAGAACGAAATGGCTCTTTTAGTGACATTTTGCATACAAATCCCCATCTAGTAGGGCGCAGTCACCCAGTTTCGGTGGAAATGGCGAGTTCGATTTTGGAATAAAGGAGGAAGGGAGCGTCTCAGCTTCCTCGGACCAAGGCCATTCGACTCAGCACCCCGGAGACTACAACTGGTGAAAATTTGATTTTAGGGTATGCTTTCCCCTTTTCTTGGATGCAGTGAATGTGTTTTCGGTCTTGGACCACTTGCTGGTGAGCTGATCTACTCACCTCCCACCGCTTTAGGAGCTGCATCTGCACCTTGATCCTTGAAGGGCGGTGGTGTTCCTACGGAACTTGGCCTCTAGCCGAGTCTGACGTGAACCGTGAATTTTTCCCCCCTTTAAGTCAGTGTTCTCTTTGTATTTTTTAAAAGAGGCTGTGTGTGTGTGTGTCTGTCTGTGTCTGCGTTTGTCTGCATGTACTGCATCCCCGTCCCCCATTCATTGTAGCCACGCTCCCATTGTGGACTACATAGACGAGCAGTTTGAGAAGTACCTGCAGGAGGAGTTGAAGATCCAGCGCGACCTGTATAGCTTCCACGACACCAGGGTTCACCTGTGCCTCTACTTCCTGCCACCGACGGGTCACTCGTGAGTGGTAGCAATAGGAATGAGTCAGCAACAGAGTCTAGTGTCTGCATACCTGCCATGCAATGTGGCATTAATGTCACACACCCGCAGGTTTCAAGGACCGTAGTGGTGGGATGAAGTCAGTTTGAGAAGATTCTACTGATGCTGATGCTGATCCATTAGGAATGTTGAACATGATCCATTAGGAATGTTGAACATGATCCATTAGGAATGTTGAACATGATCCATTAGGAATGTTGAACATGGTTAAATACCCCCACAGATGTTTGCACTAGACCTGACGTCCTGCTAGTGTCTGCTAGAGCATGCTTTAGTCTCCTTCGGACTAGGCACAGTATGATTAGCCTGTTGGCAATGCACATTGGTCTTCACTGTAGTTGCTGCCTTTCATGCAGAATAACATAGTACAGTCGTCCCTCTATAATCCGGCACCTTTTGCTACGGCGTTTTCTGCTGGATTAACGAGGGTGCTGGATTAAGAAATCCTGCCCTCTGACCCGGCCCTACCCAATTGCATGCATGTATCATATGTACGTCAAAACGCAGGGTTTTTCCGTGTCGACCCAAGTATTTGGTGCACGGCTTTATTTCCTCAATTGTTCTCCGGGAATATACACAGTGATAAAGTGATAAAGTAAAACAGAGAACATGTTCACATGTACTCTTGCACACACACGCACACACACACACACGCACCTGAAAATTGGCAGGGCACTACTCCTTGCTAAAATAAGAAAGTATGGTTGACTGCCGTTGTCTCCTGGACAACATTGAACAGACTGGCCTAGCCTGGAGTGCACCTGTGCGGTACGAGATTTACGACTGCCGGATTATGAAATCAAACTACGTGCAGTTTGAGCGATTCGTTTCAAAAAGTCACTGCCGGAGGCGGAATTCAAGTGCCGGATTAAGATGTAGGAATTGAACGAAAAAAATCGGTTTTGTCAGAAAGTGCGCCGGTTGGCAAGGATTCCGGATAAACAAGTGCCGGATTAGAGAGGGACGACTGTACTGCTACGGTGCAGCAATCATGTACCTTTTTCTTACATGGCTCTTTGCATGCCGGTTCTTCCTGCCTTGTGCTGTATGCTTTGCTTTCAGGCTGAAGTCGATTGACCTGGCATGCATGAAGGAGTTGATGCAAAAGGTGAGTACGAGTAGAGTAGTGAGTGTCAGCCTGGCTTCAGTCTCGGTGCTGTGCTGTGCCGTGTGACCTGCCTGGATTGGCCATGTGACCTGCCTGGATTGGCTATGTGACACTGACTGTAGCACCAGCATTGTCACCAGCTGCCAAGCTCATTCAGTGCCTGGCTGCAGCACTGCGACTGCCCACTATGGGCTAGTGGATGCTGTGCTCACCAATGCAATGACTGCCAATGCACTTGGTTTAGGCAAGGGATCCGCGGTGAATCGAAAGATAGCAAGAGATTCAGTGTACCCGTAAATATTACGCAGCACGACAGGCGGTTTGGTTTCTTGACTGGCATGGTTGCATTAGAGTACGTATGTGTGATTAGATTCCCATTGAGAACTGGGGATATCAATAGTTGGTGTTTTTAACATGAAATCATCGCATGATGCTGTGAATGTCATTGTTTGCATTGACCAAGGCCACTTCACCCATTGTTTAGTTCAGCCTTTCTTGCTGTCCTTATGGGGTGCTGATACCACTGCTTACAATATTGCACAAGTCCACTGCTGAGGCATTAACTAACATCTCCCGTTCAATTATACAGGCACTGTTCAATCCCCGGACAGCTAGCTGTTTTGACCTTGTTTTTATAGGTTTATCCTGGCATGTATAATATGTGATGTTATGTGATGGTCATGTGATGTGCCTCCTGTGCAGGTCAACGTTGTGCCAATCATTGCCAAGTCGGACACTATCGGCAAGGCAGACCTGACCAAGTTCAAAAACAGAGTGAGTGGGCCGTTGCGCGCTGATACTGCCTTTCCGGGTGTCTACTCAACGTGTACACGACTGGACATGACTGGACATGACTGGGCATCAGTGTCTAGAGTGGTGGTGACCAGTGAACCATGGAATGGACCTTGAGTCGGCACACTTGCCTCCGACTGTGGCCATCCACGAATTAGAGCTAGTACGAATACCCATTACCCGCCTGCTCGCTGGGAAACTTGTAGGGTTGAGTGAGTAATCGGAACTCAACGATACCATCATGGCAAGGGACGTGTAGACAAAACCGAGATGGGTTGATGGGAATGATAAATGTCACAGCGGAAGTCGCGGTCAGGTCTAGGTCAACCGATGATGTACAGAACTGATGTTAAGTCGGTGAGGACGAGCAGGAACCAACTGTGATGAAGACACAAGAAGAGTCAGATGTCAATTGGATGCGGATGTGGAGTTATGAAGACGTTTCAAGTTTAGCGTATGAGCACGCAACATCGCAGGAGCAGCGGGAGAAATCCATACGGCATGCACCAATGTGTCCGTGTCTAGAACTTGACCTTGATGGTCTGTCGGCTGCAGTTTGATCTGAATATCCATAGGGAAATAGCTGGTGAAATGTTGTGCAAACTGGGTCGCTGTTAGATGACTCACAGCCGCCTTGACCACATACTCTAGTACTATTTCTCCGCATACATGTAGAGCCTCAAGATCAGTTGAATAGTGAGTGCCAAACCATGCACTACCCATGACCAGTACTATGCGTATTCCTGAACAATAGTCAAGTGCTATTGGATGGTTCAGGTCAGGTAAACCTCCATGATAACTGTGCATCACAGAAACCGGTGCTCATTGCACTGTTAGCGGTTTGGCAGGGGTAGCACGGGCTCTATGTGAACAGTCTTGTAGTGGTAGTCGGGAATGAATTGTTCGGGACCGTGAAGGTTCAACCCGTCTCATGTCTGGAAGTTTCAGCCTGAATAGTCAATCTTATACAGAGCCATCCCTAGACTGCTCCTGATCTCACTGTTATGCAAACTGATTCAACGAGTGCCTAATATGCCGGGACATGTTGGGCAATTCATTTAGCTTCATGGCACGTTGCTGATGTTGACGATCCGCCAATGTCTCCTTTCTTGTTGGTTTCTGTCACCAGATCATGGAGGAGGTTCTGGAGAATGGCGTTGACATCTACAGCTTCCCTACCGACGACCAGCCAGTAGCGGAGCTGAACGCCAAGATGAACGTAAGTCACTTAGTGTGCCGGGCAATGCAGAGTTGCACACCTCAGGCCCGTCGCACCGACTTTGGAGGTGGGGCGGCCATAGAAGGGGGGGTGCGGGGGTCCTCCCCCGGGAAAAAATTTCAAAAATTAAAGCCAATTGCAAGCATTTCCGGGTATTTCGTGCCATTTCAGTGTACAGTAACTACAATGAAAGTCTTTTTGATTCTGCAACAAACGAAGAAGACACTGACAAACATTACCCTCCTCCGGGAAAAAAATTCAAAAATTGAAGCCAATTGCAAGCATTTCCAGGCGTTTGGTGCCATTTCAGTGTAACCGCAATGAAAGACTTTTTTCTGCAACAAACCACGATTGGGGACAAGGATTCGTCACGTTTGCGCTAACCTGCGATCATTGTGCTTTGTTGTAATGTGCTCCAAAAAAACGGCGGAAAAAGTGGGGCGGCCTCAGCCGCCCCGGCTGTGACGGCCTTGCACCTCTAGCTCTTCTAAATATTGTGTATGATAAAATAATATAATTATCATAAAAAGAACATTTCTATGGACGTCAGAAGAGAGATACATACTTATGACGTGTAACCAGTTAGAAGCTTTTAGCTGTTATCAACTTACTCAGTAATGAATTGGTAAAAACGAACATATATTTACACCAAGCAGCAAAGGTGCCAGTTTGATTACATTCAATCATATCTTTTCCCAAAGCAATTTATATTTTCATCAGCTGTTTTGACTGTCTAGCTTTCATTTCCAACGTATTCCACTGCCTGGTGAGATTGGGCAGAAAAAGGTTTTGGAATAATGCTTGGCAGAGTATAGCAAACTGGCAACCAGTATATAGCAAAATACTCCTCTTTGTGACGAGCAGGGAGAACTGTGACATTCACTCACATGACTGATGTTCTCTTGTCCTTGTGTATGCCATATGTGTTGTCTACCACCCAGAAACTAGTGCCATTCGCCGTTGTCGGCAGTCGGGAGTCTGTGGAGGTGAACAAGAAGATGGTGCGAGCACGCTGCTACCCATGGGGCACAGTAGAAGGTATTAGTCTAAAAGTGTGTGTTTCCGTGTTTGAGATTCTTCTGACTCACTTTAACCCTTTGGCTCCCCCATAACTCCACTATTTAGCAATAGCCATAATTTTCGCTCAAATTGTGTCAACTTTTGGTCATAACTTACGTTCTAGTAGCCTGATTTCCACAATCTTGGGCTCTCCGGAAAGCTCTTCTCAGCGCGAACACAATGAGCCATCACCGAGTGAAATCAGAGTAGCAGGCCCAGCTCTACAGCCCAGCGAAGGTACCACATCGCTGGGAATGCCCTCAATCCCTTTCTTCTTCAGCCATTTCAATTTCCTTGCTCGCCCAGCTCTGATTTTTTTTGTACTGCCGTAGCAGGTAGCCTGCACCATGATTTACGCAAAAAAAATCATCACAGGTACTTGAGAACAAGGGGAATTCCCCGGTTCATGCTCGAAAATGTGCTCGGAACGAAAAAAGTGCCGTCCTCCAACTTTCGAGCGCGATATCTCAACAACCGTTGGAGCTATCGTGAAAACAATTGCACCAACGGAAAGCTGAGGACTTCAGCTACACTCTACATACTTCGATTCTCACGATAGTGCAATATTTGAATGAGTTTATATGGCTGTTTGAAGTCATCGACGGAATACCGTCGAAATTTGTATAGTGGGGAGCCAAAGGGTTAAAACACATGCCTGTGGCTGGGGTTCATGATTCAAAACAGTGGTCAACAGCACAGCTATCTCAACTGCTTCTTTTCAGAGCTGAGCTGGTGCTAGGGAAGCTCTAAAGCTTGAGATAACTGTTGGAGCTAGCCAAGAGCGTCAACCATTGTGTCCTCTTATCACAGCTCTCCCCCCCCCCCCACACACACACACACACTCACCTCCCACTGGTTTTATCTGCTGCGAGTATACATGCCAGAAGTCTATTGAGACTTTTTCAGTATTTACCTCCAGTGCACTGAAATCTGTTGGAGAGAGAGAGAGAGAGAGAGAGAGAGAGAGAGAGAGAGAGAGAGAGAGAGAGAGAGAGAGAGAGAATGGAGAGAGAGAATGGAGAGAGAGAGAGAGAGAGAGAGAGAGAGAGAGAGAGAGAGAGAGAGAGAGAGAGAGAGAGAGAGAGAGAGAGAGAGAGAGAATGGACAGATGGAGAGGGATGTAATCTGATTATACTGGTGATATTGTCTTGTTCTTTTGGGGCTTCTTTGATTTTAGTGGAGAATGAAGGCCACTGCGACTTTGTCAAGCTGCGCGAGATGGTGCTTCGGTGAGGAACCTTCCCTACTAGGCTCGAACTATTCTGTCGCTTAGGCAGTTAAAACTACTTAATACTTGAAGCACCCATAACCCCATGACCCCTTCGTTGAATTGTTGGTGTGTGTAATGGCTACTAAGGGTGGTCGGCTGAGAGCGCATGGAGGAGAAGAGGAGGAGAGATTGTTGAATTGTTGGACAGACAAATGGGACCGAACTTTATTTTTAAAACTACATGTACTTGCAATACTTATCAATATGTCGTGTACCTTAAGCAATACCAGCAGAGCTTTAATGTATCCATCCTACGATCAAAGTGCTGCTTGTTTTGGAAACTCTCTGCAGTGTAGTGCCCATACACTGTCATACCACAACTGAATGGGTCCACTGGTACATTCTACATTTTGTAAGAAGCTGTTTTGTTGTTGTTGTTGTTGTTGTTGTTGTTGTTGTTGTTGTTGTTGTTGCCGCCGTCGTCGTCGTCGCCGCCGCTGCTGCTGTTGTTGTTTATCTATGCTTGCTGCTGGCAGTGAGAACATGGAAGACCTGCGCGAGAAGACACACTCAGCTCACTACGAGCGCTATCGCCGCGCCAAGTTAGCCGAGATGGGCTTTGCGCAGCGCGACGAGACCGATCAGCCCGTCAGGTAAGTTCACACATCCCAGTTACCTCTCATACGCCGCTTGTAGTGTTCATTTACTAGCAAGAGCTGTCGGGCACGTGGCTGCCCACACCACCATTTCACTTTTACGCTGACTATACGAGTACGCCATCATCACCACACATCTTATTTTGCAAACAGAACTATCTGGAAGATACGGAATGTTACTCATAAGTCGGCGGCTACTCTCAACGTTCGAGCTCGCATTTTCCTACCGACTTGACGTGACTGCCAACCAGAGCACATGAGAAGACAATCAAACCTTCGACTCGACGAACCAACAAAAAGCACCACTCCCTCAGCGGCTCACTACCCAGTTTTTCAGCAAATTCACCCCGTATCAGTTGAGCTGGAGTGCTTGCAGCTGCCTGAAGAACACTATAATAATAGTGCTCTCTAGGTCCAAACATCCCCAGGGATATAAACTTACGTAGACACTCCATTTCGAGCGTGACAAACTCCTCGTGAACACGAGACAGCACTGTCTGGATGTGTTGAGCAAGCTTTGAGGACCCTTTGTTATTCGCACTATAAGCGGTGGATTCTCTTAAACACTTATATTGAGCAGGTTTAAGTCTTATCAAGGCCTGATAGGAGAGGGAGAGAGAGAGAGAGGGGGGGGAAGCGAGAGAGTGAAAGAGGACTGTTAGAATGAGAGGGGGAGGGGGGGGGGGTGAAATTTCTCTATCTTCTTTCCCTGCCCATATCGCCACTAGGGGATGGTATTTGCCTTGCCGTGTATTGTGTGCAGGCTTTCAGAGCTGATTGAGAAGCGTCGCCACCAGCACTTACAGCAGATGCAGGCAAGAGAGGATGAAATGCGACAGATGTTTGTCAACAAGGTCAAGGACAAGGAGGCCGAGCTCAAACAATCTGAGCAGGATGTGAGTAATGCCATACACACCTCTACTGGGAGTCACACTTGTTCCGCTCGGGAATGCACTTCTGCTAGGGGCGAGATTCACCACTGCAAAGCAAGTGGCTCCTCTATATTGCTCCATTGCATTTGATCAGTAGTGTAGTACTTGTCCAGGCGATGTAGAAACTACTGTCGTGGACATGGAAATACAGTCGATTGACCGGGGACGGCACCCTCAGCGCGTACAGAACAGTGCACAGTCATGCGACCAGCGAACTGCAGCGCGTATGTGTGTACTGCTTACCCACGACTGCATGGCCAGCGCCCTGGGGCCGCTAGACGTGCGACCGGATTTCCATGTCCACGACAGTAATATTGGAAAATCTAGTGCAGCTCACCACGAATTCTATGCTGTTTGGGTATTGTCACTTCCATACTTATACAGCTGCATGTGAAATTCGAGAACCTGAAGCGGACCCATGCTGAAGAGAAAAGGAAGCTGGAGGACCGGAGACGCATTCTGGTGAGTTCTAGACTCGTATCATTTCACCATTTCCCTACCCTACATGGATGTATGAGTTAGTGGCTTGCTTCGGTTATTTTACGCACACTGTGTCTTAGGTCTCAGGACCAGCAGCAGACTGTCGCAGCTATGAAGCTCACTCAGGATGACATTCATTCCATTGCTGTTGGTCTTCATAGTGATCTTGACTGTGTTGTGGGTCGGGGCTGTTAAAGGGGAAGTCCGGTGAAAAATATAAAATTTCACAGTCCGTAGAGTTCGGGGCGCTGAGTCGAATGGTCTTTGTCCGAGGAGGCTGCGGCCTATGGTTCGTCAGATACGCCCAATCGAACATGTGCGGATTTGAGCGCGCCTCGCCCAGATCCAGGTGATGACGTCAAAGCGTGCAGCCAGGTAGCCACACCATCTAGATGTGTACCAAACGGCCATATTCGGAGCGCGTTCGATTGGGTAACCGTTTGTCGCAACTTCTTCGGACCAAGACCATTCGATTCAGTGTTACAAACACTACGTACTCTGTGATTTTCAGCTCGGTAAACCTCGAGGTTATACCGTATTTTAGCCGTTTCCGAGTTGGACTTTTTCCGTCAACATGCACTGGCCTCTACGCACTACGGCTCTAGCAATGCACTGCGTGCCTGTAGACTGTGTAGTCAACAAACTCATCACACACGGAACTACTCCCGAACTGGCGTGCTGGGGTAGGTACAACAAGACTCGAGTCACAAGTCAAGACTCAGAAAACTAGTCAACACACGGACTTGTCATGATGTACTACACTCGTGTCAGTCGTATTGTTCAGTCATGTAGTCAGAGAACGAGCGTTTCTCCTTGCCGGTGCCGGTGCACCGGTGGTTGTGCTTTGAGAAAGAAAAATTTAGTTTTCCGCTCCCGCCTCATTATTTTATGCTACAGCGATGAGTGCACAACCGTGACAAGTGACAAAACAGCGAACAGCTCCCAGACCTAGAACTTTCAGATCCCGTAGCGTTGCGAGCGAAGAGTCGTGCCCGTGGTTCAAAGAGCCTGCACTGTTCTCCAATAATGAATTGAGTGTCCGAAATATGCCAAGTTCGCACCAAAACATCACCATGTGGCAGGTTACTGGAGTCTAAGCGAATCGGTATGGAACAACACTTAGTCTTAGAGCACTCGCATCACTCTTCTCCATTTTGGCGACTCTGCTCTCCAGCGATCTGATAATTATATCAGCCTCGTCTGCAATAGCTGCTGCTTCTTCATCAGTCGGAAACTCAGTAGCGCTCACTCTTGACCGGCCCGCGCGGCCATTTCTTCAGCTGAATACCGGAGTTCTCAGCCCCAGACCGAACTCATGAAGGTCAGCCATGGCTGCATCCTCACTCTCATGGCGCAGCCCCAGAAACTCAGTTTTTCAAACGGAAATATCTCGAGAACGCTTTGTCGGAGACACGTGGGACCAACACCATTCGACTCAGCGGCCGAAACTCTACTGACCCTGAAATTTAAATTTTTCACCGGACTTCCCCTTTAACCCTTTGTGTACGGACTGTACAACTTTCGATCCCCTGGGATCGAAACTTTTCAAATTTTCAATCGATCGTAACTCAGTCATTTCTGGGTTATTTCCAAAACCTAAATTATGTAGGTCGAAGAGAAAACCCCCAGCTGTCCATTGAAACAATCGCAGAAACACTCCGATGTGCGGTTCCAGAGTTACGAAGCTCGAAAGTCAAATCGCGGCAATTGTCGCTCAATAGCCGCGTGCGCAGATTTGAATAAGGGATTTCTCCATCTTTCTGGGCATCCAGTGACGTAGAAACACATTCAAAATGGCAAACGGGCTCGTGGCAGATTGTGGAATTTTTTTGGAAGTAAAAATTAGTTGTTACAAGCAAGGAGAGCGAAATGGCTGATACAAGACGACTTCTGTCGAAATATTGGCGTTGCAACTAAGACGCTGGGCTGTAGCGCTGGAGTTTTGACCTTCGTGGTGGCAAGTGTGGGCTCAATGTATTCCTCTTGCGACGAGCTTTCCAGGAAGCTCAAGATTGAAAAAATCGTCAAAAGGAGTCGAGATCAAATTCAGTCTGCGTACATTTTTTTCAGTACGTAAAGGGTTAACTGTGAGCCAAACATGAGTGTAACTAGTATGACTGTTACAGAAGAAGAAGAAAATGCCGTATGCAAGGACAAGTTGCAAGCGAACAGATAAGAAATGGAGCAGCGTTTTACGTGACCGCAATCATTCCATGTTGATGTGTTTTGCAAGTGGGCTCATGCGAAAAAGAACATACTCTTTGTGCCCGGATGATTTTCGTCGTTTGCAATTTGATCTTGTAAGGCATCTGTGTGTGTTTGTGTTCTGCAGGAGGAGGAAATGAACAAGTTCAACAAGCACAAAGCCGAAACGCAAGCAGCACAGGCTCAGGCGGCACGTGACATGGCCCAGGGCAACTCGGTCGGCAGTCCTGGCTCCCCGAAGAGCGGCAAACGCAAGAAGTAAACTGCCGCCAACTGCTGTCCCTTTCCTCTTCATCGCCATGACACTGAGAAGGAAGTGTGCCATGCTCCGGCTCTGCACGTGCTAGAGAAACGATCCATAGCTAGCCTTTAGGAACAATCTGACGATTACTGCATGTGCTATTGGCATTGAACACATTGCACGTGCCTGTGTGCACTCACTGCGGCAGAGCCACTCTTTCTATCCAGTGATGCATGCTAGAGGAGCCTGATCAGGAGCAGTGTACACACACACACTGATCTACGCACTCATGACTAGCTGTGGCCGTGTTGCTACTCTGAAAGTGGCCAGTAGTAGGCAGTACAGTCACGCAGTGTATGTATGTATGGGTGGGTGCATTGCCAGGATGACTGTGTGCGTGTGCATGCTTGTGTGTAACTGATAGTGCCACCCCCGTTGCAGTGGTATGTCCGGAGAGGTTCAATAGCTATGCAATGATTATGTAACACTAGACCTTAGATATATCTGACACGATGTAGTGATCATCTATTACTACTAGTACTGAATTACAGGTTACCGCATTGACAACTAGAACTACTATTATAGTACTAACTAATGCCGTGTGCTATTACTCTGCTGCTAAACCTATGGTGTATTATGCAGTTTAGCACTTAGGTCCACTGCTTGTGTTCTTTATTGTATAGGAACTGTTGCCCCAGTCTGTTCTATTGACTCAGCTCACTGCCTGCTTTCCTTTGAAAATGATATCCGTCCACACTTCCAGCGGCTTTCACATTGGATTTGATGCAAAGCCCAATGGTATGTCCGTCACTTAGAACTGTCAGTGCAATATCAATGGACATGTGCAGTCTTGGCCAACTTGAGAAATCCGACCCACGAGCCGAAAGCAGCACCAAGGCTCAGGCCGTCCCTGCATCTGCGCGACTACATGCATGCATTGTCCTGCATTGCCAGCTCTGCCATGCTATACTAAACAAGCTACGGCCTGGGCATGCATATGCGTAACTGTGGTGCAACCTGTTAGTTTACAGTGCTGCAATGAAAGTAAATGTACTGTAGTTAGAAAAGGTGTAGTTTTGAGCCAAATTAAAAAAAACATGCGCTTGTAGTATAGAAGCGCTATGGTGATAAATTATTGTGAATTGGTCATGCAGACACGCATGCAAGAATGCTGTCCACTATTTTCGATAAGTCTCTATTATGTCAAAAGACTAAGAAATTCAGATATCTGATGCCGATGCCATTGTATGCTCTAGCTGCAACGTCTACTTTGAAGTAGGAACTGGGTGCACCGCCCCACAGTACAGGTCATTGATGGACATCCACCGATTCAATTCAGCCGTTGAGGGCTGCAAGCGGAATTGCTGGCTTATTATTATTTCCATCGTCGGGTGTTGTTCAACTTTGGGATGACGAATTTCAGCCACTCTTTCCTTGTAAGCATCTGATAATATAGCGTGATCGATGTTAGTACAACATCCAGGCATCGGCGACGCTGTTGCCACTGATCAACATATCCTCGACCTGCAAGCGGGATGCACAACACATACACACAATTGTGCATGTGCACAAAACATTTGCGCGCATATGTGTACAGGATCACTCACAAAACAACAACGAAATAAACTGTTCCGGTGGGGGCATGCAGTCCGGGTTTTCTCTAGATTTTCCGGTTTCAGCTACCTTAAGCTGGTGAGAAAACAGCATTATTGACAAGTCGCCATGTCTAACGCCTACTACTATCCAGTGCTGTTCACGTTGCACACTCCGAGGCTGGGAGATTTACTAACTGCTATCATGCTAATTATCTTCTCTGAATAACAGTATTCAGTAGCATGGAAATTATTATAACAGCACACGAATACACAAAGCGTTCCTTTCTCTCTCTCGCTCTCCTCGTTACCAATCTTACCTCTCTTTCACTGTTGGTGACTTCGTCCTCATCACCTTCCTCCAGCAGCTGCTCGGAGTCCTCCTCCTCACTGTCACTGAGCTCGTCTTCCTCGTCGTCTTCATCTGCACTGCTCTCCACAGGAGCATCGCCAGCCGTAGGTACTGCAACAGCCTGGGCAGGTTGATCGGGAGCACGCAATGCTGGAATGCTGGTGCTGCCTTGGTCATCATGATGATTCTCCTCTTCATCATTGCTCACTTCATTGTCAGACGTGGATACTGCTGCGCCTTCCTTTCGCAAAATCTCCTGCAGCTGCTGGCGAGCGGTCAGCGCTTCCTCTCGTGTTTTCGGAGCTCTTGAAGGTCTGCGTTGCTGTTGCTGTTGCTGTGCTGCAGTCGGTATGTGTGTATATCCCTGTGAGTGTCCCCTGGTGGCACTGGTAGCTTTAGTACCGGCGGTCGCCTTTCTCTGGCCGGCTCTCGAGCTGGCCATTGACACGTCATCGTGGGAGCGTCCCTCGGGTTCACCTCGTCCATTGTATCTATCTCTACGTGATTCAGCAGCGGATGAGTGCCGGCTGAGCTCTTGCTCACCTCGCCCTCCTCCTCTTTGCTGACTAGATCGCCTCTGGGATGATTGCCTTTGCTGGAAGACCTCGCCGTCATCTTCGCCATACTCATCATAATCATCCTCTTCTTCCCAGGGCTGCTGCACATGGCGGCTATACTGCTGTTGCTGTGCGGGATGAGCTGCCGCCTGAAAGCCGCTCTCGGTGTGACGTCTCTTCTTCTTCGGTGCCGTCTCAGCCATCTTGAGCGGCTTGTAGGCCTGTTGTCCGATGTTGGACGTGGAGACATGCCTTGGCTTTGCTTGGTGCACGCGTGAGTCATAGCGTGGCATGCCGGCTTTCGAAACGGAAGTGTTTTGTCCTATGCCAACCATACTCTGCGATGTGAAGTCTTCCGTTGGCGGAGCAGGCATCTGAGAGCCGTCCAGGGCCGTCATGCTCCAGGCCTTGGTCATCTTGGGCGCCTTCTGAACTCTGACCTTCTGCAGCCATTTGCGCGTAAGCTCCCTTGTCACCATAGCTAGCAGGTTCAGGAACTGGAGTTCGTTAATGGTGGTCTCATCCACTACTTGCAGGTCCATGAGCTGTAAACACACAACGTGGAAATTGCTAACAAGATAACTTATCAGTGATGACTGTAACAGTAGTTGAGTTAGCCAGCCAGTGATTTACTCAGTCCCTTTAGTTTCAACTTTCAGCTTTCAGCTGACTACACTGACTACACTGAGCCCCGATTGAAGCACTAGTATTGCTGCCGTGACTATCCAAACCTGTATTTGCTAGCAATGCAGAAGCAAAGAGTAGCAGTTCATGGCCTCGTTCGGCTAATGGCATGGGCTTACCAGTTTAGGATAGTGTGGACCGCTGAAGTAGTCCCTCAGCTTCTTCTCCTTCAAACCGTTCTTCAGCAAGAGTTGCTGCAGGATTGGGTAGGTCATGTCTTTTGGAATTACTCCTGGCAGCACACAGCAGCAGCAGCAAATCAGTAAATATATACATATGGCAATAATATCACTGCACGTAGCACAGTAGCTACTAACTTGTCATAGCCCTGGCTTGAAACCGTGCACCAGTCAATGCATAATACCACTGTGTATGCCGCTGAGTGCTTGGCAGGGAGTAGTAAGGTGCCGGTATTCCACGACTCCCCAGTGCCGCAGACTGCCTTCATGGGTTATGCGAGAATGTCATCATTTGAAGTGATTAGCATGGAGTGGCATCATAAGCATTGGCTTTCCACTTCATACATAGAATCATTGATACGATGATGTCATTCACATCACCTCAGTGCACCTGTATTGATTTAACACTGACTTAGCACGGCATGTGTGATCAAGTACTATGCATGCACAAATTGTACGCCAAGAATATGCTTTTAAATCTGCACTGAAGCTGTATTCAGCATCATGAATGTAGTGGCCAGGTCCTCTCCCCCCTGTCGCCCATGCTTTCCCGGCTGAGGACAGGTGCCGGTGCACTGGTAGTGCGTCTCCTGTACCCATAGCACCTTGAAGAAAAATCTGTGCAGTTCACAATTACCTTGCTGTGTTGTGTCATACTTGTTGAACTCCTGTTGTGCTCTCAGAAACTGCTTGAAGGACAGCGCTGCAACCAGGAGAAGCAAGGCCAAAGCAATCAACATCCGTTTTCTTCATTCAACCTTTTCGCACACTTACCTAGTCTACTAGTATCCTGTAAAGACCTATTTATAGTCTGTGGGGATTTCCCTAGCATAACAATAAATACAAAACTGACATCAACAACAACATTCAATAACAAAGACATGAGGGCCAAGGAACTACAAGCTATGCTATAATGTCCACTAACACCACCAGTTACGCTACAATCGGCCGATGCGATAACATTGCACGACACTGACCAACGGTATTGATGTTCTACAACTATTAAACTGGCAATCAGCTCTAGCACATCTTGGATGCACACTCCAACAGCCTTCCAGCTTGGAACATTCTAAGTTAGAAATAACATAGGTGGGGAAGGTGAGCAAAACCCGGGACAAGCACGAGCTGAAAGTCTCAGCTGTGAAGAATGTTGGCGGATGTACATGGTGTGTCGCTATGCGTCCTTGAATTGTGGTTTGGCCGTTTCGTCTGATGGTCTTACCAGTATCGTCTTCGACATACATGTATATCCGCCAACGTCCTTCACAGCTGAGACTTTCCGCTTGTGCGTGTCTTGGTTGCGCTCACCTCCCCCTCCTATCAGTATGTTATTTCTAACTTAAAACCTTCCAAGCTGGAAAGCTGTTGGAGTGCGCATCCAAGGCGTGCTAGAGCTGATTGCCAGTTGGGTGTAGAACGTCAGTACCGTTGGTCAGTGTCGTGCAATGTTATCGCATGAGCTGATTGTAAAGTAACTGGTGTTATTAGTGGGCATTATAGCGTAACTTGTAGTTCCTTCGTCCTCATTTCTTCTTATAAATTAATCCTTTGGCTCTCCACCTGAGTCTAAATAACAAAGACCCATACATTAAAGTACTGACATTTGCTCAGCCATGCATCCTGACCGCTGGTAATTTCAAAGTCATGACAAACAACATCAGTGATTCTTTCAAAACTGTTTTGTAGAAGCCATCCCCGTTACCTACACCCTAAAAGAGTAAAAAGCCGGAGCAAACAACACAGCAGCCTCACACGCATGACCCTGGCGAGTCATATGGATATTGAAGGTTGAAAATATCTACCATATACCTGTAAAATTGGCACGTGGATGCAGCATGTTGCCAGGTGATGGGATATGCGTCAAGTCCACAAAGAGAAACTGTTCGAGGCAAGAGAGAGAGAGAGAGAGAGAAAGAGGCACAATGCAAAGTTTGCTCGTGGAGGTGCAGAGCTGCCCTGTTCTTATGAGTGTTACTGTGACGTACAGCCTGAATTTCTAACGTTTCCGCAGCATCAGTATGGTACCAGTACTGTTATTATGCAGCACGCTGCTGTGTGGAGTTGAATTCAGCATACCGTCTGACACACAGATGGGAACAGGTGAGTCCAAATAAGAGAGCGTCCGGATCAGGGGAATCTTGATCAGGTAAGTCTGGATAGGAGAAGTGTGGATTAGGGAGTCCGGATCAGAGGCGTCCGGATCAGGGAAGTCCCAGGGCACTCCGGATCAGGGGAGTCCCAGGGCACTCCGGATCAAGAGAGTCCCAGGGCACTCCGGATCAAGAGAGTCCCAGGGCACTCCGGATCAAGAGAGTCCCAGTGCACTCCGGATCAAGAGAGTCCCAGGGCACTCCGGATCAAGAGAGTCCCAGGGCACTCCGGATCAAGAGAGTCCCAGGGCACTCCGGATCAGGGAGGTCCCAGGGCACTCCGGATCAGGGAGGTCCCAGGGCACTCCGGATCAGGATAGTCCCAGGGCACTCCGGATCAGGGAAGTCACAGGGCACTCCGGATCAGGGAAGTCCCAGGGCACTCCGGATCAGGATAGTCCCAGGGCACTCCGGATCAGGGAAGTCCCAGGGCACTCCGGATCAGGGGAGTCCCAGGGCACTCCGGATCAGGGAAGTCCCAGGGCACTCTGGATCAGGGGAGTCCAAGGGCACTCGGGATCAGGGGAGTCTGAATACAGTGTGTTGGTAAGGGCGTTCGAGTGCAGTGCGAGAACTGGCAGTTTTACAACATACCTTTTTATGAGAGTCAGCCGGTTTGTGGAAGAAAAGCTCCTTGAAGTGCTTATGGCAGTAGAAACCATAGCCTTGAAGAACTGCACGCTGCTTAGCACTTGTCACTTTCTTGTTGCATACAGAACATCTGCATAACAACAAACAGCAATCAGTTTTGTGTATGTATGACAATTGGATCCCAAAAAAAACAGTACAGCATCTATCAACGGCCAGTGAAAACAGCATGTGAATACTACTCGAAGGCTAATTGTTACTGGTTTATACTGGTATAAGAATGTTGTGGTAAAAAAGGAGAAGGACAACATGTTACGAGTTACGACTAACTGTCCACCAACGTAACCAGATCATATACAGTCAGCGAGTTCAACAAAATGGCACAAAGCTGACAAGGAGTACTGAGACATTCATCTTGTCAGTTTTGCGCCATTTTGTCGCACTCGCTGGCTGTATATGATCTGGTTACGTTGGTGGACAGTTAGTCATAACTCGTAACATTTTGTCCTTCTCCTTTTTTACCATAAAAATGTTGTTAATTATAATTAAAAAAAAAAAATTATACCTCATTGTGATCGGATGGGCCATTGACTCCGCTGAGGAGACCTAAAAAGGTCGGAACAGCTAGCTGTCCGGAGATTGAATCACTGTATTATAAATATTATTACATACCATTGCTCAATTTATGGACGACTTGCTTGTTATTACTGCCCCTGTTTACTATGCATATGGCCCTGAAACACTCTATATATCGACAAGAGCGCATCCGCTGAAAACAAGGCACAGCACATGCATTTGGCTGTTTGCTTTGTGCACAGGTCATACCTTGGTTTGCCATCAGTTTGCACTAGTGCCGGCTGGCTAGCAGTGTCGGCCGGGACGATGGCTGAGCTCAAACTCATCACCGACATCTTCTTCCCTAGCGGTACCATCTGCGCTCGATTGGTTGATGACGGCGGCGTATCTGCCACTGCGGCAAAGCCCTGCTGCATGGGGACGGCGCGGCCATGCCGAATCAAGAAGATCTCACCACTGTCGGCTTGGACCAGCTCGTCGCCCTTGGCTGACCGGCCCAGTTTACGGACGGAGAGCATTCGTTGACCTTTCAGGATGTACGACTCTTCGCCATTGGGGGAGCTTATGACTTCAAAGTCTGCTTCGACAGCGGTGGATTTTGCAGCGAGTCCTGTGCCGTGATCTTGTGAGTTGCTCTTCTTCATGCCCAGCGGTGGCGGGTATGCTCCTGTCGGTCCTGTCTGGGCTGGCATGGCTCCAAATGCGAACGCTGACACTCTGGGGCCTTGCCTGATATTACTGGTCGATTTGTACTTTGTAGCAATCTTCTTAGCGGTAGTAGCAGCAGCGGGAGGAGGACTACGGGTACGATGAGCATCATGCAGGTCTGATGTGGTGCGACTGCGACGTCTTCCTGAGTTCTCTCTGAACCCAGAGGCATACTCATCATTGGATGAGTAGTGAGCTGATGATGGTCTTGATTGACGACGGTGAGTACTGCTTGCACGCGATGACGAACGGTGCGTCTGGTTGAAGCTGTTCTGCCTGCTGAGAATCGACTCGGTGTCCGACTTGTACTGACGTGATGCCGAGGACGCTTTGCGCATGACTGGCCGTCCTGCGTCCTGGTCCGAGCCATACCGACTGAGGCTGCTGCTGCGGCGTTGAAGACCAGGACGTCCAGAGGTGCTGTGTCGACCGTTGCTACTGGTCCGGCTGATCCTGCCACTCTCTCGACCACCACCACCACCACTACCAGGAGATGCAACCAGTATGTCACTGCGATCGTACGAGGACTGACTTACGCTGCGTCGATGATGACCGGCTCTCGCCGAGTTGCTACCGGTGGGCGATTGCGTGTGCGATACACTGGTTCGATGCATTGGAGGTTCTTCACTGCGTTGGCGAGATGAGCTCCTGTGTCTAGTGTGATTGGCACGCTCAACCGATGGTCCTCTTCGCTGCCCTCTGGCTTCGTATTGATCCGATTCTGAAGGTTGATACCCACTGTGGTATCCAGCTCCATTGTGCCGATTTCCCCGACCGTCTTCCCCCGATTGTTTTCTCAATCTTTGCTCCTGTTGACGGTTCTTGTCCACCTGACGACGAGGCCCGCTCGACAGCTTTCTCCCATCGGCCCCCACACTGGGAATATCTTCGTCTTCGTCGCTGTAGGCACTACCTGTTTTACTGGGACGATCGCGTTTCTTTTTCAACTGACGATTTCGCTGTTGTTGCTGCTGCTGCGGTGGTCTGGATAAGTCGTCGTTGGCACCAGGAGGTGCAGCAATGCGCCGGACAGTGCCATCGTCGAGTACGTTGAAGTACAGGGCAGGACAGAACGGCCGCCCGTTCGCCAGTACCTGCACCTGGTGAACACCTTCCTGGAACGGCTGGAATTTGATGTTGACCTGCTCGTTGCGCGGTCTCGCCACGCCAGGTATGATCTCCTGGTCTGGAGTGGTTACCTCGACGCTCCATTCAAGGCGGTCGTACTGCTCAACTGCATCCTGCGGGAACTTCAGGGGAAACTTGACCTCTTGCCAGTCGGGTTCTCGCTGGACATCCGATTCATCCTCCGAGTAACTTGTCCAACTGTAGCGACGATTCATTTTCCCCGAAACGCAATCATCAAACTGATGTCGACACCAATGTTGCCGAAATCGGCGTAACTGCCTGCAGCTCTGCTATCAGCGCCCTTCCAGTACTGGCAGACTACTGGTCGGACAGAGAATCCTGTGCATTTGACCCAACCCAATTATCAGAAGACGGGATGGCAATGATTATCTTGCCCTTCTTGGGCTATTCCTCGTTTACGATGACGCGGGGTCGCAGCTAGCACAGCATGCAAACCACCAGAAGCGGACAAGAGATTTCGGAAGCCACGAATTAGAAGAGCGCCTCCATAAAACAGACCGGTACGCGGAAGATACTGCTCTACAAATAGATTCACCTATCTAACATTACTTTGAAGGTCTCGGCTTCTTTCAGCTTGTCGCGAGGCTGACCTCGAAATGGAGTTCGCTCTGCTACTGTACTGGAGGATTTTTCCAATTACGTCTCTCAGGTCTCCTTCCTTCTAGGCCCTCTCGCGTTTGACAGGATAATGGGCAATGCGCGATGAAGCGATTGAAGGCTCTCTCACGGGTGTCAACCAACAAAGTAACAAGTAGTTGACAGCTGGTAGTGCTAGTGGTAGTGGCACGCCTCGCCAGATACAGTACACTGCTCCCACTCTAGCTCTGCCCTACACCGGTCTACTACAGTCTACAGGGATTCGTGACAACCTACACCTACTGAGTCCAGATATCATGTAGATCCACCAGTGATTAGGTAGTACAAGTAGTAAAAATAGCAAGGGCATATTCTACTCCCTTGGTATTTTTCTACTCCCTGCTACATAATAATACAATGTCATGGACCGGTACTCTGTAACTCACGGAGAGTTGTGGTAGTTGTGGTCTACATTGCCTTGGCTGATACTAATGGCGGCAGAAACATCGGCAGAATTTGGTACTTTCTGTGGAATAGAATGTTTCATGCATGTTTGGTATGTGGATAAAGAAATGGAGCAGAATTCAAGGAAATGCCTGCCACAACTAGGTTTGTATGATTCTGCCAATTAATTTCAGTGCTTTTCGAGCAAAATCTGCCGAGGGCTAGTGATGGGCTCGTGATTGTCCTCCAATTTATTATTATTATTATATATTTGAGGATTTCCCAAAGACGTAGTCTAAATTGAAGGGAGTTCCATTATAATGGGAGGCTGTAGGGTTGAGATAGCAGACAGTGGAGGGCTAATAATTCGTAATGAACAGCCTAGCAAGAGAAATACAATTATGCTGAATGTTCCAGAATGGTCCTTTAATCAATGATACCTATTGCCTCGGGATATGCCTTGAAATACGAAATGTACCGAAACAGAAACACAAAAATTAATAAGAATAAGCGCAACGCACAAAGAAGGAGGACAGAGGCATGTCAGTGAGGAGTGGCATTGTGTTTGGTGTCAGAGAAGTGCGTCCTGGGGACTCCTGGTCTCATCACTGACTATCTTGATGAACGCGTCACTGGCCACGGGAAAGGTTCCGATGATGCTGAAATTGGCCCATATCAGCCCCATTTTCAAGGCAGGAGACCCCGAAACTGCTAAGAACTACCGCCGGCGCCCTATATACTTGTGTTTATGTATTATTTACTTTACTGCGCAAAGTCAAACAGGATCGTTGCCCAATAATATGATAGCGAAGGGTGGGGAGGGTGACATTACAAGTCATAATGATTATCTGTTGTAATCAAATATGTCAGCACTCAGTACGGAGGGATAAAAGAGCAGAAGAACAGCAGAAGGCTAAAAGTAGGCAAGGTGTATCACTGTTGTATAAGTATGCACTCTAATTGGGTAAGGACATACGATAAAAGCACTAGTGGTATCACAGTGTGGTGGCGAGACACTACTAGTAGTATCACGGTATAGTCGGCCAGGCATTAATCAGGGATGCATTATAGCCATACATCGCAGCAATGCGGCAGGCAATTCAGTTTAAACTTAGGGAGCCACGAGATGGTCCGCACATCTTCCGGTAGAAGGTTCCACAAAACCGCACTTGCGACCGTGGGCCGGGATTTTCCGGCGCGAGTGAGGCTTTTCTGGCTGAGAAGACCTCCGGTTTGTTGGCGACGTGTTCTTCTGTCGGTTGGACGAGAGATCAGGGTAGCTAGGGAGGGGCTGATCCGTGCTCGGAGTTGCCTCCACACGAACACGAGCAGCTTACGCCATAGAGCAAGTCAGGCATGATCATGTCAGTCAGGCATGTTACACTCACTGATCCTTATGCACAGATATACAGCATTCCCTCACTAGTGGGACCATTGTTATTAGGCTAGGGCCTGTTTTGGACTTCCCACTCTAAATAAAGAATACAAACAAACAAACAATCACCGCCTGAACGAACATGCGTCGCGATTTACCGGACAGTGCTCACGGGGACCGCCACAAAGCGCCAATCTTGCCGGCAGCCTTTGCGTCCGGTTGCTTGATCCTGGAAAGGATTGTGCATAAAAGGCTCTGTGCGCTCCTGACCGAAAATAACCTTCTTCATGTCGAGCAATTCGCTTACAGACCACACCATTCGACAGAGGACGCAGTCTTGTTAGCTGTGGATCTATTATACAAAGCCGCAGATCAGCACCTGGTGCTCATTGATATGAGCAAAGCTTTCGACAAGGTCCAATCAGACCTTGCTCCACGACCTATTCGAACTTGGCGTCTCTTCTACGGGACTAGACTGGTTTGCGGACTACCTCAGCGCACGACGCCAGTGTGTGGTCACTGCAAACGGCACACGCTCAGAGGAAACAGCTTGCACGTGCGGTGTTCCCCATGAAGGCCTGCTTGGTCCAACACTATTCGCGATCTACACGAGATGTGTCGCATCAGTACAACAGTAGCTCACGGAGTCACCCGGTACGTACACTAATGTTCGCGGGCAACATCGTGCTGTACGTGAGCCACGGTAGCGCTCACACCATAACCACCACCCTTTCCACAGCTGACTGCTGTGTTGGCGGTCGCTAGGCAAATGCCTTATCCTCAACACCGGGCAGACGCAAGTGCTTGCAATCAGAGCTGGACGGCATGCACACCTCGACCTCCACATTATTTTCACTTGCACGTCTCTTGCCCAGACAAGTACATTGTACTGCTCGCTACCTCGGAGTCAGTCTGGACTAGAACCTCCCCTGCGCTGGTCACCGCAAGACACCTCTATTGTCCAATGCAAGGCTATGAAGCTGCGGATCATCCGCCAAATCCGCACTGCCTAACAGTGCGGCAGGCTATGCTGTAATACTCTGCCCTTATAATACCGGACATGCTATATGCCCACCCTCACCACATCTCCAATAAGAATATTTACGGAAAGACCAACCAAGCCCCGGAGTCGCAAACCTGTAGAGAGCGCCACCTCCTGTGGCTGAGGCACGTTGCCCGGGAGGGACCAGACGCGGCCTCTTACAAGTCACTGCAGCTATAGCTCAATACTTCGGACATCGAGAGCCACCGCACCGTGGACGACCGTCCACAAGCGATAGGTAGACAATGCCAAAGTCAAAGAACACCTCAAACTCCTGAATGTGCCGATTCAGGAATGTCTCAATCTCTCCATGAGCCCCACATGATTTGTTTATGTGGGCAATATGCGACCTAAATGAAGAGGTATTTAAAGCAGGAGCTTTCGGCCCTGTACAGATTTTTCATCAACCACCACACCATGACTGCGCTCTCCAGCCGACCTCGACACGTTGCCACAGCACACGACCAGCAAAGCGACACATTCGTTGGCACTGAATTCCTTCATACAGATTGATTTTTGATTGATTTTATTTGGATTCGCGAGACCAAACGAGCAGGAGTGCTCAATAACAGGGTAGCGAATGGTTGAGTTGTGCTATGTGACAATGTAGTGTGTGCGTGGGGTGGTGGTGGTGGGGGGGGGGGGGGTTCTGCGGAGGCCCAATACAATGTAAGGCCGGGGATGGGAGGAGAGAAGGCCAGCGGAGAGTCAAACTCAGAAGAGGGAGGAGAGAATAGCTGAAGTACACGTTTACTGTGCGAATTCAAATACACGTCAGTGAGTGGCAAGCCATACCAGCAGGCAGCAGGGGTGCCCCAAGGATCCGTTCTAAGCCCCCTGCTGTTCTTGATCTACACCATTGACCTGCCCTCTGCCTGCACCAACTCGAACACAAAGTGCAGCCAATTTGCAGATGACACGGCGCTCATCGCAACACACCAGAGCCGTTTGACATCGGAGTTGTCCCTGCAGTCAGCCGTTTCAGCTGCCGCAGCCTGGCTCCGCAGATGGCACCTCCTCGTCAATGCCTCAAAGACCGTTACCTTGTCGTTCACACCAAACCACCAACTCAACAATCACTCTTAATTAACGACACACCCCTAAAGCAAGTCAACGAACACCGTCACCTTGGAATCATACTACAAAACAACCTCCAATGGAACTCACATGTCACGCACATAATAAACAAATCCAAAAAACTCCTTCACCAACTTCGTAAAACACGAGGCCAACTTAACATCCCCAGTCTGCTCGTAATCTACACCGCCTATATTCGCCCGGTTATAGAGTACGGCAGTCTCGTGTTATCCAACACCACCCGCACACAGAAGGACCATTAGAACGCGTTCAGCGACGAGCAGCTTGCGGATCCCCCTTTTTGCACCAGTCCATCACAGCTCACTTCTTCATCATCTCCAACTTCCCACATTAGTCTCCCGGCAACTCTTACGACAGGGTACTCTTGCCCACAACATCAAGTACATCCGCGCTCCCCTTCACCTGCAACAGCCTCACCTTGCACGACCAATTACAGAGCAGCCATATGCACTACGACACATGAGAACATACACATTGAGAACATCACACACATACCGACACACCAACTCACCCATCAACCTGTCCCTTCACAATTTCAACCAACTACCCCCCGACCTGCGTGAAACAATTAGCAAGCATGCGTTTAAATCAATGGCGTCTAGCCTCATTCTATCATCCATATGCTCCTGTAGTAGCTCACACTGTACCCCATCGTATCCCCACCCCCCACCCCCCACCCCCTTCCCCACCCCCTGCAATGTGTTGGTTTCCTTACTTGCTAGACTGATTTTATATGATTCTGGACTGATTTGAATCATATTAACTTCCATATTGGCCATGGGCCATCGTGGAAATAAAGAATAATAATAAAACCAAACAAACAGCAAAACGAGTACACAAACTACGAGAATAAAGACAGGAGCACAGAAATGAACGGGAGACAGCCTACGAAGTGGTGGTACCATCGGTGCATGCACCACGGTACAATAAACAAAATGCAACACAATACATGTATTGTGGAAAGGTCACAACAATAAGAGACAAGATCAAAAGGAAAGTTTTACAATAATAATGATAATAATAATAATAAAACGTATCCTGTAAAATGTAAAGAGTCACTGAGTACAGTCAATATCCATGTCCAGTATTTATAATAAAAATAATCTGCTGCAATTTATAGATTCTCACATGCGAGCAACCTGGGCCTCAGCAACAACCAGCTCAGCAGACTCCGGATGCCGAACCGATCGCTCACGGAAAAGACCCCGTGAACCCCGCAAACACATGATGCATGATCGCAACAGAGCAAATGAGAGACGGCATCTGATGTAAGATATTACGTGGGAGTACTGCTCCTTCCTCCTTTCCGCTCTCAATAACGCGATTCGGCGATAGAGTGATGTCGCTGCTCTTCCCATGCCACCAATTGCCGACAGCACAACAGGCATGAACGTCGCATGCTCCACCTCTCTCACTCTCTCTTCATAACATCGTCGCTTTTCTTTTTCATGGCGCCGATAGACAGTGGTGTGTGTTGCAGATCGATTTGAGCGTGCATGAGGATTAAGAACCCGTATATCAAGTAAAGTACGCTCAAAACGACTGCCCCACAAACCACTGACCGCTACATCAAGCCGCGCATGCTCCTCCACAATAGAAGACCTGTATCTCATTCTCTCTCCAGTGAGTGGCTGCAGCAGTGGCTCGATGGAGACATTGTGACAGGTCTCTTGAAGGAGAGAGGCTGTCACATCCCGGATCTCATATGGCGGATAATGGTAAAACCACCAAGGGGACATGACAATGCATGGTCAATACCATTGTCCCGTCCACAAGAGCAATGAGTTGGTAACCTCGGCGGCATCCAACCATAACGAAGGCACAAGCCGTCTATGAACTCAGCTTTGCTAAGTGAAAAACCATACTTTTTCAATGGACGGCAAGTCAGCCAACTCGAGGCGCCAGGTTCACGGGCGAGGACAATGGTGTGTCGCAAGGCGTCCGACGCATCATTGCTGATACGCCGCGCCGACTCCGCCTGGCTATGACGCACTTCCTTCTTCCTCTTCGCCTTCTCCCACTGGATGGTACATTATCACATTATCGGCTTTGCAAAGTTCGTTGGTACTGATTACCATGGTATGGCCAACTGTGTAGCAGTCCACAACGTATAGGAATGGCAGCTCGGCGGAATGCTGGGATGTTGCCCACGGCTCGCATCGTGTTAGTAAACACATCCTTTATTGCTGAACACAAATAATTGTGATACAGATTGTAAACCATTCGAGGTAAAAGAGAAAGCCATTAATAAAAATAATAATAATAAAAGAAGAAAAGGTTATTGTACCATGCCAGACGGCTATTATTCGGCGCTGACTTTCGTCTACAATCTACTGGGCCAACCGGGTCCTCCTCTGCTGAGATCCATGGTCCCTCCTCTCCTTGTCCACCATGCCACACCTGTAACCCGGAGACAGTGCCAACAGTCTGCTTCACACCCCTACCAACTGGAAAATGTTCTCCCTCCAGGCGCTCCTAACTACCTAAGACGCTCCTTTCCATACAACATCATCAACACCTGGAACGCGCTGCCATCCTCCCTCTTCACCAAACCACCATCCCCTAAGGGCTTACAATCCTACAAAGCGAACTTCCACTACCATCTTCGCCGAAGCCAGTGGCTTTGGGCCACACACTCCCTCTAACAGTTCAGAACTATTTCCATCTTGAAGTTCCCCCCCCCCCCCCCAAGCATTGCATCATGTTCACTGCATAATTATGAACTGCCTTTGAATCTATTTTTCTCTCTTCTTGTTCTCTTTCTACCCCCCCCCCACCCCCTCTCTCTCTCCCTCCCCCCCCTCTCTCTCTCTCTCTCTCTCTCTCTCTCTCTCTCTCTCTCTCTCTCTCTCTCTCTCTCTCTCTCTCTCTCTCTCTCTCTCTCTCTCTCTCTCTCTCTCTCTCTCTCCTCAACCATTCTACCTAACCTTCTCTTGTCTTTATCGCTAAATCACCCCCTTCTTTTAGGCTATGGTGCGCAAGCTCACGTTAACGCCGAGACCATAGGTCGGTGTTGTGGGCTTGCCTCACCAGCACAGGCTTGCTTTGCAGCCCCTACTCTACCTGCTGTTTTGTTATTGTATACTCTGTTGTCTTCTCCCCTTCTGACGAGTAGGTTGTGTACTTAGTAAAAAGAAAAAGGCATGTACCAATTGTAGTACATAACGTAGTAGTCACGCACCTACAAAATACTTTGCAGGATAATATTTAAATTGCCTAGCATGCCTACAAATCCGCAGAGCATGCCAATGTTAATAGGCCAACAATTGTAACATATGAATAACGAAGGCAGTTACATGGACAAAAGGCGACATCGGTCGAGAAAAGATGGGCCTATTCTCTTCCGCAAGTAAGACGCTCTGCAACCACGGAGGCACGTGATAGGGCTTGAAAGTGCTACGTCACAGCATAGCAACAATTTCAAAAATTCAAAAACTGGATCCACTTGGATCCAGTTTTTGTATGGATCCAAGCGCATTTCAAGCCGTCTTACTCACAGCAAGGTGATGTAACCAGTGAAACTGACTGATTTGGCTATTGGGGCGGGGTTACAACTGGTGACGAAGTAAAAGTCACCCCTGCATACGACATGAGTGAGTTGCTATGCACCCACATACTGAGGCAATAGCAAAGTCACACCTCAGTGGATCCAAAATAGAAATCTGATGTCAAATTACTACTCCCTGGCCGTTTTTGACGTCATCACTTTCAAGCCCTATTGACCACCTCAGCAAAACAAATGCAATTTTGCAGCGTAGCTGCGCCATCACAACAGCGTACTGGAGGTCACTATGCTTGTTAACCACCAGCTGAACAATGTTCTTCAATGCACGAGAGCACTCCGTGCCACATATGCCGTTTGTCGAAAATACGAGCGGAGTGAATGACCCCCTCTCGACATCGACAACACGCTGAAGATAGGCCCGCTTCTTCTGATGTTCATTCCGGGAAATCTGTGCAAGGACTTCCTGTCGCGACAGGAAAGACGCCGAGGGGTGAGTAACCCTCACATCAAAGAATGCATCTTGCTGTGGCGACCAAAAGCCCCTTGCACGGATATCCAATCGAGCCTCTGCAGCACGATTAGCGGTAGCACCGTGAAGTTGTTCACCATCCAACGGCAAAAGCGGTGGCTCTGTTTGAACATCCGGGATGGCAGAAGTCATCACCTCCACCAGCACATCACGAAGCTCATTATGTCGCAGACTTGGGTAGCCCCCTGTAGGGCATGTCAATGCATGGTCAACAGACATGTCTCTACCACACACACAAGTTGGTGGGATGCCGTCAATACCCCAGCCATAGCTCAGCCGTTAGGCTAGCCAACTGGAAACGCCAGCATCAGCAGCAATCTCCAACAGCACCCACTGATATGGGCTGAGCTCAGGACGCAAAGCAACCTGAGCCTCCTTAGCCGCAGTAGCCATTCTTCGACGTTCGGCATTTCGCAACGCCATTACCTCCGCCTGCAAATCAGCCGGAGCAATGTCAGCATCAGGGCGACGAAGCAAATCAATCACCGGCCGTGCCGAGGCCATAATTACTGGAGGTCCACTGATGCACTGCATGAGGCCCAATGGCAGGAATTGAGAGACCACCGGACTTGACAGGCAAGCCGATGAGACTCCGCTCAACGGTCACGGGTGGACATGTTCTTCTAACCAGTGATTGCTGATCAAATTATTGTCAATCACATTATCGAGCCTGCCGAAAGCGTCCGCCTCAGGCAAGCCATGCGAGCACATATGGTAGCGCCAACGCGACCTCAGTCCGCGGGAGAAAACAGAATAAGCAGAATGTGGCTGGGTTTCCGCCAGAGTGTAGAGAGCAGGGAGTCGGTATTTTGCGACTCCCTGGTAGAGAGTACCGACCTCCCTGTAGTGCTGCACCATACGGAAACATGACGACACCGGCTCTCCTGTACGAATTCCTTCTCACCAATGGCCCCACCAAGATAGCGAACACCATTGGTCAGCACACGTATACCCGTAGAGTCGAACAGCTCTTGGGCTTCAGACTCCAGGGTGGGTTTCACCAGCAGAACTGTCTTACTAGTAGCTGCATTAGGGTAATAGCCATCATCGGCGCAGTCCTGTGGAACCAGCTCCCGCCTGATCTCCGTTCCGAGCCCAGCCACCTTCAGGCTTCAGTTCTGTGCCCTGCTAAAAGCGCATCATGGCTCCGTTTAAAGTTGCTACCTCCTTGCTTTGTGTGTGTGAAACGTATGGTCACCCTGATATGACCGGCGGGTGACAAGCGTCGTGACTTGCATGCACACAATGTCAATGGTCACCACACCACGGTGGCCGTCCCGAGAGACGCTTGCACTGCGAGTACGAGAGCCCTCGTACCAGTGACGGTCAGATGATAATGGTGGGCCTTGCAACCCGCATGGGATCCAGTACTAAAAGTAAAAAAGGACCTCAGCTAACTCACTGCTTTCTTTGCAACTCCGAGTTTCACGCTGAATCGGGCAATCCCTAACCGCGAAGTTTTCCTACACAGCGGGCCAATGGCATGATGTACCATGATGTACTAGTAGTCAACATGACTCGAGTCGATGCATGGACACAGAATCTGAGATGAGGCTTCACGTACACCATGGTACACAAGGACAGTCACAGCGCAGTGCCCACGCCAGGGACGGGGGCGGGGGGAGAAGTCGATCAAGTGTACATGATTGTAGTCGATCAAGTGTACATGATTGTACAACGTCATGACTGTACAGTGTACTGGCAGGCCAGGCAAGGACAGGTATGGGGGAGGTAGATCTACTACTGAGTACTAGTACTAGTACTAGGTTAAACAGCGCTAGCGGTGACGCCTGCGGCTGCAGTTGGTCATGTGGTCGTGGGCTGCGGTCACATCGTAATCAAGGTAATCGCGACGCTACTCTCGCTAGCAATGTGCCGTGTGCGGGACACACCGCAGTTCGGAGCACGCTGGCGCATGCATGGCCTAACTAACACTTCTCAAAAGCCTGTGCTCTAGTCTACTGAGTCTAGTATTATTACAAGCATGCCTTAGTGACGCTTAGGCATAGCAGATCTGATGTGCTGGTCGAAGGCGACGAGGATGAAGAAAGCAGTGGTCTCTCTCTCTCTCTCGACTCAAGATCCCTACAGGCTACAGGCTACATGGGTAAGTGCAGTGCTATTGGCATAGTATTACTGACTAGTCTGAGTGAGTCGATAGTGTTAGCTAGTTAGCTATGATTCTCGTTTTATATCGGAAGACCCAACCAAAATGGCCAGTGACAATGCCACCGCACTAATATACAATCATGTAAAGAGGGCCGATTATCATTATTATTTAAGAGGGCCGACTGTGAGGAAAGAGGGAGCAAACGGAAACGGTCGCTGCCAAGAAAAGGAAAGAAACACACAGGTGTAGCGTCAGAACAGACCGAGTCGGAACACGCAGGAAAATAAACGTGAGAAAATCATACGGTATAGAGGAGCAGCGGAGTCCATGTCATGGATGCTTGCACTGACACTACATGTATACAGACTACAGGCATGTACATGTACATGTGAATGTTTTGAGTGTGAGCCGCGCTCTCAAAATTGTTGAAAGGCATATAATTTCTGAAATCCTGTGAGGTCCTTGACATACGGTGATGTCTCTCAAGTCCTGAGTTAATGTACCATACTGTCTTGTAGTAATAGGTTTTTCATTTGACCCGACGAGACCACACGACGCTTGCAGACCACAGCACGAACAGTTCACCAGCCACACTCCACGAAAGCAAGTAGTGTTACTCCTGACAAGTCTTGTTTCGTTCCATAAAGTTGACGGGGAACTCATCAGAGGAGAAGCAGTTGTTGAATGAAGGGGTTAAGCTGAATAATGCTATTTTATAGAGAAGATACCGGCGCAAGGTGTAAACACTCAACTAACTCACATATGTGACAAATCAACACAAAAGGAATAGTGCAGAATGGAGGTGTTATGAACCCTACCAAACACAACAATCACAAGTGCTAAATCAATCACAATGAGAAGGAGAGGTACACAGGAATAGATTGCGCTAATTTACACGTCACAAAGAGTACTGAGGTGGTGACAAAGATAGTGTTGATTTGTCACATATGTGAGTTAGTTGAGTGTTTACACCTTGCGCCGGTATCTTCTCTATAAAATAGCATTATTCAGCTGAACCCCTTCATTCAACAACTGCTTCTCCTCTGATGAGTTCCCCGTCAACTTTATGGAACGAAACAAGACTTGTCAGGAGTAACACTACTTGGCTTTCGTGGAGTGTGGCTGGTGAACTGTTCGTGCTGTGGTCTGCAAGCGTCGTGTGGTCTCGTCGGGTCAAATGAAAAACCTATTACTACTATTTGACGGACCTAATGAAGATGGCAACAAAGAATTAATACTGTCTTGTATCACAGCAGCCTGTCTCGTATGAGCCTGTTTCAAATCCAAGACTGATTTTCAAGACGCACACTGCTAGCACATAAGCCTGGTTTTAGTGTTGACGCACACACATACTAAATACCTGGTTTGAATAGAAGCCTAGCCCTGACATCGGCTTCTACGGGAGTACACCCGGCTTTAATACGCGACATTGCCGTATGCATGGTGGTCTTGCGAAGAATTTCAGCAGGCGAAGCAATAAATTAAATCTTAGATTTCCGTAAGACTGTGGTGGTAAGATTCGGTTGGACCCAGTTTTCTGCGTCTGTAGGTCCACCGCCACCATCAAGGCTCAATGGGCAAAAGCAGCTCCTAAAGTGGTGGGAGGTGAGTGAATCACACCCACTGCCAAAGTGATCAAAGCACTGTAATAGTATATGACTGTAGTATCATAGCAGGGATGGGTTTTACCGTATTTCCGCAAATAAAAGACCGTCCCCGTATACAACGCCTTCCTCGAATACAAGGCCAGGCGGGGCAAGGGGCGATTGAAAAAATACAAGACCGTCTCCGATTAGAAGACCGGGCTTACTAAATGACTTAAAATGAGTCTTACGATCGTGCTCAAACTGTGTAGAAGAAAATGGAAGAACGGGGGTAAAGCTGTGTGGCAAAAAATAGAAGACCAGGGTCAAACTGGGTTGAAAGAATAGAAGACCGTCCTTGAATACAAGACCGTCCTCAATTATAAGGCCGGGTTAGGACGAGTTTGAAAAAAAATAGTAGACCGGCCTACTATTTGCGGAAATACGGTATGTTTGAAAGCTGCAAGGCATCAAGGACCAATGTAGGCTAGTGGACTTGCACCAAATGTATAGATTGTCATCTCTGGGTCACTCAGTGGATATTTGGATAAAATAATGAAGGAACTCAGTTTTCGGAGAAAGGCAGAGTTAAATGTTTGGGCGGACAAAAATCCATATCAGAAGTGGTGAAGAGAACTTGTGAACTCCTTGTGAAGACTAACTCACACAACCTGCTGTAATGCATTCTGCAAATTGGTGGGAGGCAAGCTTTCCAAGACTATGGCCAGATGTTTACAATGTGTGGACTGATGTGTGTGTGTGTGTGTGTGTGTGTGTGTGTGTGTGTGTATGTGTGTGTGTGTGTGTGTGTGTGTGTGTGTGTGTGTGTGTGTGTGTGTGTGTGTGTGTGTGTGCGAGAGAGAGAGAGAGAGAGAGAGTGTGTGTGTGTGTGTGTGTGTGTGTGTGTGTGTGTGTGTGTGTGTGTGTGTGTGTGAGAGAGTGAGAGAGAAGTAGGATCTGAAGCCGGGCATGTGAAACTCACATGCATGGTACAATAGGTACAATAGTTGGCTGTTTAAAATTGATGCATGAACAGGAATTAGGTCACTTGGAAGAGGACAAGCAACCGGCAAGTGCCTGAAAAATATGAAAATGGAACATAAGTTTATACTCAGTCCAATGCACTTCCCAAAATGTGGTGAATACAGCAATACAAGAAGAGTGGCATAGACGTCACAGTGTATCAGAACTGTACAGTTTACTTAGTCACTCAGGTCAGGATGCAGTCAGGATAGCACAGGTATGGCCATAGAGCTAGGGAGTAGCATCGTACTAGTAACATGATAGTGTGTAGTGTTCCTGGAAATGTTACTGCTCCCTTAGGCACTCTGGACACATACCAACACACTGGCATACTTATGAGCCTCGAATCTAGCCAGTCAGCACTGCACTGCACTTCACTCTGCTTCAATACTAGTACTCCATGAGGGACTTCTGCTGGACCATATCCTCCAGCCTTTTCACGATGGTCTGGAACGATGGTCTCTCCTGCACGTCTTTATGCCAGCATTTCTCCACCAGAGTTCGATAGTCGTACGGCATGCGTGCAGGCAGGTCAGGTCGACGGCCGGCAATCACTTGGCTGCAGATTTCTGCGAAATCAGAAGTGCCAGGGTATGGTGTCTGACGACTGAATATTTCCCACAGGACGATGCCATAGCTGCAGAAGGAAGCAGTGTACAAAAGCAAACTTTCAACAGATGCAGAACAAATACACCAGTTTCATACCATGGATGAAGAGCAAATCTCATTATTGAAATAGACAGCTCAGAATAAATTTCCATATAACAGCTGAGGACAAAGACTTTTAAAAACTTTTTTTCAAAACACACTTATACATGTACTAACATGGGCCAATTTGTACTCGTAATGTCGTAATGTCGTAATGTCGTAATGTTAGGGACTGAATTCTTTTATACTCGCTTACCTGTAAACATCTGTAGCACAGTTGAACTTCATGTCAGTCAGTGTTTCCGGAGCGCTCCATGCACTTTCCACGTAGCGTCCCAACACACCGCTGCCGTTAAGCTGCTTACGTTTTATTGGGGATATCAGCAGGAGTGCTTGACTCTCTTCGCTCTCATTCTCTTCCTCGGGATTGGGGAAGAGAGCTCCCTGAGTTCCTGACACCAGTTCATTGCGATCTTGACATGTTCCACCTTGCTCATCTGCTCTGGACAGTAGACCCATCATGCCAAAATCAGCCACTTTCACCACCCATTTCTCCGTCACTAGCAGGTTTGGTGTTTTCAGATTGCAGTGGATGCGGGCTGGATCCAGTCCATGCAGAAACTTCATGCCCCGTGCTGCCTGCAAGGCAAAGCGCAGTGAGTCATCTGGCGTAACACTGATGTCATGATCGTGGAGGATTGCATGCAGTGAACCTCTCCTAGCATGCTCCAGCACAATGAACGGCTGGTTCGTCTTGGGATCCGTGCCGGCACCCAGGAACATTATCACATTCTGGTGTCGAACTCGTCGGAGCTCCTCTGCCTCCAGATAGAACTGCTCCTTTCTCGTCTCTGCCATCTTGATTTTTCGTAGCAGCTTCACAACTACTCTGGTGTCGAAGACCTTGGCCAGCCAGATAAAGCAAGTGGCTGTCTTGGCTATGCGGTGGAGCAGGTTGATCTCATGGCGTTTAATGATACGACTGCGAGCTAATTCGCGCAGGAGTTTCTCAATGTCACTGAGACGCTGCTCCATGGACTGCAACTCCTTGTCCTTGCTCTGCGATTCTTTCTTTGTCTTGATGCATGCACGGATAGTAGTGAGCAAGGCTGCAGCAAACAAAGCTGCAGATCCAGCAGCAGCGGCAATGAAGACCAGTGGTAGCTGGCAGTTATCATACTGCACATAGCCCACAGGGCACGAACAAACAGCGGATCCGTTCACCACTAGGCATTTGCCTCGATGACAATGGTCGTTCGCACATGGATCCTGCGCAAAGCATGACTCCTGGTTGTCTGTGAAGTTTGTCAATTGGAACCCAGGACAGCGGCGACAAACGTCTGAGAGCGTGTCGGAGTAGAACCCGTTCTGACATGGGCTACACTTCTTGGTCAAGTCACCGCCATTGCCCCTGCCAATTGGACAAGTGTGTTGAGTGAGTAATCGTCCAGTGCAAGTTGTTGAAGCTGACATGTATGACAACGGAGTGTCTTTCTTCGTCGTCAGTAAATCTGTGTTTCCTGTAGAAAAGCCCCCAAACATATAGTTCTCATAGACTTGGTGGAAAATAACAGGCACGTGTCTGAAATACGGCAGTACATCCACAGCACTTCGGTTGCTGTCATTGAACTGCATGAGGTGAGCAGTGCAGGCATTGTAGCAAGGGTAGCCACCACCCACTTGCATGCCACCAAGCAGCAGGAAGGTATGATCTGAAAGGACACTCAGGGTGTGTCCGAAATT